AGGTTCTTCATCAATTGTTCCTGAATAAAAATATTTGTTTAATGATTCTCGTGTATGATCTTTTTGTGCTGATTCTTGATAACTCATTTTTGAACTATAAATTTATCAATGAATATTTCGAAAATTCTTATTTGAATATAACTATCAAATATGAGATACTTTATTAACTTATCACTATTTGCGAAATATTCTTTCAATTTTTCTCTCTATTGTAATTCTTCACCACATATAGACTTTTTATCATTAATGGATACAATTTTAATACTTTCAATTTCATAATATTTCATTAACTTATCACTATCTGCGAAATGGTTATCACTTTTGACTTCTAATCTGTTAGAAAACGAGACCAGAAGTGCGTGCGATTAAAATAGTGACAGTTAANATCATTTTGATAATGTTTTCACCTATTTTATATTATTCTTTAACTATTCAAGTAGTATTATGTACTCCTTGAATTATGTTTCTTCAATTTATCTGTAAGATCTAAAATCATATCATTCATATTCATATTTCATTTTGTGTAATTAGTGGATTTTCAACAAATTCACAGATGTCACTACCAATTACTCATATTGAAAAAGTTTATTGAAGCACATAATCAAGAAGCATTTGTTACAGGATTTTCAACTACTACATTAGATTGAAATGAATTTGTTTTTCGACAACCATCTTTTAAAATACCTTATCATAATAAAACATTGAAGTTAGTTGTGGACACAGGATCAATGAGTTCTTTCATTAATTATAATACAATACCTGAACATTTGAAAAATAAATATTCATTGAAGAAATTTTCAATTGCATTAGAAGTATTAATAAACTTGTAGATTACATTACTGAATATATTAATATGGATATCAATATTGGAAACCACAAACTAGAATTTATTACATTTATTTTTGATCAAATTCCAATCAATACATTACAATTAGGACAAAAGGTGAACGGAATACGAATAAACTAAATACTAATAAGACTACAAATACATTAAATCTTTAAAGATGAAATAAGGATGCATAGGAATTCTATAGATTAATTGGTAAATCTTACGCTTTGCATGCGTATGTTATCGGTTCAATTCCGATTGGTTTCAGATAAATATGATATAAAATTATTAAAATTAAATTATGATAAATAAGTATAAATTCATATATGATTATCATTCAAATTTAGTTAAATTCACACAAACGGTCAACAATATTCAATACCAGTTCAAATAAATTAAACAATAGCAACATTAAGAATTAAAAATCATTCAGCTAGGATAGTAGAATTGGAAGAATTATTACAACCAGTTTTTGATAAATCCATTTTGAATCAACAACAACAAAAATCATTTATTCTGCAATTAAAAGATATTACAAATGTATTTATACTACCAGGAGATCAAGTGAGTTTTATTCATGAACAATATCAACAATCAGTTATGATACTATTAGAAGAACATAAGCCATGGGTAGCAAAAGAATTTCCACTACCACATAATAAACGTCAAATTGCAATTCCAATGTTTCAAAATATGTTACACGATAAACAATTAGTTAGAGTTGAAAGTGAATATAACAATAGTTGGGTTTTACATATCAAACCGGATGGATCTGGAAGATTATGTTGACTAATATCAATGACGAAGCATCATCAGATGATAATCATTTAAATTCAATTATTAAAATACTTTCAGAAGTTGAAAAAGTTGGTCTCAGAACAAAATATGAATTATTTGGATTTGCAATTGATCAAAATGGTAAAAGTATTGTTACAGAGAGAGTTAAGGCAATTGAGAAATACGGACAACCAACAACTAATTCACAACTTCGACGATTTATTGCTGCAATTATTATCGAGGAAATATTCAAAATTTTGCAAAAAATATGTTACCTTTATATCAACTACTCAAAAATGAAAAATTCAAATGGACTGATGAATCAACTAAAGCATTTACTCAAATGAAACAAACAATAGCAAATTCAACCAAAGTAACAGGAATAGATAGTAATTTACCTTTCATAATTAATACAGATGCTTCAACTAATTCATGGGGTGCTGTAGTTAGACACAAAAAAAGGATAAATCTATGGTAATAGTTGCTATTTATTCTGGTATATTCAATTCAACTGAAATATTATATTCAATATATGAAAAGGAATTATTAAGTATTTATAAAACTTTACAACTTATTAGACCTTACATTATTACTTCGCCTTTTGTTGTTCAAATAAATTGTGATAATATAGAAGTAGTTCAACTTTTAGATAATATTTCAGCCAATGCACATGCACAACTTCGTTTATATAAATGGTTAAATTTCATTAGAGAATTTAATATCAAAATTGGATATGTCAATACTAAAAATAATAATTTTGCAGATGCTTTAACAAGACAACATGAAACTGTACCATATTTATCAGCTTTAGAAGAAGAAATTAATATATTTAAAACTAAAATCTTAAATCATTCAATCAAAAATCTACCTGAATCAAATAAATATAAAAAATTTCCACTACAATCAATTTATTATTAATTAAAAACATTACAAGTTCCAGCTAAAATTGATCATAATTTCAAATTAAGGAAAAATTTTATAAGAATAGCTCATGAATTTACTATTATTGATGACAAATTATATAAACTTGGAAAATTTGGTCAATATTTCAGAAATTTAGTTGTTGATGCAGATGAAATAAAACACATATTCAATTTAGTTCATAATGATCGTGGTCACTCAAAAATTAATTACATGTATCAATACATTAATCAGTATTATTTAATACCAATTTTATATTCACTTATTAAAGAACATATTAAGAAATGTCATGAATGTCAAACACATGATGCACATGGAATTGAGAAAGATCAATTATATATTCATTTACCATTAGGACTTTTTCATACTATAGTTATTGATACAATTGATACATATATTTTATCAGCTAGAGATCATTTTAGTGGTTGGATTGAAGCAAGAATTAGTAATACAAATTCAGCATTAGATGTTGCAACATTATTATATGAAGAGATTATAACAAGATATGGAATATTTAATACACTTTTTCTGGAGCATGGATCAGAATTTTGTAATCAAGTAATTAATCATTTGACTAAGTTTTACATTATTCATCATAAAATTGCTTTGTTAATCATCCAGCATCAAACGGTAAGATAGAAAGAGGAGATCAACCTATTATTAACTTTTTAAAAAAAAATCCAAAATCATTATATTGGAGAGATTATTTTGCTACTGCATCATGGGTGGATCGAACTTCAACTAAAGCTTCAACTGGATACCTGCCACAAAATCTTGTTTTATGTTATCAAAGTTATTCAACATTTGATTTATTATATTATAATCAACCGAAATTGCAGAAATATACATCAGCAGAGTTATTCAAATTTAGATTCAATTAAATTCACTATAGAAACAATCAACTACTTAGTGCTTCTCAAATGTTAAAAATTCAAAGAACAAAATTAAAACAACAATTTGATCATAAAAATAATATAAATACCTCAATCAAAGAAGGAGATTTAGTTTTAGTATGGGATAGACCTTTCAAAACTCCATTTGCTCAATCCATGAAGAAATTAGAACCACGTTGGTCTGGACCATATGAAGCTTTAGATAGGTTTTATAAATTAAGTGAATTAGATAATACACCAATGGAAAGGTTATATACTAGGGAGATGTTAAAAATTTATTATGTATAATCTTCAGGGGGGTTTTCCTCCGGGAGAACTATGAACTTACGAGACTAGACTTCATGCACATTTATTTTTTTTTTTTTTGGTTTTTCGACATACATTCAAATAACTAATATATACACTAGATCTATATAATTACAATTGTATGTAGGATTCCTAAGCATATGGAATCGATAAGCCAGTTAAGATGTCGTAGAAATAAGTATTAACACATATGCTAAACAATATAAAACAATATAAATATGACTAAAGAAATATGTAAATGTATATTTAAATAATTAAGGTTTTTTAATAATAATATCTGTACTATATATAGTCTACTACTATATTACACATTGACCCTGAAAATCTGAAACCTTTCTCGGTTTATCATAGTTAAGAATCATGAAAATTTTAAAACAAAATTTACCAGAGCTAAAAATTGAATTAAGCCAAGTAAATTCTGAAAATAATTACCACCATCGAGTACCCATGCTTTTTGGCTTTCTGTTGATATTATATAATTTAATATAGATGCAAAATTGAGTGTTTTAGAGGAGCTTGGAAAATAAGCTTTTTTTTTGCTTAACTATGGAAAAATGACCTTTTTTTTCAGCAAAAAAAAAGATAATTTTCAATAAATGCACACTTTATCTTCTCAATTTTTATCTTTTCTTCAAAACTACTTAATTATTTATTAAATTAAAAGTCTAGCTTGCTAATTCTTGAAGTAACAAACTTGATGTGTTGGAAAAAGACGTCTAACTAATATCCTATAAAATTCTTTGATCTTCAATATAGCTTTGTATATCATAGCATCCAAAAATTCCAATTCTTCATTATTATATTTTTTTTATATAAATTTATTATATTATGACAAAATTTTGAAAATTGTAAGGATAGTGTTCGACTGAGCAATACCTAACCAATTCGCTCTCTCTAGCTCAACATCTATATTTTTCAAAATATGTGAGTTTAACTGAGCCTTGCGTTCAGATTCAAGTCATTGGTTGTCGTAGTTCAATTAAACTACCTACATTTGTAATATTTAACAATTGTGATACATCATTTTTTGCAACCAAAATAGAAATTAAATAAACGCGTGAATGTATAACAAAACAAATTTATTTTTACAACCAAATTTATAATCATCATAAGCACCCATTTCCAACCACAAAAAATTATTATTCATGACAGATTTTGCAAACAAAAGAAACAATTAAATATGAATCAAGGTCAGGAGTTAATCTGTTCGACAATCAAAACCAAAATTTTGGATTTTGATCGACAATTCAAAAATCAAAATCTAATGAAAAATTCCAAGATGTCAAATATTGAGTTTCCATTAATTTTACATTTGGACCCTACCAGCTTCACCCATGATAAATCTTTACCAATCATTATAAAAAACATAGGTGGTTCACATAAAATTAATATTTCATTGCTCATTAATAATCATTATTTGGTCATACTACAAGAAGTATCTAAAAAATTTAATGATAATGTACAAACCCTACTCAAAGACAGGATTGACTTAGAATATATTACATCTGGGAGAGTTTCTATCATCGTTAATAAAAATTTTCAGAATGAAGATGTCTTGGAGGTTAACAAAATAAGTAATAAGCTAAGCTCTATGGATGCAAGATATAGAACTGTTGATTTGGTAGCAAAAATTCATTCGTATCACATCAAAATTATAAATATATACTTTCAAAATGACCAATGTGAACAAAAATATCAACATTTGAAAGAAATTTTTGAGGAATTGAAATGCTATAATGGATTTTTACTTTTAACAGCAGACTTTAACTTCAATACCAGTAATTTTGAGAATGCCCACCCACAAGACTCATACGTCAGATACCTTCAACTAATCGACGAATTTAAGAAAGATCATGATTTAGTTTCTACACAAAATGCCTTTGGTGTTCGTTGTACCAACTTTGGTTCATACAGCTGTTCACCGGACCTCACCTTAATATCAACTAATTTAAAAAATCAGTTAAATTTGGGGGAATTTAGATGGGATTTACATTCTACACATTGTTCACAACGAATATCAATTTGTGAATCCGATGTATCAGATATGACTGAGTTCTCTGACTTTAAAGCAAATGGAGATCTATTAGTAATGAGAAACATCTATTCTGGTAGAAAGAATCAGATGGCTTCAATATTGACTTTTTTGGAGACTAAACTTAAAAATTCCAATTCTTCAACAGAACAAGCTATCAAAGTTCAAATCAAAAAATTTAAGGAAAAATATGATGAAGCCACTGAACTTAAAGATAACATGACTGAAGCTTTGAAAAAGGGTCCAAACAAAATTTCCAGTTTGAAAAATTATGTAACATCGTTATCATCTGTACATGATCATTTCTCAGAAGAAGAAGAAAAAGAAGAAGAAGAAGAAGAAGAAGAATATATTCATAATATTTCAGGAAATTTCGATGGTTCAGGTGCTACGTCCAATAACTCAGAAGAATCGGACACTCCAGATGATCAAATCAAGGAAGGTGTTGTTGCTAACTTACCAACTCCAAATGCACCTTATGACGGTATTCCTTTACCTTTTTATTTGCAGTGGTATTTGTTGAAGCGCTATAAGCAAGAGGTTCAAATGATTACGGTCACTAGATTTGACAATATAGTCAGAAGTTTAGAGAACTTGTATCCAAAAGCAAAAGAACTACATTTAGACAGAAAAAGAGTTTCATTATTCATCACCAACATGAAAAATTCAAATAATATCATATATGATCATGGTGACACTTTTCAATTTAAGGAAGAATATTTGAAACTGAAATTTGTCAAAAGACCTGAATCAACAACTATTGAACCGAGGGGTAGATACAACTATATTAGTGTGGACTTGATAATACAGTTTAATAAAATTGGAGCCAATTACAGCGAAATCGCAAATCAGTTGAATGAGATGTATGAGTCAAACTTTTTTCAATACGAAAATGTAAGAGCTAAAATAAATTCTTTACTCAAATCTGGTTATGTTGAGCCAAGGGATGGTATTGATATTGACAATGCCCCAAGTATAAATTTTAGTTTCAGCTTAGTATTCACGGAAAAATTTATTCAAGAATCAATAATAAATGTCGATGAAGGAGATGATCGTGATGTTGATATTAAATCAGTATTGTGTTTGCACAAGTATGAGAAAACTTTAATTTTTCCATTGTTTTGGAATTCTTTAGATTATGAATTACCATATATTCTTCCAATTGAAAAAAAACTTGGTATCAGACCGTACAAATACAAAATCAAATGTCCAGAATATTACCCACAAATTGCTGAATTAATGAATAAGCAAATAGTTAATGGAGTTGAACCCCTCACTTACTCATGGAAAAGTTTGAACTTTCCGGCAAATCAAGTAGAGGAAAACTTGACAACAGCAGTTTATCGTGTGAAACATATATATTATAAATTTAATGGTAGCAAGTATATTGAAAGAACTCCTGATGAAGTAGCTGCTGCATTGATTAAAGAAAATCTCAAGACTAAAGACAGGGTAAGATTCAAAGGCGAGAAAATAGACTGGACAGTTGACGACATCATGCTTCTTTGGAGGGCATGCCGTGAGCTTACTTATGATGACAATTACCCCAACTTTCCACTTATTAGAGAAGCCTATTTTCCAAAACAAGATTGTGATACTTTGCGTAGAAAATATATTTCATTTTTCACCAATAATGATGAAATTAGTTCTGAAGAGTCGTCGCTTATATATGATATTATGGTGGGGTTTAATCAAGGAGACATCAAATGCACAACAACAATTTATACATATATCAAGAATGAACTAAAAGCTAAATTGAATATTGATAGGGAATATAGACAAATTAAACAGTGGTGGGAAGGTGTGGGTAAATTGATATACGACTTAGATAGCTAGAATGCATTAGAATTTCTTCTACATTTTTCCTTCATTCTTACGATTTTTCTTAAGTAGTATCCAACAATCGATAATATATTGGACAAATTCAGAGATAACGAGTCACGAAAATATTGATTTTTACATATGCATTACAAAGTTTCATATCGAAGGTGTACACCTATAATAGCAATCACGTTAGGGGCATGTTGATGGAATTTTGGAATATTTGAATGGATTTTCCTGTGCAGCGGTCGTTTTAATCACCAAAATTTGGGAATATATCCAAACCAAATCATGGGAACCATACCATCGTCGGTAGGACATGCGACGCAACCCAGTTTTAATATAAAAACTTGATAACTCGTTTTTAATACGCTTAGAATTTTCTTGATACTCTTGCTATTTTTTTGGTGTCATGATCATGTGGATTCAATCGAAAATCGGTTTCATCTAATCTATTTATTCGAGCTCTATAATCCAAATTTGCCATAATAATATATTTAATAAGTGATGAACTTTATACTTCCTTTTCTAAAAATTCAATGGTGGATGCATTTTCAGAAAATTTCTGCTTGATGAATTCACATTAAGATAATACTTTTACCATTTGTGATGTATTTCCTTTGCAATTTTGATAACACTTTTGTCTCAAATCCTTCATGGCATTATCAAATGATGTAAATTTGATGACTAATCTGAAATAAACTGAACTTCTTTTTGTAATTGATATCCTTGTTTTGAATTATCATCTTGAATTTGTTTTAATTCATGAGATTGTTGATCCTTCTTCTCTTTTGAGACTACCTTGAATATCCGTGGTTTTTGTTTCCGCTTTAAAGTCGTTTGTCTGAATATCAAATATATCTCTTTTAGTAATTTCAACTTCAGCTAATGACTTTTCACGATTACTTATAATTAATTTAGTATCTTTTACTTTATGTTCTAATTTTTGTAATTCCATTGAAACTTCATTTTTTCATCCATTGTTGTGTTGAGAATATGCCTTAGATCTCTTATTTCAGTGTTTGTATCTCGCTGTTGCCCTTAAAAATATTTTACGGAAGCTACTGCTGTATAAAATCCTTCGAGATCATCAATTTGATTAGAAAGATTTTGAATTCCTGAATTAATCTAGTAACATCAGATAAATGTTTTTCCAAAACTTAACCTGAATCTAACGATGATTCTAAGCTTTCAATTTTTCGATTTCAACTTTGAGATTTTCACTTAATTGATTTTGCTTTTTATTGAGTTCAGACAGATTCATCAAATATAGGTCTCAATTTAATAATTTCTCTATGACTTATAACTTTCAAAATTATTTTATTATCATCAAGTTCTTTGCTAATTTCTTCAGCTCCAATTTAACTTCTTCAATTTTACTATCATCAAAACCTTGTTGAAGCTCTTCAATAAACTTTATTGAAACATGATTCTTTAAGGCTGATTGACCATAATTTTTTGTGATTTCAGATGTATTTACATCTTCCGTTACATTTTCATAATTATCATCTAAATCTTGAAGATTTTGTTTATAATCATCAACATCACCATCGATAACTTTGCTAGTATCTTGTTCAAGTGATGTAATTTTTGAATTGTTTTTGGACTTGAAATTATTGATCTTGGTTTTGAATTATTCAAACGAATTTATTTTGTTTTGAATGTTGAAAACTTTTTTTTTGTTGATCATCAACTTCATTAGAAATTTCAATGAATTTTTCAGTATATCTACTTTCAACAAATTCGATTTCTTTATCTCATGAATAATAGATTTATAATAATCTTTGATTATGGATTTGATTTTTTCAATCTCTTCTAATTTGGAAACAACAGAAACTATTAAAAAATGTCAATTTTGATTTCAACTCTGATTGTTTATTCCTTGCTTTTGACTTTTTAAAATATTCATCTAAATCATATTCTAATTTTGAAATTTCAGTATTTGAATTCATTAATTAATGTCGAGATCTTTCAATTCAATTTTGGAGTTTTTGTCATTGAGCTGTGGAGTGGTCCGTGTTGATTCTTCCTTCTTGTTAATTAGTTCTGAATCATTAGTTGCAGTCGACTCTAACTTTCTCTTCAAGACGTATAAAATTTGCTTGTATTTTTGTTAATCATTGTTGAGTATTCCAAAGTTTATCCATCTTTGAAAATAGAGCTTATTAATTCTCGAAGTTGAGATTGAGTTTTTGATTTATTTGATTGATTTTTTTGTATTAACTCCTTTTGCTGTGACTGAATTTGAGTACTTTGTTTTTCAATTGCAGTTTGAAATTATGTTCATTGATTGATTCATCTTCAGTTAAATTCATTTCTAATCGATATGAATATTCTGATAATACTTCAAATATCTTATCAACATTGACATCATACTCTGGTTACTTAGCTTTCAATGATCCGTCTAATCTAAGTAATGAACAGTTTCATTTTTTAAGTTAGACTCTAAATTTTTACCAAGGTCTTGTAATTGCCCAATCTCTTCATTTTTGGAATCAAATATAGAAGCCACATTCTTTTGTTCATCATATAAATTTCCATCAGAATTTGGTAAGATTCCAATTGTTCTTTTTAAAATTCCTATATTTTGTAATAATGAAGATTTTTTTAATAATCAATAAATTGCTTGAATGAAAAATTAAAAAAAAAAATGTTCAAGGTTGGCAGTGAATTTTTCAATTGCTTCTTTGGTTATTTCGGACACTGTTGTTGTAATTAGATACTTTGGTTATTTCGAGTATAATATATTATGTTAGAATTGGTTAATATATAAAAATATATAATAAAGAACGAGGAAGTGAAAATGTTAAAGTATTTAACAATTTCCAGTTCATAGTGAAAAATATTATAATAGCCTATATATGCAATTTTGATTAATTAGATCAATCAACGACAATAATTCTAGTACACAACAAAGCAGTTGATTGGTTTAACATTAATTTTTCTGTATCTTTTTCCTTTTGTTCTATATTGATAAGGTCACTAATTTCCTGCTTCATTCATTCCATCCAAACGATTTTGAGTTTTCTTGCTCTAATTCCATGTTTTAAATAATTTACACTTTAATCAATTAATGTTATAATTGTTGACATTTTCTTCTCATAGTGCTTGAATCATCTATAACTTTTGTAAGTTTTGAAACTTGAGAAATATCAGCAAATTTTTCAATCTTCATTTAAACTTTCATTCTGAGCAATGGAAAATCTATTTATATCTTGTGAAATTGTAGATGTTACGAAATCCACACTCGTAACCAAGTCTGCTTCGAAATCTACTGTATCCTCTTCCATATAATTTTTGATTAATTCTTCGACTTTTTGCTTCGCTTCTCTGTTATAATCTTCAATTCCAGCCATCAATAATGTAGGATCAATGAGAAAAGGAGATACCGAATCAGCCAATTGGACAGGGTTAGCAACTTGTTCAGCTGGATTTGGATCGTTTGTGGTTGAAGTAGTTTCTTCAATTTCCTGTTGACCATATACCAACTCCAACAACTTGACCAAATTGTTATATGAATCTTTATTATATCTAACACTCAAATTCATTTGATCCGAAACGTAATGTTCATCTAAATATATATTTCTTGAAAAATCATACTCTTTCCAGTCGGCCATTAAACTTAAAATTTGTTTCCAGACTCTGATATATTTCACACGCAACGAGAATCGAAATTTAAAAATTATTTTCAAAACTTCTTCATTTGTTAATATTTGTGAGTCAAATTGAGTGAATAAATTTTTTCTTCCTTCACTACCGTACGATTTGGCATGAATTTTGTAGGTTCCAATTTTCTCGGGACTAAACAAACAATTCTCATTTTCTAACAAGGAATCATCAAGTGTATCACAGTGTCTTTGATAGTCAACTGAGTCTAAATCAATTTCCTCGTTGTTATAACTATTTTCAACAAAAACCTTAATTCGCTTTAAATAACGATCCATACCATCAACTGTTCTTCCTTTTTCTTTTGGAAATTCTAAATTTAAAAAGGTTTCCATTTCGTCTTCGAATTTAAACGGTTGATTTAATTGAAATTGTGGATATCTCGAAACCACCCTTAATATAGTTCTGAACCCCTCGACATACTTTTCTCTTGTATTATGTGCTAGTCTAAAAAGAATTTGAAGATTTTTGACATTGTTGAGAATCTCCCTTTCAAATTTGATCATGACTTCTTCCTCCTTTTTGTTATATCTATCATCATCAAACATAATATATTTGGAAACCATTTCTTTATTAAAAGGTAAATTAGGAGTCAAAATATAGTTTGACGCGCTTGTTAAAGGATAACGCGTCATTTTAACTATGGTTGCTGTTGTTGTTGCTGTTGTTGTGTCATTCAATGATGTAGTAGTACAAGTATTATACTTTAAAATTTGATTAAGTTTTTGATTATTTGAATTTGTATAGTTGGTTATATCAATAACTGAGGGTATCTAAAATTTTTACAACGAGATTTAAACATAATAAATATAAACAAAACTTTAAGTGCTACCAACGAAAAAATTTGTTATTACACGACATTTCATTCACTATTGTCAATTCCCATTTAGGGGCTTTAGATTTGAAACATATAGACGAGGACCTAATTTATATCATTGAGATTATATTTATATCCTACGATTCCCACTTTTATCTTATATTTTTTATATTTTTATATAGCTAGACAGACAAGAACTTATTAAATTATCATATTATTCATATTCTATTCATTTAATTATTCACTTATTATTTCATTACTATTTCTATTATTTCTAACTAGTTACAAAAAGAACAAATTATTTACTAAACAAATAATAAAAATATACATTCATACCGCAAACATCAAAAATAGAATTTAAAATCTTTAATTAAATCTATCTTTATTTATTTTGATAATTATTAGATCTAATAATATTTTTATTCTTTTTTCAACTCTTTCTTTTTTATCTTCAGGTTCAATTCATTTATATTCATATTCTTTTCCAGTCATATAATATTATCTTCATTGATTTAATTATTCTTATTCATGAAATTTCGATATCATACTTTGTTATGTTATATTATTCTTTCTTAATTGTGTCTTATTGAGATCTGGATTGAGCTTCCTTTAACTTCATTTGACTCATATTAAACTTTATTAACCGAAACTAAACAATTCTGTCAAAGTATTATGATACAACATAAAACTATAAAATTTTCACTTTAATTAATGACAGAAAAGTTAGCACAACTTCTGTTAATCAAATTGAAACCAAATAAAATTAGACAAATTAGTTGTTTTATACATTATTTGCCTCCACTAAATTAGCTCTCCTCATTATTGTCAACCACTGTTATGTTGTTGTTGTTATCAACTCCATCTTTGAACAATTCTTTTACATTTTGCAACAACGTTTTTTGTAATGATTCAAAACATTCTTCTTAAACCAATCGACTTTGACCAGCATACAATGATCAAAAAATCATCCAAGTTATGTGACATCGAAACTTTCGTTTTCTTCATCTAATCCAACTACATCTGAACTTTACGTTGTCCTGGCAGCAGCTTCTTTTAATGTTCTTGGTGCTGTTCTGAAAAGATATTCATCCAAATATATTCATGGCAAAATTTTGTGTCAATTACCCCATCCTCCTTATTCATCCGAAAAAAGATCTATTTAAAAAGCATTATTGGTCTGTTTAACCAATTAAGATTAACCATACTTACAGTCCAGCATGTTTCTATATTTTGTTGTTAAATAGTATGCACCTCGATGCAACAGCACCATCTCACCCACCTCATATACCACTTCTTTCTTATTCTTGTTCGTCTGTTGCTCCACCTTATCTTGGTACTGTGACAACCTATCCATCACCAGATTTTTTACCATCTTATTCGATCTATCATCGATTTTGCATTTGTACTAATATATTTCATTGGAATATTTGAAATACCAGCAACATCTCTTGATAATCTACCTAATATACTTGAAATGGAGTATATCCAGTTGATTTTGAATGATATGAATTCATAGCAAATTGTGCAAGTTTCAAAAATGAACTCCAATGTGTACTCTTACCACAAAATAATTTCAACACTTTAACCACTTGCTTATTAATAGCTTCAACCAATCCATCTGTAAAAGGATTATTAGTAGACGTAGTCCGATAATCTATCTGAAAGAACAAATACATATGGGCCAAATCTGGTAATAACATTTAATCATACCTTAATATCCAAATTGATGAATTTTTTTAATAATGACGACCGCAAGTTGACCACCAATGACCGGTTTTGGACTTCTCAGAAATTCATATACCAACAAACCGGCTATCAACCAAAACTTCTTAATAGTTCGTCTAAATTCTTTTAGTGTTACTCCATCCGACTTCAATTTTATAATTTTACTTGAATAAATATTATTCTCGTATGGTTGTTCAATATTGTCAACTAATTCTGTATTATTCAACATCAATTAAACACTAGATTCACCAGCATCATCAACCGCAACCTCTAATTTATATGATGTTTCATTATGTACCAATCTTGATAGCACATCCGCCACATTATTCTCCTTACCAGACATATATCGAATTTTGATCTGAAATTCCAGTAAGGTTTTCATCGATGTGAGATTTATTTCACTCTCAGGCCCTTTACCAGTACTCAAGAACTCTGACAATGATTCATGATTCGTCAAACAAGTAATGCTAAAATCTAAAATCACATGTCTCCATTTTGTAACTGCATGAACAATGCATAATGACTCTTATTGCTTAATACTATAATTCAACTCATGACTTGATAGTGATCTTGATATCATTTCTATTGGACCATGCGCTTTACCATTTATCACCTGCAGCAACATCGCTCCAATAGCATAATGACTAGAATCAGCCCCAATTTAAAACTCAACTATATCAACATGATAGTTCACATTTTTCAACAATTTAGCATTTACCAATTTCAGTCTCAACTTACTAAAAGCATCTTTAACAACTTGTGCCATTTTAATTTTCTTATTGGCATATTCTTATAACACCTTAGCATGTTCGCTGAACATTTCAATATTTTGTCTAAAATAATTACTAAAACCAAGAAAACTTCTCATTTCTTTAGCTGTAGATGGTAAACTTGATTGTTTGATCGCTTTCATTTGATCATCTGGGAGCTTGTTACCTTCTGTACCGACTTCAAGTCCTAAAAATTTAACCTTCTTCATACCTAAAGTACACTTTATGGGTTTGAGATAAAATCAATGATCCCTAAAATCTCTGAAAAACCAATCTCAACACGTTCCTTTGTTCCTCTAATGTATTTGTATAAACAATAATATCATCTATGTAATTGTTAACTTTAGCAATACCTTCTGAAAGCTTTTGAATTGCTGTTTGTAAAATACCAGGAGCATTTTGATATCCAAATGGTAGAACATTAAAACCCCATTTTGTTTTATCAACTGATGAAGCAGCATAATTTTTTTGGATCATCATCCAATCTGATTTGATGAAGATTCAAATAAAAATCTAATGATTATTAATATCTAGAACATGCCACCTTTTTTGACATCAAGTGTGCATTTGGTATATTAATATGTTCCTCAAAAACAAATTCAATAATCTAGAGTCCACCCACATTCTATAGCTGTCATCTGGCTTTTTCACAAATAACACCAGGTGCCTTAAAACCCGAATCTATTTTAACAATCAGACCAGCATCTCGTAATTTCTTCATTTGATTATAACTCTTCGTATTCTGGTCTACCTAATGGAGATTGTTTTGTACTAGGTGGTGATAAATGTGGCAACTTTGGAATGGTATGATCAATCCCTTTTTTAAATGGTGGGGTATCAGTTAATTCATTCTTAGAAATGTCTTTGAACGTTCAATTAATTCACCAAAATAACTATTTTCATCCCTTGGAACTAAATCTTTATCACCAACATCCAATAAATTAACACCTACTTGTTTCAATCCTGGTAACACCGCAGCTGTTTCCAAAAATTTGACATTATTTACCATAAATTCTAATTTTACTACCTCTTTCACCACTTGATGTGATAGAGCTGTAGTTACCCTGAACGGATCAACCTTGACCATCTTGACGTCTTTGATCTTTTACTCACTTACAAACGACATGTTTGCACCAGTATCTATCAAAGCTAACAATTCAAACATCTGTTGTTATCTGTTATTTAAACTAATCCATGATTATATTATTTCATCAATAATGATATACACATTATAAAAGTATATTGTAGTTACCTTCCACATCCCTCATATTTTCATCTTTACTGGATTTGTACTCATATTTACTGTTCTGTTACACCTGTTAACATGACTAGATTCATCGAATACTGAACGAAATTGGTTTACGTCTATAAAAATTTAATTCGGTAAGCACGAATTAGGCAGAGTATGAAATTGAAAGAAAAAAAACCAAACCAGAGAAGTTGTATAAAACATAAAACATACAAAAAATAGTTAGAGCACTGAACTATGAAATAATATTATATATATGAATATAAAAGCAAAGAGGAAACAAGAAAAAAAATAGACAGCATCAATGCCAGCACCAAGATGTCAAAATAAAAATGGTTTCGTCAGCAACTAAATAGAACTCCAACCTCATCAACCAAAAAAAAAATTACTAGAAGTGAATTGGTATACCAACAAATTTTCGAAATGAATAATGTGATTTGTATGTCATCAGTATCATTAATAATTCTTCATTTTGAGTAAAAAAACTCACCTATGCTGTAGATCTTGGAAAATACAAATCCGTAACTTTTGTTTTATGTTCATCTAAAACTTTTGAAATTTCTTCCAATAACTTGGCTCTTGTTATATCATCCAGTTTGGATTTACTATCGATCACATCGATATATCTTTTTTGAAAATTTGCATATATTATGTCAATAATTTTTTTAAATCTTATAAATTTAGCATCATCTTGTGCACCGCCAGAACCAATTGAACCACGTGATACTCTCTTGTTAACTGAATCTTTGACTTTCAATTTTCTTTTTAAACCCTTTTCAACATTTACTGAGATTGGTTGTAATGGTATTCTTCTTGGTTCATCAACTGGCTCATGATCCTCTTCATTATTGACCGATGCAAGATATTTAGGACTTGTATGTAAATCATACAATTCGAATGCTGCTTTAAAGTGTGATAATGCAGCTTTAATTTCACCCTTATGAACAACAATTTGATCAATATTTGATTCAACAAAATTCAAATATTCACTTAAATTATTATTCTTTGAATCAAAATTTGTACAGTTTGTCATTAATTCCAAGAATAAAATCCATAAATTTAAATAGGTACTTCTTTTAGTTCCCATCTTAAAAATAACCAACATTATAATTTGTGATTTTGTAAGGAACAACTTTTCGAATTTTGTGATAATTGTTCTAACTTTTTTCGACTTTTCAGCCTTCTTATCCTTAAATTCTAATAAACATTTAGCTTTTAAAGCATCATTCATTGTCAAATTTCTAGTTTTGAGTACTTCTTCAACTGTATTTTTTAACATTGGTACATATTTATTGTATGCAATTTCAAGATGTTCAATCATTGGACTCAAGTAATATTTGTATACTTCTTTATTTGGCTTGTTACCATTTTCATAATAGTCATTGATTACATTTGAATCAACAAAAATATCATCAGCAGCTTCAAGTTTTTTTTTCATAACCATGATTTTTAAGAAAGTTCTCCATAAGGAAATCAGTTTTCCTCTGTGAGCAGGCTGAAGCGCCAAGACTTTCTTTATTATTAAACGATGATTCAACACCTCTCTGTCGAATTTTTTATAAATATCTAACACTTCATCTGAGTCAGCATCACCTTGATGTATAGTATAAAATTGTGACGGGTCGTAAGTAATAGAATTTCTGGACCCCCCTATAAATATGACACTCATGGATGGTGTTTATAGTTATGAGTCTTTGATTGATGATAAAAAAAAAAATTGGCGTTTCTTGTGTTAATTTTTAAATTTAATTTTATTGGTCAATTTTTAAATTTAATTTTATTGGTCAATTTTTAAAATCTATTTTATTGGTCAATATTTTAATATCTAATCCGGTCAAAATCACCTGACCAACTCGTTTCTTTTAATATTGAATTTTTAGATTTTTGTGGAGGATCCTTCTTTTACTTCCGGAAGTCAAAATGACATCCAAATCTGATGTTCACACTGAAATATAAACACGTGGTCTATGAGAGTTGTTGAATCATCACTATAATGGCCGCTAATGTTTTCTTTTTGACAATTCATTCTGTATATTAACGGAATTACATTGATCGTTAATTTAAATCACGTTACAGAGTTTGGTTTACTACTGAAAACCGACTTTACATCCTATCAAAAATACGAGCAATTATTATACGCTTTAATGTAGGTCCAATGCGGGTGATAATTTTCTAAACTCTGTTTTGTGACACACAAATTATCACGAAAAAAAAAACAGGTTGCAAAATTACTCTACAAGACAATAAATTTTCAATTTCAATACAAGTATACATATTATATCAATAACAAGTCATAGTATAAACTATCTATTGAAACCTTAAACACTTGCATCCCTTTTCTTCCGCGTTAGTAAGCATACTGTGATCTAGCTCTCAATTTTGTACCATTCAAATAAAACAAGACAGGAATTGATATCATTGCAACACAAATAAATGATAACAACGAAGTACCCCACCCTACTGGGAACCTCTCTGAGCCCAAATTGTTGAACATCTGGCGCAGATACAAAGGCATAGACGCAGCAACTGTCAGCCTGAATAAATTATTACTTGAAAATACACTTGCAAGAAACTCAACTTTGAAGCTCGCAGCCATGTAATTGAACAAAGTTTGAAATATAAAAAAAGCTCCAGCAGCAAAAAAAGCCAAACCAATTAACGGTGGGAACCAATGAATATCTGGTGATGATGTCCAAGCAAAAATAAATAATCCAACCGGCATCAAGCAAGAACCAAATATAGCTGGCGGGATGAATACTTCTGGATAAACCATTTGACCACCTAACACTTTAACTGTGAATATTTTATAAATTAATGGAATATAAAATCCAGCACCAATAACAATACCAATAACCACACTTAAATAAGCACAACCCATAGGAATCAAAGCAAAATGCTTAGTCTCTTGAAAAACAATTGGAACAGCTTCAAAAAACATGTACATGATACTGTAAACTAAAGCAATATAAATATCAATTAATAAAACAACTGGTTCAGTAAATGTAATTTTAAATGGTCTCCAAAACAATTTAGTTAATAATTGTCTCAAGGTGTGATTGGCTTCTTTAAGTTCTAATTCTCCCTCTGATCTAATCATGTTATTTCCAGTTAATCTTCTTAATCTAATTGCTTTATTTCTTAATAACTTTTTACTGTAAGTTTCTGGTAAAGTGAAAGCCAATATAATAAAACATGATGAAAGTAATGCCATAAACCAAAATGTCCACCTCCAACTTTCATATCCATTATGACCACCTCTAACCACTAATACTGCACCAATCAATGGTCCTAAAGATGGACCACAAACTGCACCTAATGACCATGTAGCTAAACCGATGACTATATAGGGTAACGAAATAAAATCAGAAACACTGGCGCCTCCAGTCAGGAGGCAAGGAGAAGCAAAGAACCCAGCAATGAATCTCAATATACATAATCCTGCTATATTTTGTGATAAAGCAGTTGGAATTTGCATCATACAAAAAATGAAAATTGTAATAATATATAATGGAGTTCTACCAATTCTAATATCTTCTGATAATGGACTGAAAATTATTGGACCTATACCATAACCAACAACAAATAAAGTTAATGGTAATGTAGCAACGACTTGTCCAATATTAAATTTTTCCATTATATCAATTATACCAGGAGTATAAATTGCTGATCCCATATATACTGAAGTAGTCATAAATGCAATTTGAAAAGCCATTATTGATTTCCAAAATAGCGGCCGATTTAATGGATTTTCTGGGTCATCATCTCCATCCCAAGTAACTATTATATAATCATTTTTAGGTTTTGTTTCATCCACTTGATCTTTATCTTTTTCAATTGGTGAATTAATTGTTCCAACAGTAGAATCTGAAGATTTATTACTTTTAACTTGATTTAAATCACTTGATTCTGAACTATCATTTATCTTATTTGTATTTGTAGTTGTATTTACTTGAGTATCTTCGTTTTCTTTTGTTGTTTTCTCGTTGATTTCATTTGCTCCGTCGGTGCGTAATAAATATTTTTCAGGTATTACGTAACCAGGTTTTTCATCATTATGTAAAAATAATTTTCTTCCTGACAAATGGTAGATTATACGACCCATAAAGGAGTCATTAAGAAATGCTGACATGCCAATTAGTGTTGATGTATTTGAATTCTTGATTAAATTGATTTTATGTATTTGATGACTAGATGTGAGTGAGTTTATTGCAGATGAGCTGAATAAATGAAAAAAACGAAATATTTCAGAAGTTGATTGATTTATATAAAGTAGCTTTTCAAAATATAATTACAAATCCAATCTCCGAATTTTAAATCCATTTTATTATATTAGTTTATTGTATAGGTTTGTATGAGTAAATCTTTTATTTTTCAGTAAACAAACAAAGACGCTAAAAATTTATACAAAAATAAAAAAAGCCGTTTAAAGAAAAATAATTAAAAAAAAAATAAAATTATTTAAATCTCGCATAATCTCGCTTTGTTACTTAATTGAGTAATTAACCGAACTTCTATATTACAAATCTAAATTAGTCTAAGCTCATCTCAGTTTATATGATAATTGATAAACTAAACCGAGCTTAATGTCACAGTTATCTAGCGTCAATTATAGCCGCAATTCATGCACCAGATGTAGAAAGAATGTTCCAATTTAACGGACTCGGTGGAGCACTCTTTGGTTTTGTTGTGTTTTTTTCATTATTAATTTGCTTTCAAGGAAAAAAAAAATTGTTTATTAGATCAGTAGTATAGCTTGCTTTGTTGTTTGATGCTGAACAACTCGAATTTATGCGAAACCATGTGTCAGTTATACTCAGTCAAGGATATCGTAGTGTATTATTCATAAGCTAATCTAGTTTTGACTTAAGCTTTGAATTCACTCACTTTAAAATCAAATTCAAATAATTGAAAATGTGAGACATGCAGTTATGGATAGAAACTTCAAGAAAATAGCGTAAAAAAATGCGAGGGCGCAAAAAATTGCGCTGCGGATTAGGCTCAAAATTTTCCGATTTTTGGAACTTTTCAATGGCTACTCAAAGACCGTTCAGAAATAAAAAATGTGACATGTTAAATTGTAATACCAAAACTCTGTTAACTTTAGTGCGGCTTACTCATTCAATAGCTGCTAGTGCGGAACTACGAAAAAGAAACCGAATAAGATTAATCACCGTAATTTTTATCTCGACTAAAAATTAGGGTTTGTCATATAATCCGAGAGGGCTGTGGCATAATAAGCTTTTGTGCGACTATCTTCAATACATTTTATATTAAAAAAAAAAAATGATAGACTACCATAATTAATATATAAATAGCACGGCCGAACAATTATACGGTCTTGGAAAAAAAAGTTAAATGCTATCTAGAGTGACGTGCTCTACTTTAGTACGCTGACCTAAAAAAGCACACCTTGATTTTTGAAAAAAAAATTACGCACAGATGTACTTTTGTGTAACAAGATATATTGCGTTACGGATGTATCGAATTTTTTTTTTTGGTAACTTCATTTTGAAAAGTTTAAACTTAAATTAGAGGTAAAGACACAACCACTGGTTCAATTGATCTCAGATAACCAATATTAGATCATTTTTAAAGAAAGAAAACCTCATTCAAATTTTGAGCAATGTAGCTTCAAAATTGAATACTTAAAGACGAAAGTTAACAAACATTAAAAAGACTGCGCTAAATTAGTTGCAAAAAATTTGAAACATCGATGTTTCAACTATTTCAAAATTTCCGAATTTTATTTTGAGTAGTCTGGCGGTTTTGGTACTTAATATCACATATAATATCAATTTTTGAGTTTGATCGTAGCCGTTTTGGGTGGTGTGGAGAGGTAAATTAAATTCTCTCAAAACAGTGAAATTTTTTTGAATCCGATTTTGAGCACATCATAATTGGTCTTTCACCACCAACCTTTATGAAAAGATAAAAAATAGTATCTCTAGCTGCCAGGTTTAAGATTGAAGCTTCAAAATTAAATCATGTTTGGTCAGGTGTGCTCAAGCACGAAGTAGAAAAACAGAACCAATAGGCTTTACATTGATTGAAACAAAAGTCTTGAAGAAAAAAGTTGAGTTAGTATCCATTGAAACTCCTACTGGTTGTTTTGTTGCAAGAAGTGCACGTAAAGATGGATCTGCATCAACAACTACTTATGTTGTCTGTTCAAATAGTACTTAGATTTACTTGTGCTTAGATGAAAGCAATGCTTAAATTCTATTAATGATTTTGATGAAATAATGATATAAAATAATGAGATAAAATAATGAATAATTTAATGAATAATCTAATTATATAATGAATAATATAAAGAAGAATCTAATTATGTAATATTTCTTATTGTTGAGTAAATTTTTCTACAAACGTGCAGAAAACATCATTAATTCCTACAAAACTTACTAAATCGGTTTATCATTATTTAAGTTATGTATTCTTATAAATATTATATAAATGAGAGCAACTAAAATAAGAAAACATAAAATCAGCAACAAAAATAGATATTAATTTAAATTAAGCATTGATAATAGACGATCTAACCAATAATGGCCTTGATATTTGTTTGATTTTGCCATCATCGTGTTTATCAACGTTGACAATAATAACATGGTCAAAACCGTCATCTGCATCATCAATAAATGCTGGAGCAACAGCAAAAATCTCACCAGTGTATTTGATAACCGAAACACCACCAACATTAATTAATGGAAAAGTACCTATGTCACCATCATCTTTAAGCTCAATAGTAAACCACTGCTTGTCACGTCTAGGTGATACTTTCACTTGCGAAGCAGCCCCTGCTGTAATTGACAAATGACATAAAGCCATTGCGAAATCTTCGTTGCTAGTCATTAATATAAATTTATTGATAAAGTTACAACTTCCAATTCCAAGTAAGAACCATTTCAATTGAGCTTCTTGCAAATTAAAAATTTCATCATTAAAGTTTCTTGGTTGTTTAAAAAATATACTCAGTCTTGTTTATCAAATATACTCAGTCTTGTTGGACAATAGTTTGGTTTGTCAATGTTGAAGAATATTCTAAAAACTCCTAAGAAATTTGATTGTGTTATATGAAAATGTGTTACACCATTTTTTGATATTTTGGTGTTAAAACGATATTTTAAAGATCTTAGCAAATCCAAAACAAAATCTGTATTAAATTCACAAAGTAATTTTCCTCGAAGAACCAATGCATTATAATAACAAGACCCCATCAACATGAGAACAGACTTTTGGTCATCAACTCCAACATTCAAAACTTCGAATGGTCTGAACTGGCCACTACCTGTTGATGATGGTGCATTTTTCGTCATAATAGTTTGAACCCTCAAAGGTAAGTCTCGATTAATGGTTGTTGAATTCATTAATGAGAGGCTACCCACATCATTTAATTCAAATTCTTTGCGTTGATGTTGTCTAGGCCCATCAATTAACAATGATTGTCTACCAATAACTTCAAGGGTAGGTACGATAATATATGTCAAATTCTTTTGAGCACTTTCTACTTGTAACACCTCTTGATTAATATAAGCTTTTATAAATGCATCTGAAAGTAGAAACTTTCCTTCCCCAGTTTCAAAATTTCTATGATATATCAGCACATCGGTTGATTCTTCTGATTTTTGTTTAAATTCTTCAAGGGACATTAAACTACTTTTTGTGAGCACATATGTACTTGAAGAAAATCCTGGATGAGTTCGAAGATTGTGAAATTCCATTATTTTGAAATGTTCTCACCAGATGAGCTTAATGGCCATGCAATGAATCCACAAAAAGGCTGTTTAGGTTGTGATAAATTGAGTGGTAGATTTCAAAATCTCAAATTTGGTTGTAAAAATTAATTTGATTAAAATTAAAAAATTTTAACTCAAAAATAATATAACGTATCTTCAAATTTTCCATTCACTAACATTTAATAAAGATCAATAAATTGTAAGATCAACATTTGCAACGATCAACGAGGAACTTCATTGGACCTTATTTTCATTTGAAACTAACATTATTGGTTGATAATACAAATTAACGTTGGACGTTGATGAATAAGGGTACTAAAGGTCCAATTCAGGTCTTGATAACTGAAATAGCAGCATTTTGTAACTGTAGCATACGATGCACCGAATATTTCATTTAAAAGAAACATTTTCTTTTCAATCTGACGAATGTCTCGTAATTATCTGAGGAATCGTCCCAAAATTCAGTAATTAATTACCAAATTAACAGAATTTAATTGTCTTGGTCGTAAGATCAACAAGCAAGGGAATAAAGCGAAATCTCAGTTAAATCAAGTCTTTTGGTCTTGTGTCAAATGATGAAAATGATTAGATCATACTAATTCAGTCACTGTAATTATCTAATGCACTATGGTCTGGAATCATCATTATATGAATATTCATATTCAGTTCGTCGAAATCAACTGGGACTCGATAAATAATAAATTATTAATAAAATTCTCTAAGTAGTATATTTGTTTCATCCCAATGATCATGGATTGAAGCAACACTTAAAACGGTAGGCTGTAGGTACAATTTAGCAGTAATGTATATTTCTCTAATCATCTGGAAATTATGAATTAGTTTGTTTCTGTTATGAATGAAAAGAAGGATGTATTGAGAGACGAAAGTTTTTTCCTTTCAGTTTAATGGTCCTGAACGACCCGTTTTCCAAATTAGGAAGTCAACGTATTTAAGCCCTGCTGAGCACTACCAAATGACTAGAATTATTGAATCTTTTAAGTTGATGTAATCATCTTTCTAAATTATAGAGAAGACCAAGAGAAAGTATTGAACATATTCAACAAATTTGTAAGAAAAAGCAAATTGAAACTCAATAACGATAAATCAATGACGTATAATTATAAATCACCTCCAAATGATAAAATACTACCATACTCGGTAGAAGTTTTTGATTCGGAAAATTTTTTTTCATTCAGACATAAGTTACAATTTAGAACTGAACAAACCAATTTCAATTCTTGAAAAAAAAATCATCTAAAGTATCAAATAAGAACTACATTCTTATCAGACCATAATGTATGTTTATCATGAGGATTTGAATTTACATATTTTCTAAAGAATCATGTTACCAAGATATATATTGGCCAATGACATATGAAATAATAAAAGCCATATATTCTAGAATTCAACGAAAAATTTGTACAAGAATATCAGAAGAATGATAACTTTACAACATATGGGAAGATTTGGACTCCTTGATTTTAATAGTCAACTTCTAGGGAGAATGGCCCAGATATTCAAAATATTTCAAAATTTACATAATTTAGCTACAAAAATGATGAGATAAAATTTACAAAAGGAAATAGAGGTAACAAACGTTAATCAAATAATAAATAAAAATAATAATTCTCTAATGAAGTATACCATGCAATGGAGTAAAGTTCTTCAAGGCACGAAAGGAATGAAGGGAGTTTGAACCTTATTGAGAATGATTTTAAAATAAAAGACCGGAACAATCGCGGGTAAAAGCATGGTTTAAAATTATAAAATATAATGGAGCAGCCAGTTTTTTCCAACTATTTTACTATACGGAAGAAGAATATGAAGTTTTAGTTTGTTAAAGAAAACCTGAGAAGCTTATGAACTACATAGATATTAATGAAAAAAGGTATTCATGTATTCATATATCAATAAAGTTATTAATCATTAATTCAGTCATTTGATTCATTTCACTTTAATACCTATCAACGGCAAAGTTTTAGATGTATTTTGCTCATTCCCGGTTGATATAATGAGGTTTTGACCAGTGTGATATGCTTGATGGCTTAACACCATTTTGGTGATGCATCAACGATATGTTTTTATATTAATTAATTCGCAAAAGAAAGATAAAAAAAAAACGTTTATTTTTGTAGAGTTTGTAAATGCCTTCTATTGATGTTTCAAATTTGAAATGCATCTCTCATAGATGTTATAAGTTTTGCTCTCAACTAATGGCGAAGTTGGACTTACACTCGGATTCAAATGAAAAATGCAGACTTTAAAATCGAAAGAAAGTTACAGAGTTAAATTTATTCGGTTTTTATTAAGATGAATTAAAACTATAATAAACTAAAGCAATTTACTACTTAAAAAATAGCACCTTTCAATAAAAAAAATAATTTTAGAACAAAATAAACTAAGAATAAAAGCATCGAACCAAAATCAAAATGGGAATGAACAACAATATGATCAACAAACACCAAATTTGAATCATAACAAATGGCAATTTATAAAATATAAAAATTTTCAGCAAAATCAAATATATACAATTAGGAAAAAAAAACTCACCAGTACCACCAAATTGAATTGAAAGGAAATAAAAATATAAAAAAGTGAAAAAAAAAAAAAAGATAGGAATTTCTCCAATCAACAATTTCATTCATAAATGAATCGATTTTTTGTGCAATTCTAATTTACGTTGTGTAGCATATAATTTTTGACAAATATCACATTTGAACGAGTTATGTAATTTAAGATGGGATGAATATCCACCATGGGTGGAGTATTGTTTTCCACAAAATGGACAAGTACAAACAGTAGTTTTATGGATGAATCTTATATGTCTACCCAAATCACTTTTTCTATTATATCTTTTATTGCAATTTTTATAAGAACATTCATATTTCTTTGAAGTTGAATGACATATTTGGTGTCTTTTTAAAGCTTCTCCAGTGTAATATTTCTTTGAGCAAATTAAACATTCAAATGTAGGATCACCATGCGAAAACATATGTCTTTCAACATGATATTTAGATTTGTATCTTTTATCACAACCGGCAATAGGACATTTATAGGTCATACTTGTACTATCAAATCTTATATCATTAGTTTCTTGAATTTGAGTGTTTGATTCTGTTGGATTGGTGTCGTTTGAGATGTTTGTTGGAGCTAAATATGTAGTTGACGCATCATTACTTGAACCTTCCACCATACTTTGATGAGCTGATGATTCCTCTTGTTCAGTGACACCAATTTGTAAAACACTTGTGGCTTGATGATTAATCAGATTTGAATTTGCTAATCTTTTATTAGTTTTTGATCTTTTTGATCTTTTTGCATTTAAATTTGAAGTTCTTGAATGAGATTTTTGGTGTCTTTTTAAATCTTCTCCAGTGTAATATCTATTTGAGCAAGTTGAACATTCAAATGTACGATCCCCATGCGAAAACATATGTCTTTTAACATGAGCTCTAGTTTTATATCCTTTTTCACAATTAACAATGGGACATTTAAAGGTCTTAGTTGTACTATCAAATCTTATGACATTAGTGTTTAATGCTGTTGGATTCGTATCAATTAAGATGTTTGTTGGAGCTAAATTTGTAGCTGATGCATCATTTCTTGAACCTTCCACCATACTTTGATGAGCTGATGATTCCTCTTGTTCAGTGACACCAATTTGTAAAACATTTGTGGCTTGATGATTAATCAGATTTGAATTTAATTTGATTCGTTGTGATATAACATTGTTTGAAATTTGAGCTTCTGATAATTCCGATAATGCAACCCTTGGAATAGTTTCTGAATTATTTTCATTTAAATTTGTTCTAAATTGTTGCGAGATCACAGTAGCTTCTCCCTTGTATTGATGCTCGCCCTCTTTTAACCAATGGGCAAGAATTTGTTGATTCATTGCCTTAATTTTTAATGAAAATCGCCTGTCAATTTACTTTTTATGATGTTATGAATGATTATATAAGATGAAATTGAAACTGCAAGATTAAATTTATTATGTATCAATCTAAAAATTATATTATTGAATAAAAGTTGATGATTTGGTTGACTGAATTCATTAAAATCAAAAGATTACCTTTGAAAAAACAAATTCATATATTATTGAACTGTGGTACTCTTTTCATATATACATATATATATTCTAATTTCACTGAATTTAAAAATTTTCTTTCATTATCTTTAATTATGAAACATATTTCATATAAGTATTAAATAAAGTTTTGATCCCTTTTAATAGAAATTTTTCTAGGTTTTTCGGTGGTATACGTGTATTTACCAAAATATTTATTCTAAAAGATCAATAAATTCTATTGAAATATAGTACATAATTGATAACTTCATATATTTTAATTGACTTTAACTTGTATATTTCTGATTGTAATACTAATGTTGTTTTGAATAAAAAGCTAAGTGAGATCTAGATCAACATGCGAATAACAATGGCTAGATTTGAAATTAGAGTCATTTGTATTAGGTATTTCTTTAAAGTCTTTTCACAATTTAGTTTTTGTTAGATTTGAACCTCATCAAGATTTGATTGTGAATGTATATTGTAGTTAATTTTGTATTGTAACAAAGGAGTAACGATTTATAGAATTTGATATATTTTGCAACTTGTATAATTTTGCAACTTTGGTTTTATGTATCAAAAATACAAAATATATCTACTCTCGGTTGAAGTATCACCTTTTATTGATAAAGATATAAGAAATGAGTTACGTAATTTTACATTTGCAAAAATGATTGCAAATTGATAAGTAATATAATGTTTAATACTAACATTATACCTGATAGGAATATTTTATTACAGTTTTTAACATAATTATTTAAAATGTGTAAATCATATATTTAGTCCACTTTTTTAGTCTTTTTTACGGTTTTCTTACTATCTTTCGAGACTTTAATTTCTTTCTCATCAACAATCGTTTTCCTCTTCTCTTCTTGCTCTTCTGTTTTCAAAACGCTCAAATCAAATGATTTACCTCCTGACCATAAGAACCATAGTATTAAAATTTCTATAACTTGTAATCCAACTAATTTTATTTCAAATTGTTCAATTAAAGTTCCTATAACACTTAATAATTCACCAGCATCAAATATACCAGTTACTGATATTTTAATTGCTAAATTATATATTGCATGTTTTCCAAATGTACTCCATGCAATTAAATGAATTAAAATTGATGATGACATGGGTTTTAATAATGATGGATGATTTTTCAATTTATAAACAAATATAACACCATAAATCAAACTTATTAATTGCATTATTAAACCAGATACTAATTGGATTGTTGTAGAAACTGTAATTAATGATTTGATAAAATCAGTATAATTTCTATTTATAAATATACTTTTATAAAATCTAGTAACCAAAATTGATTTTTTAACAATTTCAAATTGTTTATCATTAATATAAATATCTATAATTGATGTTGCTGGTCCCATTAAATAATCTAATAATATTGTTGAAACAACATTCAATATAAAAATAGATTGAAATAAAACTTTTGGAGTTTTAATTGGTGAATTTTTATATCCTAATCCTAAATAAATTTGACAAACAGTATATTTTTGCCATTTTTCCAATAAAATATCTTTAAAATAACCAAAATAATTTTCTGTAAAAGAATGAACAAAATCATTTGGGAAAAATAAATAACATAATTCTAAAACAACATGAACTCCATTTAATACTAATGAAACAATTAAAATTTGACATAATTCTTGAATAACTGGTGGTAATTTTTCAAATCTTCTTTTTCTTATATCTGGATAAATATAACTTAATGGTAATATAAATAAACCAAATAATATAACATTACTTATATGAGATGATATATCATTAAAAACAGATATTGGAGCAAATTCTTCAATTTTTAAATTAATTGCATAAGCAGTTGGATGAATAATATCTCTATCATATGAATATAATGGGAAATAAATACAATAAACTCCAGGTTCTGGAACTTGATAAATTAAATCTGTCTTGTCTGTAATAAGTTCAACAAAAGTATCTTCAGGTATTTTATAATTCCTAAATGTTTTTAAATTAAAACCAACTGAATTTGAAACATTATCAGTTGAAATAAATTGTTTTTCATCTTCCAAATCTAAATAAGTATGATTTAAAAATACATCAAAGTTAGGTAAATTTTTAAAATATTGTAAATTCCTATAATTGAAAATAATTAGTGGTATTGATTGATTTTTTGGATTTTCAATTTCAAAATGAAAATTTGTATAAACTGTATCATTTACTAATATACAAGCTGCATTATTTTGATAATTGAAGAATAATGAACGATCAGGAGTAGCTAGTATTAATGATAATTGAGTGAAAATAAGGAATAGTAGTTGATACAACATTAATAAAACGTATAGATCAATTGGTTATATACTGTTATTGATATTCGTATAATAGATAATGAAATTTTGAAAATTTGTTGATAATTAGTGGAGTAGATCTTTCAGTAAATTAAATTAATCGCGTTAAAAAGTTTACAAAAATTAATTACACAAATTAGGTCGAAGCCGTACGTTTGATGTAAAAACAGAGCACAATTTACCAGGGTCTAGACGTCTCAATCTATCTTATGTATTTCTATGATAATCTAACTATCATTTATTGAAATAATGTACCTTCTAATTGTTCATTATATCTAAATCCCTTAACAGGATTTTCTTTTAAAATTTGTTCAATCTCATCTAAATCTTCATCAGTTAATTCAACAATATTACCAAAATTCGATTCAATTCTTTTTGGAGTTGAACCAGATGGAATTGGTAAAATTCTTGTTACTTTTTCAATACCTCTAAAATTCTTTTGACCTGACAACTTTAAAATCCAAGATAATGCTAAACTTTCTAATGAAGTATTTTTAACATTATGAGCAAAATCATAAAGCTTTTTTAATGGTATTAAATTTTGTTTAAAAATTTCTGGTTTAAATTTATCTAAATGATGTTTAAAATCAGTTTCAGGGATTTTTGTTAAAAAAGTATCTGAATTTTCAACTGTTGAATCAGTTAATATACCTCTACAAAGTGGTGAATAAGCAATAATTGGAATTTGTTGTTCTGATAAATAAGCTAATAAACCATTATCAATTAATTCTTGTGAAAATAATGATAATTCTAATTCAACACATGAAATTGGTGCAACTTTAATTGCTTTTGCAATTGATTCTTTACCAACTTCAGATAATGAAATACCATCAATAATTCCCTTTTCAACATATTCTTTAATATATCCAATGGTATCTTCATAAGGAACAGTTTTATCAACTCTAGCAATTTCATAAATCAATTTTGGTCTATTTTCCTTTGGGATATATGATACAACATTTTCAATTGATTTACTAATATTTTCCTTAGAACCATCTGGTCTTAAAGTTGATACATCAAGACCACCTTTAATACTAACAACCAAACTTTCATTGAGATTTGGATCATTTGATTTTAAAAATTTTTCAAATAATTTTAAATTACTATCATTTGGACCATAAAATTCTCCTAAATTTATTAATTTAACACCAAATTCAGGATGTGATGTTATAAATTTAATAGTTTCAATTGATTTTTCTTCTGCTTGTGGATTCGAAGTCCATGTAAGACTCATTGTTCCATATCCAAATTTTCCAGGAATTTCTACTTTCTCTATTTGATTTGACATTGTTGTTGTTGTTATGATGTATGAAAGGTATTTCAATTAAAGTTATACGACTATTTATATCTATTCAATTGATCAATAAAGTTGAAAAAATCCACATTTGCTACATTGCATAAAACGGTTAGTAAATTACGAAAAATGAATAACTGTTATCCGCGATGTCTGAAACTCGGAGATAAACTACTTTTAGACTATAAGCCTGGATCTCTACTTTTAGATTATAGACCGAAATCTCACTGACTTAATAACACATTGGTCAACAGAGTAGTCGATGAATATCGTTTATTCGATCTTGTTTTAAGAGCACGATTTTAAGAATACTTGTTTCAAAAAAATTATGTACATTAACTCTTCTATTAAAAACAAAATATATTATCTTTATTCCAATTCATTTCTTGAGTAATTTCATACATTTTTCTTTTCATTTCAGGTGGTCCACAAATAAATAACATATTATCATCATTAACTTTTGGTCCATATTTCTCCAACATTTCACGAGTTATATAACCTTTACCTTGATCCCAATTTTCAGAAGGATAAGTAACAGTATAATAAACTTTAAAATTTGGATATCTTTTTGAAATTTCATCAATTTCATTTTTTAATAAAATATCTTTTTCAGTTTCATTACCAAATATAAGATACATCTTGGTATCATCTGATAAATTTGTTATAATTCTTGTTATTACTTGAAGTATTGGAGTTATACCTGTTCCACCAGCAATTAAACCAATTTCTTTAGCCATTGAAGGTTTATAATTTAATTTTCCAATTGGACCTCTAAATTTAACAGTTTGACCAATTTGTATATTTGCTAATTTTTTTGTAACTTTACCATTTTCATAATGTTTTACTAATATATCAAAAAATCCTGCATCAAATTGATTTGAAATTGGTGAATAATATCTTATTTCATCTTTACCATCAATTGTAAAACAACAAGATAAATGATGACCTGTTGGAATATCTAAAATTTCATCTTCTCTATTTAATTTAAATCTATATATTGAAGTCATTGGTGCAATTATAGTTCTATCAATTAATTCAAAATCCCTCCATACTGTATTATGTAATGATGATTTTCTTTGATAAGCTTCATAATATTTAAAAGAACATACAACTATTATAAATGCTATAGTATATGGCATATATGACCAACTAAATAACCATGTTCCAAATAGTATAAGAGCAATGGGGATATATATCCCATGTAACGGTTGATCAAGTAATTTTCTCTTATCTTCCATCTTCGGAGTTTGATATATTAGTGGTGAATTGTTAGATATCAAGTGAAAAATTTTGAAATAAGGAATTTTTTATCAGACTCGCTCTCAAATTTATTACCGAGAATAACGCGATATCTTAATATAGAGTTGATACACTACAATCACCAAAGATATAGAAATGACCCTGAATTATAAGTTGAAAAAAAGAAATATAAACTCAATATAGCCACAATTAATTAGCAATTGAAATTTTCTTTTTGGAAATGAAGAGGAAAAAGGTATATAGAAACAACAACATCATAAACAAAACTCACCAAAGATTAGTACTCTTCACCTTCTTCATCTGGGAATGAATCAGTACCAACTTCAATATAATCTCTTTCTAAAGCAGCTAAATCTTCTCTTGCTTCAGTAAATTCACCTTCTTCCATACCTTCTCCAACATACCAATGAACAAAAGCTCTTTTTGAATACATTAAATCGAATTTTTTATCAATTCTTCTCCAAGCTTCAGCAATAGCAGTAGTATTAGATAACATACAAACAGCTCTTGAAGCACCAGCTAATTCATTGTTTTTAATTTCAGTTGGTGGTTGATAACAAATACCAATTTTAAAACCAGTTGGACACCAATCAACTAATTGAACAGTTTTTTTAGATTTAACTTGTGCAACAGCATTTTGAACATCACGAGTAACAACATCACCTCTATATAATAAACAAGTAGCCATATATTTACCAGTTCTTGGATCACATTTAACCATTTGATTACCAGGTTCAAAACATGATTGAGTAATTTCAGATACAGAATTAGCTTCATGATTTGCTCTTGTTTTTGAAAATACTGGAGCATAACTTACTAATGGGAAATGAATTCTTGGATATGGAACTAAATTTGTTTGAAATTCATTTAAATCAACATTTAATGAACCATCAAATCTTAATGAAGCTGTAACTGATGAAACAACTTGAGCAATTAAATTATTTAATGAACTAAAATTTGGTCTTGAAATATCTAAATTTTTTCTACACATTTCATAAATTGCTTCATTATCAACCATAAAAGTACAATCAGCATGTTCTAAAGTTGTATGAGTAGTTAAAACTGTATTATATGGTTCAACAACTGAAGTTGAAACTTGTGGTGCAGGATAAACTGCAAATTCTAATTTTGATTTTTTACCATAATCTAATGATAATTGTTCTAATAATAAAGATCCTAAACCTGAACCAGTACCACCACCTAATGAATGAGTAAATAAAAATCCTTGTAAACCATCACATTGATCACTCATTCTTCTAATTCTATCTAATACATCATCTAAAATTTCTCTACCAACAGTATAATGACCTCTTGCATAATTATTTGCAGCATCTTCTTTTCCAGCAATTAATTGTTCTGGATGAAATAAATCTTTATAAAGACCAGTACGAACTTCATCAATAACATTTGGTTCTAAATCAACATATAAAGCTCTTGGAACATATTTACCTGAACCAGTTTCACTGAAAAAAGTAGAAAATCCTTCTTCTCCTCCTTTTGGTCTATCTAAACCTTCTTGTAAGTAACCATCTGGTCTTATACCATGTTCTTGAGAATATAATTCCCAACATGCATTACCAATTTGACAACCAGCTTGACCAACTATAACGAGTTAGTAAAATGTTATCGAAGCGCGTCTTAACAAATGGAGCTATCATTGAAGGGTGAATTGAAGGTACTTTGTTGATATTATATTGATTCTCCTTTATTGCTTGTTGATTATTGCTCCATCAAGTGCTACTCTCTTTAAATCAACGTTATCCTTAACGACGTGTAACAAATAAATTGATTCCACAAATTCTCCCCCAATATCTCAATCTATCTCCCCTTGTTCTCACGTATTCAAACATACCATTGATACTAATTACTTCTCTCATATTGATTGATTTGAATTGAAACTAATACTGAAGATATAAAATATCAAATTATTCTAATCTTATGATTTTATGAAACAAATCCAAATTTTTTAATTATTTTTTTTTTGTTTGATTTGAATTTGTTTTGTTTTTGTTTACAAAAATTAATTATTGTATTATGTAATACTTTACGTAATTTATCTTATTTAAGTAGCCTAGTTTGTATAAAATATAAATATTGGTTACACGATATGCTACCAGCTGAGTGATAAAAATTAGATAAGCTTAACAATATCAACAAATATCGACAACAATTTTTTAAGTACTTCATTATTTATGGTTTGCACATTAATCATATTTTCATCACTTCTAGTGCTTTTCAGTAATTAATTCATTTGAAACTGATCAGTTATTGGTTGGAATTAAAGGAGGCTGAACATATTTAGTTTTACTGCATGATGTGTTCTGGATAGCGAGTTTAAGTTAATTGAAATTTTGCGGATACAATATCTACTTCAATTAAACATGTTCTAGCCTCGTATGTTGTCAACTATAAAATGAATTTTCAAAACTTGACATGTTAAACAGCAAAACCAAGAAATCATTTCAAATTGGGATTATTGCAAGCACTTTCAATTCTTCAAAATAGTCTTCAATTACAATGGACTTCATTAGTGGCTGAAAATTGATGGTCTTGAGTATATTCTTGTTGGGATTGAGAGGATCATAAAACCAACACATTTCACTCCATCTTTTACGTTTATCACGGCTGGTTTGCGCAAGGTCATTTGTCAGTTTTCAGATTACATGTTTTTACCAAACAAAGTGATTCATGATATCGATATCCCTTATACCCGTCATTTACGGTATGTATTCTTCGGAGAATTACAAGTGGGGTTTCATTCACCTTGCAAACATAGAAATTATCTGAGATTTCAGGATGTTTAACGTCTAGGTCGTAGCCAGTTTTTTGAGCTTTTATCCTTTTCGTCTTTTTCCTTATGAACTTACAATCTTCAACCAAAATGTACCATAGGTGTTTATCATGGAGTTTGCAAGAAGCAAGGTGAAATCGAAAAGGATAAGAGTTCAAAAATCTAGTTACGTCCGGCGTCAAAACTTTCTGGAACCTCAAATGGTTCTTAGGTTTGTAATGTGGTAGTTAAATATTGAGTGACAGCAACCAACAAAGTTAATGAGCCGTTGGATTCGGTGACTATAGGAAGACTCACAAGTCATGAATTACTCGCTGCTTTTATCGATGTTTCAAAAAGTTTTATTTGCGTATATTTTATTATAAAAAAATTAACCACTATTTATCATCATCACCACATATAAACTCACCTACTTCTTAATAATTTAATCCAACAAGACTTTTCAAATGTTCAATTATTCCAACTGGATGTTTTTTAATACCTAATTTGTCACCAATATCTTCACCAACATCTTTTAAAACATCACTAATAGATTTATCCCATTTTAAATTTTTATAACCAGAAAATAATTTATTTTGAGCTTCTGCTAAAGTTAATAATTCTTTTCTATTTAATCCTGATAACCAATTATAATTATAACCAAATGATCTTAAATAAGCTTTTAAATCAGCATTTGAATAAGTTTTAATTATTGAATCCCATTTTTCATGAATTTCTTCTTTTGCTTGTTCTGCAACATCATAAATTTTATTATTAAATAAACCTAAATGAAATAATATTGATCTATATTGATTTTTAAACCAATCTTGAATTTTTGGAGAATAATGAATATAATTTTTATGAGTTGAATCCCAAACTTCTTCCGATGTTGTTTGAATTTTTTCTTGAGCATCTTGGGAATATTCTTTTGCTAATTTATTTGCTTCTTTTGACCATTCATTAGCTTTTTTACTAGCATCTTTTTTTAAATTTTCATATTGTTTGCCAGCTTCTTTACTATATTCATTTGCCTTTTTACCAGCTTCTTTTTTCCAATATTCATATTGCTTGCCTGCTTCATTTAAAAGTTCATCTGCTTTTACACCAGCATACTTTTTATATTCATCATATTTAATACTTGCATCTTTTGCAGCATTTTCATATTGTTTATAAGCTTCAATTTGAGCTTTATCTAATTGTTTAAGTGCTTCTTCTGAATATTCTTCATATTTTTTACCTGCTAATTTATAAAATTCATCATATTTTTTAGCAGCATCTTCGGATGCAATTTCATATTGTTTTGCAGCTTCATTTGATAAATCTGTGGAATATTTGTTAAATTTATTTTTAGCTTTTGTTCCATATTCTAATGCTAATGCTCCAATAATTGATGAATATTCAGTATATTTCTTAGATGCATCTTTTGCTGCTAGTTCATATTGTTTTCCAGCTTCTTTATATAATTCATCAACTTTATTACTTGCATCTTTTGACCATTCTGAATATTTTTCATTAGCTAATTTATTAAAAGCATCATATTTTTCATTAGCTAATTTTCTTGCAATTTCATATTGTTTTGCAGCTTCTTTTGATAATTCATTTGCTTTTTCATTAATTGAATTTGAATATTCATTATATTGTTTATTTGCAAGTTTTGAAATATCTTGATATTTTCTTGAAGTTAATTTTTTATATTCATTATATTTTTTTTCAGCATCTGCAGCAGCTAATTCATATTGTTTACCAGCTTCTTTTTTAACATCATCAACTGCATCATTTGCTAAATTTGAATATTCATCAAATTTTTTACTGGCTTCAGCAGCAGCTAATTCATATGATTTACCAGCATCATTAGTTAACTCATCTAATTTTTTATTGAATAATTTTTGATATTCTTCATATTTCTTATTAGCATCTTTAACTGCAATTTCATATTGTTTTCCAGCAGCTTCAGCAACATTATCAGCTTTTTTATTAACTAATTTTTGAAAATTTGTATATTTTTCATTAGCATCTTTTGCTGCTTCTTCATATTTAATACCAGCTTGTTTTGATAAATCATCAACTGAATCATCTGCAGTAGATAAATAATCATCATAAATATCTTTTGCTTGTTGAGCTAATAAACCATATTGTGCACCTAACTCCTCGATATGATCATCAACATTTTTTAAAACTTGTTGTCCACCCTTTGAAAGTTTTTCTTGACCTTGTTCTAACCAAGATTTTGAAGATTTACCACCAAATAAACTTGATTCAATTTTTTTCCAATCTTTAATTAATTTTCTAGTTAATGATTTAACATAATTTGAACTTGCTAATTTTGCATCAACAATTAATTTTCCTAAATTTTTTGCATGATCATCAATTTCATCAGATAATCCTACAGCGTATTCATAACTTGATTTTTGAATTTCTTGTAAAGCATCTTCAACTGAATATTCTTCTTTTTTAAATTCATCTCTTGCAGTTTCACTTGCTTTATTAAAATATTCTTCAACTAATTTAAAAGCATGTTTAATTTTATTTTCAGAATAATTTTCAGATTCTGGTACATTTTTGTTTAAATAATGTTTAAAAGTATTTAAATCTGGTGCATAAAATCTAATTTGTGATTCAATATTATTACTTCCTGATCCACTTTTTTTAAATTGTTCTTGAAAAGCAGTAATTAAATCTTGTCTTGATCCTTCAATATTTTGACCTTGTTCAATTAACCATTGTTTTATGGAGTTAGTAGAAACATCATTATCAACAATATAAGCATCTGCTTCAACATGAATTGGATCAGCATTATGTTCTTTAACTAAATCTACTAATTGTTGTCTTGTTGTAAATATGGAATATGGAACTTTACGAACATTTAAAAATTCACGTAATTTATCTTTTGACCAATTATCAATACCAACAAAGAAAGTATCATTAATTAAATTAGAAACACCACCCTTCTTCTTGTTTGAACCAGTAGAAGTTGAAGAATCTCCATCTTTTGATAAAAATGGATGATGTTTCTTTTCAGCATGTTGTAACCAAGTTTGAATGTCTTGTAATAAATATTTTTTATATTCTTGAGCTTTTTTAATTAATTCATCTTTATCTAAATCTGCAACATATTCATCTGGACTTACATTTATAAAACCATGTAAAAATAACCATTCTCTTAATTGAGAATATGACCAAGTTTCAAAAAATTCATTTTTAATTTGACCAGTTTTATCAAATATTGATTTATCAAATAAATCTAATGAATCAAATAATGCATCTTTTGTATCAATTATATCATTAGTTGCTTTATAATTAAATTCTTTAACTTTATCAATTAATTGATCTTTTGTTGATTTTTTATTATATTCAATTCCATAACGATTTAACCAATTTGTTAAATCATCATTTGACCAAGAATCATATAACCAATTTCCAGGATAATAACTTGAACCATGATTCTTTTTAGCAATTTTATCATAACTTGATTTAATTTCTTTTAATAAATCCGATTTGTTAGCTTTTGGATCATAAGTAATACCATTATGTTTTAAATATTTTTGTAAAGAATTTAAATCCCAACTTTCAAAAAACCAATCTTTAATAGATTGTTTCGTATCCTTTTTGTTTCCACCAAATAAATAACTAAAATTTAAATAATCTTCTAAATTTGATTTTTTAGGTTTCAATTGTTTATCAATTTCAATTTTTAACTTGTTGTAACCATTTTCTAATTTTTTAGCTTCATTATTTGCAATTTCAATTAATTTTGAATTATCCCAACTTGGATCTTCTTTAATTTTTAAATCTTTTAAAAATTGTTTTAAATCATTATTACTCCATTCTTCAAATCCATAATTGGCTGAAACCAATTGAACAAAGATCAATGATAACCAAATTAATCTCATGATGATGAATTTAAGTTTCTTTCAAGTCAATTGAGTGTAGTGAGGTATTAATTGATTGATGAAATTAAGAAGTTGTAATTGTAGCAGTAATTAAAATCAATTGATTAATTTTGAAGATGTGGCAATGGAAAAATGTAAATTAAATTCGGATAGCATAATAATGGATCATCACCCACATATTTATGTATGATCACATAGTTTATAATTTTCAATTAGTTAGTAGCAATTTAGCAACATTAGAAAAATTTCATAAAACTTAAATTTGTTTCACACAGAAAAAAAAATAAAATTAAGGGGTAATGGAATAAGACGAATTTAATTTTAAAAAAATGTTGGATACCGAATAAGAAGTCGAGTGAAGACAGATCTCGAGTTTGAACAAATTTCAATGAAACTGATACTGAGACAGCAAATCAATTGGAGGTACAAATACTTTTGACATACTAGACGACTTGAAAAATTTTCAAAAAATGATAGAAAAAACAAGTTGTCTTTACCTCGAGTGAGTTATCACAGTACTGTCTAATTTTGAAACAATTTCAAAGTAAAGTCGGTTCGATAAATATCACACTATTAAATCCAAAAGCTTCGATTATAGTCCAAATTAACAAAAATTCATAAAATAATTTAAGTATTCTTGCATATTAATATAAGTGCCCCACTAAATTTCAAACAGATCTGTTGATAATCAGATCTTCGTGTATCTTGAACCTAACTTACAATTATTGTTCCTTCCTTAATGAAATATATCAATAATTGATCGTTTGACCTTTAAATTTTTAATTTCTCTTTTGACAACATATTACGTTTAAATAAAATTTTATCTTGTACTTTAACCCTTTTTAACCCTTTTATCTTATTTACGAGAAATTACACATTTTTTGTTTCAGTTTTGCAACTAAATTTATATCAAAATCTTGAAGCAGAAGAAATACACAAATTTTCAATTTACTCCAGATCTGCTTAATCGATTTTAAATTGTTACAAGTAAATCAATTTTCTTTATACTTGACTAAAAAATAAAACACTATGGTAAAACTTTTCTTGATATCGTCGATTTATCAAATTATTTTTCATCTTTGCAAATAATAATACCTGAAGAACATTTTACTTCAAAAGTCATTTGATCAAAAATGGGATGTCCCATGAATTCATCAAGTTAAAAATTCAAGAAGATCAATTATTTAAAGAATTAGCTTTTGGTCATATTTCCAAAATATATAATGATGAATTAAATGAAATTAATGAATTTAAATTAAGTATAAAAAATGATCAATTGGACAAGTATAATGAGATTGTTGAAAAATATAGATTTGAAGAGAGGATATTCATTGAGGAGCATAAGTTGAAACAGAAACATAGTTCGGTTTATGCATTGATTGTCAAAAGCTGTAAAAAGTTTCTGAAATTGATCAAGGGAAAGATTGAGAGGAGCAAAAAGAAACGACATGAGACAAAAAGTAAAGTCAATACAAAGTCAATTCGACAAAAGTTTCGTTCAAGAAAGGAATTAAGGGTTGAAATTAAAGAATTACGAATCTTAACTCCCGTACAAAAATTATGGGGAATTCATTACGTCGTGTTCACAAGATTTTCAAAATCCAATAATATGATCAAACAAATAATACATCTTGCCGCTCCTCTTTACAAGCCAAATATTTCACTAGTGTTTAAACCCATAAAAGATCGATATAAGGTTAGATTTTGTAAAATTAGAAGAAAAATCTATCAATTCAAATTTAAATTTAGAGCCAAAATAAGAGTTGCAAAAAAATCATTGAAAAGTATGAAAATTGATACAATTCGAAAATTGCAAAGATTGAAAAGAAATATAAGTCATTCAAGAAGTACCGAAGATGTTCAATCATACAAAATACTCAAAAAATTAAATGATACTTGTACCACAGAAGGAAACCTAAATTATTTCATTAATGCTCAAAAAGAATTTAGTAAATTTGAATTAATGAAATACAAGATAATCACAGAGCCACTTACTAAAGTCGATAAGATCATAGAATCAAGCTCAGATAAAGAGTCAACGAGAAGTACTACAATTTCCAAATCATAGCGAAATTTTTATACCATTTTATTTACTTATTATCAAATTAATTTTTTCAATCTTTATGATTACTCTTTTATAGCATATTGTCTTCTATATTTATCATCAATTTCAGTTAAATAATAAGTTCCCAGTACTAAATTTTCAATACTTCCAGTTGGTTTAAAAGATTTTTTTAAATGAGCATTTTCTCTTAATTCTATAGCTTTTATATAATCTTCAGGTTTTTCAATTTTTCTACCATCATTTAATTTATAATCAAAATTTAAATTTTTTATTATTTTTGAAATATCTCCTTTTACAATAACTGATAAAAGTGTAGATGCTAATCCTGAACCATAAGAAAATATTCCAATTCTTTTATTTTGTAAATTTTCTGATCCAATATAATATAATAATGATGCAAATGATACCCATGCTGAAGCTGTATACATATTACCAGTATTTGTTGGTACTTTTAATGCTGGTTCAACTCTTTTTTTAGTTTCTTCTTTTGCTAAATTTACAAATGTTTTTTCTAAAATTTTATCGGTTAATGAATCATTATATGATAATTGATCTATATGTTTTCTGGTGGCTTCATCAATTAAATTTGAAAATTCCTGGGGATTTGATAAATAATCATTATATAATAATCTTGCATAACTCTTTGTTACTAATTTACAAGTTGGTACATGAAATGAATTAAAATCAAAATGATTATATAATCCAACTGTTTTTTTAGGTTCACCTGTAAATTTTTTTGAATAATTTTTATAACAATTATCAATTGCTTTTATATAACAACTTAATGAAAAATGACCATCAACAACAGGATATTCACTTGAAAAATCTGGTTTATAAAAATCATATGCATGTTCCATAAATGAACCTCTAATTGAATCAAATACAATTGGGGAATCTGGACCGATTAGTAAAGCAATAGCACCACATCCACCAGTTGGTCTTGCTGCTCCTTTATCATATATAGCAATATCTCCTGCAACAACAATAGCATCTCTACCATCCCAACTTGAACTTTCAATCCAATTTATAGCATTTATTACTGAGGAAGTACCTCCATAACATGCATTAATAGTATCAATACCTTCAATATCATTATTTTCACCAAATAATTGCATTAAAACAGATTTAACAGATTTTGATTTATCTAATAAAGTTTCTGTACCAACTTCTAATCTACCAATATTATTAACATCAATTTGATAATTTTTAATTAATTTTGATAATACAGTTAAACTTATTGAATAAATATCTTCTCTATCATTTACAAATGACATATTTGTTTGTCCTAATCCAATAGTATATTTACCTTGAGGAATATTATCAAATTTTTCTAAATCAGATTGATTTACTGCTTGTCCTGGAATATAAACTTCAATTCCTTTTATACCAATATTTTGTGGTGATTTAGTCATGTTGAGATGAGTTTAATTTGAGTTAAATGAGTGTATGAGTTTATGAATGTTGTAAAACTTGAAGAAGTATCTAATTGAAAAATAAATGTAAATTTTCAAAACTGGTCTCGACAAAAAAATAATTTTTTTCGTTTGGGTACGATATAAATGAAACAATAATAAAATTTGAAACAAACGCGACTGATGATTGATTGACTTAATAATATCAAATAAGTAAAGTTATGGTATAAAAAATTGGTTGATATGTATGTTAGCAATTTGTAGTATTAGCAATGATTTCAATAGATTTAATAATTGATTTGTAGAAAAGTTAAATAAAAAAAAAGTAAAAGTATGAAATTAATAGGAACTCTACATTTATAAATTGACTATGAAGTAAAGTACCTATGAGGCTTGTACATAATTAACACATTTTTCTACAATAGAAATTGTACCTGGATCTATCGTATATCAAATTAATTTTCAATTCTTGTGTGGTTTATTAGGCTAAACGATATGACATAAAATGTATGAGTGTCGCGTAATACAATTCACTGTCATCAAGTTAATGCATTTTTCGACATGTTATCAAATGACATAAGTCCTATGACATAATAAACTCGTATATTAATACTTATTAGATTAATATTGTAAACTAGGATAACCAAACGAAGAAATTGCCTAGAAGTGGGCCAACAGTAAAATTTTTCAAAATTATCAGCACGAATCCATAGGGTCATGAAAATACAATTCTATAGCCTTTTGATGAATTACGTCGGGTTTTTCTAACTCAGATTATTTGTAGAGAAATTCTCCACTAAGTACGTCATTTAAGATTTGCGCTGTAGTAAGTCTAATATTTCATAGTGGTACTGGTAAGGTTAATAATGGAGTACGCAGAGTCAGAAAAAAATCAGAAAAACGAAGCGAAATTCGGACTTTTTTCATATTTAAAAAAAACTTCATAACGGATTTAAGATTAAGTAGTTTTGAAAAATTTAGTTTTTATTAGCCTAAATACAAGAATTATAATTTCAAAATTTAACTTAAACTAAGAGGTCGACGTTTCTTACAACCACGTTAACCTTCATAACAGCTTTCATTAAATTGGTTGTTATTTCACCCTTTCATCCAAATCAAGATGAGTAGTTCTATACCTGAATCATTACAACCATTTGTTACTAATAAATTTATACATAAAACATGGGCAGGTACTTTTTATTGTCAACCACAAGCTATATTTCAACCAAGAAATGAAAATGAAATTAAAGAACTTATAAAACAAGCTAAAATACATCATAAAACTATAATGACAGTTGGTTCTGGACATTCACCAAGTGATTTAACAATGACTAAAGAATGGTTATGTAATTTAGATAAATTTAATCATATTTTAAAAGAAGAACCAATAAAAGGACCTGTATCACCAAATTCAAGAGAAACTGAAGTCAAATTTGTTGATCTTACAGTTGAAGCTGGTTGTAGAGTTTTTGAATTAAATGAATATTTGAAAAAAAATGATTTAGCTATTCAAAATTTAGGATCAATCAGTGATCAATCAATAGCTGGGTTAATTTCAACAGGTACTCATGGATCAACTCAATATCATGGTTTAGTATCTCAACAAGTAGTTTCTATAAAATTTTTAAATTCAAAAGGAGAATCAATAAATTGTTCATCAATAGAAAATCCAAATTACTTTAGGGCTATATTATTATCATTAGGTAAAATTGGAATTATAACTCATGTAACTTTAAGAACTTGTCCAAAATATACTATTAAATCAATTCAAGAAGTTATAAATTTTGATACATTATTAAACTCATGGGATACAATATGGTTACATTCAGAATTTATTAGAATTTGGTGGTTTCCATATACTGATAAATGTATATTATGGAGAGCAAATAAATCAAATGATAAAATTTCACCACCAAGACCTTCATGGTATGGAACATGGTTTGGAAGAATTTTTTATGAATCTTTACTTTGGATTTCAGTTCATTTATGGCCAAGTTTTACTCCAAAAGTTGAAAAATTTGTTTTTAATCAACAATATGGTAATGTTGAAACTATTGGAAAAGGAGATATTGCAGTACAAAATTCAGTTGAAGCTTTAAATATGGATTGTTTATTTTCTCAATTTGTAAATGAATGGTCTGCTCCATTAAATAATGGTATAAAAATTTTAAAAGAATTAAAAAATATAATTGAAACAGCTGCAAATAAAAATGAATTTTATGTACATGCTCCAATAGAAGTACGTTGTTCAAATGTTACTCAATCAAATGAACCATTTAAAGATGATCAAGGTAATGATTCCCTTTATCCATCACAAGAATGGTTATCTCATAGAATTAAAACAAGTGCTGGGCCAATACCAGGAAATAACTTCCAACCATATATGGATAATTCACCAAGATTAAAATATCAAAATACTTCAAAACCAACAAATGATCAATTAACAATGTTTATAAATGCAACAATGTATAGACCATTTGGAACAAATGTAGAAACTTACAAATGGTATCAATTTTTTGAAAATATAATGATTGAAGGTGGTGGAAAACCTCATTGGGCTAAAAATTTTATTGGTTTCCCATCTGAGAAACAAAACTCGGAAGAAGATTTAAAAAACCAAATTGAATTTGGTGGTAAACCTTTTTATTCAATGGTTGGTTTCAAAAAAGTTATGCAAAATTGGTTTGGACAAGATTTAATTGAATTTAATAAAATTAGAAAATTAACTGATCCTGATGGTATATTTTTAAGTGGGAAACAATGGGCAGATAGAAATGGTATAATTTTGTAAAATGAGGATATAATGAATGAAGATATAGTAAGATGAAGATATAGTAAAATGAAGATATAGAATAGATAAAAAAAGAACAAATTACTATAATAGACAATTTTTATAGATAAAAATTTTATAAGTTAAGTAATACATTTGATAATTATTATTTATTTCTTTTACTTAAATGGAGCTTTTAATGGATCAATAACAACACCTTGTTTTGTAATAATTCTAGGCATAGTTAATTTTTGATGAGTTTCTCTACTTGTCCATTCTTGTCCCACAGGCATTCTTAATGATCTTTCATACTGTTCTTTAGTTTCAAAGCCAAATGGAATATCAGAAGATTGATATTTAAGATTCTTTTTATTTTGTTTTTCATTAATTATTACATTTTTTAAATTTTTATCTTTTCTTTTATCTTTTTGCATTATTCCATCAATTTTTTTTATAATTTTTCTCTTTTTTGGTTTTGTTGAACCTCCAGCCCAATCTCCCCATCCAGGTAATGTTAAATCTTCTTCTTTATCATCTTCATCTTCAACCATTTTTCTTTTTTCTTGTATAAATTCATTAACTACATCATCTCCAATAAATGCTTCTTTAATTAAATCTTTTTGTTTAAACATTTTAGGAACTGAATCTTCTGCGTCTTCTTCATTTTCCGAATCATTATGAATATCTCTTATATTTAAAGTTTCATTAATATCAATTAACGTATCATCTTTAGAATTATGTTTTTTTAATTTTTGTTTAGCTATTTTAGCAGCTGCTTTTGCAAATTTTGATGAATCTTGATCTATAGTTGTTATTTTTGATGATTTTTGTTTTGGATCATTAATTGGTCCAGAAGATAACCAAGGATTTGATTCATCAACTTCTAGTTTTTCAATCGTGGCTTTTGATGTATCAGAATTTTTGCTATTTTCCGTTATTTGATTTTTATTGAGCTTTTTGCTTATAGAACTAACATTATCTTCTTCAACTTGTTTCAATATTTCTTCATTGATATTTGAAGTGTCTTGAGCTGATGGATTATAAACACGTCTACCGGTATTTTTGGTGACGTTAACCAACCCATTATCATTATCTTGATCAAATAAATCAAGTCCATCATCTTCTCCATTCTCTATTCTTTTCAATCTTTCAAGTTCTTTCAAATTCTCTTCCTTCTTTCTACGTTCAGCATTAACCATAAAATCCATTGCCATTACACCCTTACCAATTTTTGAACGATCTATTTTATCCTTTTTATCAGTATTATTAATGTCGTATTCTATCTGTTCTAAATCATCATCACTATATTGATCTTCATCTTTTAACCCTATTTGTTTTTCTCTTAATCTTTCACCTTGTCGCAACATTTCTTCTAATTCAGAACGATTAGATGCATCTTTAGAAAGTCCACTTTTTATCATTGATTGAGCCCATTTCAGTTGAGTTTTATGTTTTTGACTCATTCTTTCTTGTGCTCTGTTATAATCATAATCTTCTTCATCTTCATTTTCTTCTGCTTCATCAACTAATTCTTGATTTCTAAGTCTTTCTCTTTTTTTAATTTTATGATATGTCTTTGATTTAATTTTCTTTAATCTTTTAGCTTTTCTTTCATCTCTAAACATTAATTCTCTCATTAATCGTAATTCATTAGTTCTTTTCAGTAATTCTTCAGATGATAATTTTGCCATTGCAATTTCTTCAAAAGTTGATTCATTTTTATTTGAATCTAAATTTGATTTAATTAATATTTCATTTACTTTCTTCTCCATTTCGTTCGTTGGTTCTTTATTATCTGGTCTAAATGTATTTGCTGAATCATTAATTTGATCTGATTTTTGCATTGGAAACTTTAATACTTCTGCTTGTCTATTTTGTTGAACTGTATCAGTCCATTTACTTACTTCTTTTTTAGCTATATCATATGCAGCTCCTCTATCATTTCTTTCCTGTATTCTTTTAGGTAATGGAGTTGCAATAGCTTTTGCATTTTTATCAATTAAAATATTATCAACACCTTCAACTCCTGACATCATTTCAGCTAATGATAATGTTTCACCTTTTGTTGGAACATTGAATTCATTCTCTTCACGATTTTCAACTATAAATTTTTTTCTTTCTTTTGGTCTTGATGAATCTAATTCTTTCTTTAACATTTTGGTTGTCTTACTTAAATCGATGTCGTCGTCGTCTTCATTGTTTGCAAAAACATCTTCCTCGTCTGAACTTGAATCTTCGTCTTCTTCATCTTCTTCGTCGTCGTCAGAAGCCCCATTCTTTGTCGAATCAGCTCCATCTTCTTCTATTGCATCATCATCTTCATCTTCGTCATAATCTTCCTCTCCACTTGACGAACTTTCTGACACCCATTCATCATTCAATACAATATCCGTTGGTTCTCTCTTATTGGTTAAACTTGCTAAATCTCGATCATCCATATCCCAAGCTTCTGATAAAGAAACTAATTGACTTTCATCTATACTATTATATCCATCATCCTCTTCTTCATCTTCACTATCACTATATTGATTCAACTTCTCCCTTTTCGCCTTATCCCTTAAAGTTTGTGAAAATTTACTATTCAAGACATCATAATCATCATCACTTCCCAATGCCTCATCTGAATCAAGTTCTTCATCTAATAAATCTTCATTTTCTTGTCCATCTTTTAAAAATTTTCTTGCATCTAAGATCCCTTCTTCAAATGCTAATCCACTTTGATAATTTCCACCATCTTCATCATCTGAATCTTTTATATTATTATTTCTTCTTTCTTGTCTTTCTGCTATTTGATAAGCATCTAAAACTTTTTGTGCACTTCTATTTCGACTACTTTTCCCAACTTTCTTTTTGTTGTTAGACTTGTTACTATTGTTGGGTTTGCTGTTCAGCCTGTTGTTGGTTTTACGGGACATTCTTGAACATAAACTTGTAGTAGTTAATCTAATTCCAAACACACAAGGATTTTATGAATTTTTCAAATGTGGTATAAGTTTCTAGTTTTGTGTAAGTTACAAGAGATGATTTCACTTAATTTGAAACAACTCTCATATAACGCGCGCAATAGGGGCAACATATATAAGATAAAGGATCTTACCTTCAAGGTTTGACTACGCTTTATTATAATCTATGACATGTAGGATTATAAACTATCTAATATATCATTAATTTCTTCAGCACTAAGCTTTTTAAATCTTGGACCTTCAACGTCTGTACCTGTAAATCCTAACAATTGTTGTTGAGGATCACTTATTACGGCTATATCCAAATTTTCCCCAATTAATTCTCCATCAACACTTTCTTTTAATGCTAATAAAGATACATGAATAGCATCTTCTAATTGTAAATTTTCATTCCATCTTTTCTCCAAAAATGTTTTAGCACTATTTGCAGTTTTCCCTATAGCAGTTGCCTTCCAAGGAAAATAAGACCCACTTGGATCAACTTGATATAATTGAAATTTATCTGAATAATCATCATACCCTCCTACTAATAATGAAACACCAAAAGGTCTTATACCTCCAGACTGCGTACTTTCTTGCATGACTTTTGCAATTTCTTGAACCATTATTCTTACAGGTGGATATTCATTATATATTAATTTATAGTTTGTTTGAGCTAATTTTCTTGCTTTATCTACTAATACTCGAAAATCAGGTCCCATTCCACTATATGTCATTCCAATATTTGGTGTTATATATTCAACTTTATTATTTACATCTGGTTTATTAAGTACTGAATTTGATTTACGTTCTGTTGCTAATACTACTCCATTATCACATTTTATTCCAATTGTTGTTACACCTTGTTTGACTGCATTTAATGCATATTCTATTTGGACTAATTTACCACTGAAAAATAAGTTAGTATTAGAAGATTTCAATTCAATTGACAGTAAGCAACATACCTTGGTGAAAATGTAGTCAATGAAAAAGAATATCTATCTGCCATTGATGTTACGAGTAGATTTTAGTCTGTCTTGTTGAGGTTTGAATATATGAAACTCTCGAGTAATAGATCTAGTTTTCAAATATTGATTTTGCCTTCTACAACTGTAAAAAAATTAACGCAATTACACGACACATAATGTTGCAAAGTATTTAAAGCGTCTTGATACAAATACAAACTAACAATATTAAATTCTATGCGTTTATTAATCTATAAATTGTCGAATTATATCACTTTTTACCTACTCTTCATCATCTGTATCAACCGGTTTAGGAGTACCCTTTGGAGAACTTAACCATTCAATATGTCTTAATCTTCTTCTCTCCTCTTGTAATTTCTTCTCGTTTCTAGTCATCTTCTTCTTTCTAGTTCTAACTTTAATATTAGCTGGAGAGTCATCATCATCAGCTCTCTTTTTAAGCGGTGGAGCTGGCTCCGGAGCTGGTGATCCTTCAACAGATTCATCACCACCATCTTCAAATCTTTTATTATCAACTGCAACAGTTCCTTTTTGAACGACTGCTCCATTTTCAACATGCCATTGTTCTGGACATAAAGCTCCTACGAATTCATTATTATGTGAAATCATAACAACACCTCCACTCCATTCTCTTATTGCTATAGCTAAACCACCAAGTGAATCTCTATCTAAATAATTGGTAGGTTCATCCAACACCAATAAATGTGGATTATTCCACATAGCTCCTGCAATAACAACTTTAACTAATTGACCACCTGATAATGAACCCATAGGTGTATGATCCGCAATATCACCATCTAGACCAACATCTTCAAAATGTTTACGAATGACTTTTGGTGTTAATTCTCTATAACCTAAACCTTCTCTTGAAGCTTCATGATCATCGAATTTTTGAATCAATTTATCAAACCCTTCGGCAATTAATGTCTCTCTTGGTACCCAAGAATTATATTTTGGTAACCAGAATTTCCATTTGACTTCATATTGGAAAGATTTTTTCAACTTTTGTCTACCTACAATAGCTTCAACTTGTCTTTTACCTCTTCCATCACCAATGTCTATTTCTTTTTCCATCATTTCAATCTCTTCATCTGATATTTTTCTTGATTCTTTTAATAAAACTTCACGATCATCACCAAATCTATAACGCCATTGTAAATATTGATTTGCTGTTTTTTCTTTGTGTTGTTCAACATGTTGTAATGCATGTTGAGCAATATAACCTATACGTAAATTTGGATGTTTTTCAACTTTACCTTCAGCTGGCATTAATTCACCAGTCAATAATTTAATTAAAGTGGATTTACCAGCCCCATTAGGACCAACAATGGCTACTCTTGATGATAATGATAATGAGCATGAGACATTGTTAAGTGATGGTTTAGCTGCTCCTGGATACGTGAATGTAACATTTGACATACGAGCAACTGATCTAGTATTTGATTTGACCCCTGTCAAAATACCCGGTGGAGGAAAAGCCATTTTAACATTTGAATCAGTTAACGTGTAATATGATTTACCTTCAGGTTTGACTTTGACAAATTCCGATAAATTTCCTTTGTAATAAGCTAATTTTTTGTTTTCATAATGAATAATGTCAGTACATACTGCATCTAAGAATCCTGAATCATGCGACACTATCAATGAAGTTATTTCAGTATGTTCAACAAGATAATCTTGCAACCATTTGACATTACCAACATCCAAATGATTTGTAGGTTCATCTAATAATAATACATCTGCTTTTAATAACATTGCTCTTGCTAATTCTAGTTTCATTTTCCAACCACCGGATAAAGAACCAACATTCTTTGATAAAGTTTCCTCGGGAAATCCAACATCTTCTAAAGCAACTTTAATTGCTTCTTTTCCAACATTTATCAATTCTGGATCAGATGCAATAAAACTAATCAAATCCATATCTGCTTCAGATCCTTGTAACTTATGTTCAACAAAACAGGTTCTTAATTCTTCAGCTGATGGGAATCCCTCTAAATTACCATTTGCGATTGCTCTCATTAATGTTGATTTACCAGCTCCATTTCTACCACAAAGACCATACCTATGACCTTTTAATAATCTCAAATTAGTTTTGTTTAACAACATACGAGTACCATATGCTAATGAAAAATCAGCATCAACAATTTTAACGGAACCATCATCTTCAAGATCATTATTGTCAGATTCTGGAACAAATAAATGTTTCACGTTAGCTGTGACTGCCAGGGCATAGGCTTCATCATTGTTTGAAATTTGATTTAAATACTCATGTAATCTTTTCCAATCGTTTACGTGAGCATCAATTTGCAAAATGTGTGCTAAATAATCGGTTGTAGTTGAATCATCGAAAATTGAAGGGATCGAGATTCCTTCTGGAAGGTTATCTCGGTAAAGGTTTTCAGCATCTTTGAGACTAATTCTACCATGAAATTTACCATCTGATTTTTCTTCTTCAGCATCTACCAACACTTTATAAGCTTTACCTGCCAATTCTCTAACCTCTGGTAATGAGGCATTTTTATAGACCTTCTCAACTCCTGGTTTCAAAATTGGAATGAAAGATTCAATTTCTCTTTTGTTGTTGACTAATCTAGTTAAATTTTCCGTGACCATTACTGTTTGTCTCAATTGTTCATTTGATGATGATGACATTTTCAATGATTTATCTAAAATTGGTACCAATAAAGACAACGCCGGTTCAGTAACTTCAGCAACGAATGTGACGGATGATAATGATTTAATACAATCAGTAACTTTTTGGGGATCTGCTAAAGTTTCAACAATTAAATCATACTTATTTTGTAAATCCAAATTATCTAATACTTTAACAAATTTTTTCAAGGTAGATAATCCAACTTTTGCCAATTCAGGTTTAAAATCCGTAGATAAATCAGTCAAGACTGGAACAACGTCAACGAATTTCAATTCAAGTATATCTGCTGGAACTTCCTCTATAATTCTATTAAAATGTGTTAAAGCCGCAACTTTTGAATTCCATTTAGCTCCAGATTTGAAGTAAGATAAATAATCATCAATGACAACGGAACCTAAAGCTTCGACAGGATAAATCCCATATAATGCATCAGTAGCACTTTTAGCTGCCTTCAATACATTTTTGTCTTTATCAATAAACATATCATATGCAGTAGAAAAAAATTTTAAAAGATGTATTTCCTTGGGTGTTTGGCCTGCAAATTGGGTTGCCAATTGTTGTATTATCAACAAAGCACCTTCTTTCACTAATGGTGGATTTTTAGGTCTCAATAATGACTTGATTATCTCATTTAATTTCCATTCATTTATTATTGATAAATTTTCTTGTTCTGCGATTTGACTGACTATAGTATTGACTTCAGCTTTTACTTCACTGATTTTATTTGCCCTCTCTATGTTGGATAAACTTTCTTCAAATGGAACATCAACATTCAATTTTGAAAGAGCTGTATTTAATGATGTAAGTGATGTAGTAGAGGCATTTGGATTCGGCGTAGATCTTCCACTAGTAGGTAATGAATCAACTGGTGATGCAATTGATGATGATCCTTGTGTTTGTCTGTTGTAATTATTGTACCTATTTTGATTATAGCCTTGATTTAATGACTGGTTCTGTTGTTGTTGCTGTTGAGGTTGATAATATTGTTGACCTTGTGGAATAAACGTGTTGTTAAAATTATACTGAGAACCAGCTCCGTTATTCGCATTTTTATAGCCGTAAGTCTTTGGTTTTTGAGCTTGCTGCTGTTGCTTTATAAAATCGTCGAATGACTTTGACATTTAAGGAATAGTTATAATAAACTGACGCTAATGAATGACGACGTTAAATTTGATAAAGGTGATAAAGATGATACTCTTCTGCTACATTATTTGGTACAAAAAGAATTATTTTTAAAATTTTTCAGATCACAAAAAGAAAAAATAGAAGATGATATCGAGGAGCCGCATTAAGCACCATAAATGGATGTTTCATTAATATGTATTATTTGTTTCAATCTCATAAGAAATTTGTTTCAGCATTAAATTGACCAGCAAAGTTTGATCTCCCACTTGATATAGAACATTATATGGAGCTAGACTTGAGTCTCCTGATGATTTTAGAGAGCTAATACTTGATTTATCATCCGTGTTTGAATCACCAATATCTAGTTTATCCCATCCAAGAAATGTGATATTTTTGACATTTTTATTTTTACTCAAAAATCTTTTGCCAAAAGTTCCTAATTCTTTTTGAGTGATTTGATTAGTCGTTATGTTCTGAGTTAATTGATATATTCTAGATGTAAACAATTTAGTCCCATTCGTTATACCATTAATTGCTAACCCAAAAATATTTGACTTCAGATCGGATTTTGATTCAAATTTTAGTAATGAACTCGATCTGATTTCTGAAAAGTTGCTTTTGGTTGAGAATAAATTGGTGGACTTAGTTGCTTTGTCATGAAAATCTAGTACCTTTAATTCATCTCCCAATAATAGAAACGATTCATTATGTAATGCAAATATGTTTGAGATTTTTTTTGGATTCATTGATAAGGAAAGTTCTTTACTAAATATTACTTTCCTGTTACCTTTTGAAACAGTAGTCAATTTAGCGTTTTGATCAGCTTCTTTGAAGTTTAAATAAATGGTATATTCCGAATTATCATAAACCTCTATATTATCAAACTCTTCATCGACATAATCATTTATTGATGGTTTTGAGTCTTCCACTCGTGGTTCGTTTATGTTTTCTCGTCTTTCTTCTGATTCGTCGTTGTCACCTATCACCGTCCCTGCTTCGCTATCATTTGACAAAGCTCTTTCCAAAACATCGTCAATGTCATCATCACTATTTACATAATTTCGGCTAGACGCTACTTCTTCTTCGATAGACATGTCGTTTTCATCTGTGAAAAATCTTGATATCACGTTTGACTTGGGTGATGTATTATTAGTGCTGGAGGAATTAGTGAAATCAAAGTCTTCATCGCTTTTGTCTATCAATGCATCAAATTCATTTTCGTTTTTGTTTGGAAAATTCAATTGTTCTAGTGATGATGATGGTGCTTTGAGTATAGTAAATATTTCTTTCATTGTGTCTTTTAATTGCTTTCTTGATTCTTTAATCATAGTCAAATCTACTTCCGGGATAGAATCGTCTGTTTCAGTTTTCTCTTCATCTTTTAAATTAGGATCTTTCTTCAATATTCGTATTTCCTGTTCTAAACTATTAATTTTAGCCTGTTGCTTTTTGTTTATAAATTTCAATGAATCTACCTCTCCTTGTAAATGCAAAATCTTATACTTCATTTCTGATTTTTCTAAATTTGTGATTATTTTAAACCTTTCCAAATGAGTGAACTCAGAAGTCAAATAATTTATAACTCCAGGTAATGTATAAGTGGGCTCATTTCTATTATGATTTGATTGTCCTCCATTCGGAATATTATTATTATTATGGGTGTTTATATTTTTCCATTGAGTTTGTGGATTGATTTGGGAATTATCTTTAGCAGGCATGATATGTTATCTGCTGAAACGTAAGATATCTATCTTTTGATATATATGATGACCTTGTTCATTAACGATCGTAAGAGATCAATTTTTGGATTGATCATTATAATAAACAGACTCGAAAAAAAACAAAATCGTAACAAAACCAAAAGTCATTTTTAAGACTATGAATTATGCCATTCACATTGATACAGAGATGGCCCTGTTACTGGTAACAAGTCAATTCATAAGAACTAGAGTTATCGTGAAAACGGATCATTAAATTCATTTCTCATGCTTTTATGTTTGGTTCTATGCGTTATCTATCTCAAAAATATTAGTTAGACTGTTCACTCTTACATATCCAATCATTTAATCCATACTTATTTCTTGCAATTTCAATAGCATAGAATTGTATTCTAACAGCAAACATAGTTGTATCTTGACCATATTCATCGCTTGCTTTCAACCTCAATAAAGTACCAAAATTATAATCTTCGATATCTTTAAATTTTTCACAAAATTCCCTCCATTTAGTTTTACCTTGTGGAGATTTTATTTCATTCTCATCTATAACTTCAGCTTTCGATTTTTCTTTAAATTCTGGAAAGTCCTCCAATAATTGTTCAAAAATTTGATCATCATGCTTGGTTAATTTCAACTTTGAACCTGGAACTTTTTCCAATAATGACCAATATGTTTCTGCTTGTTGTACCGCTTTTACGGCAAATTGCATTTCAATTTCTTCTAGATTATCGGCATTTTCTCCGTCAATTGGTGGTTGTGACATTACTAACAGTCTTGTTTCTGACTACTTGTTTATTAAATGGTTTTAAAAAGATGAGTGAAACGGACTATAGATAATATTGCGATAACGTACAGGAAAAAAAAAGAATTGAACAGAATAATTTTAATTGCTTTCATTTCTTCGAATTGAATATAATCCTAATTTTATCAGTTGAAATGTTTACCCACTCACCTTTGGGAATCTTACATCCAACATAATCGAATCAGTTGAAGTCTTGCCTTTTTTCAGCTAATTAAAATTTACTAAGCTATAAGAGTCAATCAAACAACTACGATCACTACAATCATGGAAGCACTTTCTTGATTATAACGTAAGAGACAAATATAGAGAGCCTAATGCAGAAATAAAATTGAAGTCTCAAATGAACTTCCACCATAAGAGATGAAGTATTAATTCATGCTGATTCCGTTGAGGAAAATCCAAATATTTATAAAATTGAGGTAGGTATACCGAGTGACTATGATAGAGTATTAAAAGTGAAATATTTGAAACCGTATTATACAAACTTTCTAAATATGTTAAAAGATCCACATCCCCCGTAATCCACTATTTGAAAACGTGGACTAGTCAAAGACAAATTAATGCTATTGTTGAATATTAGAAGAGTGAAGTTGAATTTATTTTTCTGGACTGTGATCCATCTCATGCTGTTGTTTGTGATTACAATGATGCACAGAAAGCAATAGAACCTACTTATTTACAGAAATTATTAGATAACTTTAAGATTGAGTCAGCAATCGAAAAAGCTTCAGGTGAAGTTATTGAAGTATCTCAAGAGGAAGTTGATACTAAAATAGTGAGATTTCCGTACAATTTAGAGAAGATTTATTATGGTATGTATAATCTTAATTGTATTGGTCTTATGATCTCACTATCTGTGGTTTTTCTACCGTAAGGTTTTCCACAGCATTTTTTTTTTTTTTTGAACTTGGATATTATATTTTTTTTGAAAATTTTTTTTAATTTTTTTGATTTTTTTGGTTAACATTTATGTTAATTTTTTTTAGTTTTTTATGGGTAAGTTAGTTTTCAAATGAGTTGTTAGGTTTGGTTTTATTTTTCCAATCCATTTTTTTTTATAGTGTGTTGGTTGGTTCTGTTTTAGTGGATTTGTTGCACAACATAATATCCTTCAGACCAATTTTTTCCATTCCATACTTAGGTAAAAAGTATATATCATTCATTTATATGATTGATCAATCCAGTTCAAGCTATCACATCATTCAAAGATCCTGATCAAATCTTAGTAATGATTCAACCTTTCATTTATCCTTCCTGTTGTTGTTGTTGGTGTTCATCTGACATCGTTTCGGGCGGGGAGTATGTTAGGATATTAATGTTCAAATCTTGTCTGTATTCGTAATAGATTACCTGATGAGATTGAAACAGTGATTTTGCTTTTCCCTTTTTAATGAATTCAAAATAGTTATGCAAGATAAGAATTAGATTGATAAGATTTATTAAAGTTGATTACTATTATATTATGTTAAAGCAAACTTAATTAGATAATTGCTATTGATATTGTTTCATATTTGTTTGAACAATAAGAGATTATGATTATGAATAGTTAGAATTGCGTAAGCAATTAAAGCTATTAATTATTATTATCTGCATACTGTGAGATAAACACATATTACTATTTTGTCTTTGTATTCATTAACTAGGAAGATTGACTATTGTGCAAGTCAATGATAGAATTATAAAAAGGATTGAATATCCTCTGGATTAGGAATGTGATATAGGAAATTAATCCTTAGTATAATTAAGACGAACGTCATCAACAACTCATATAAATAGAAGTACATAGTTAATCAACATCATCAAACACCTATAACTAAGATTATATTATCATCATCTATATTAATCATTTCTATTTTTGATAATCAATTGCAATCAAAAGATCCGCAACCTTGTCAGTTCTGATTATTATCATATTTATCATTACTTATTTATTATTTTTGCATAAGTAAGGAATCTATAATGAACTTGCGTACATCCTATAATCTAAGAAACTAATATAGAAAGCTTAATGCGGAGTTTTTTCTAAATAATTGAGTAAAGTTGAAGTTTTAAATGAGCTATCAGATAACCCCGTAATATTGAATAGTTTGAACTTTTTTTAGATGTGTCAACTGAATTAATGTCATACTATTAACATGCAAGCAAAATTCAAAGTCGAATTTGATTAAATTATGAATTATCCAAATCTTTCAATATCCATGAAGCTTCTCGTACCCCACTATTAAATGCACCGTGAACACAGCCTGCTCCATCTGAGATAGTATGTTCACCAGCAAACCTTATGTTTTTCTCGCTTAACCCACAATTGGGAAATTCACCAGATAAAGTTATAATCAAATCATTAGCATCATCACCAACGTGCATCGCGGAATAAGCTCCCCTTATATATGGGTTTAAAGTCCAATTTGTAACTATCGTATTTATTGGATCTGAAATTGGTTTTTTTGCCATTTTCTGTAACATTGGTTTATAATATTCCCATACTTCTTTAGGATGTGATTCAAGATATTCAGTTAAGGGTGATTGTGTTAAAAACACTAAGCTACCACCATTCTTTTCGGGGTGTACCCTTGCAAAGTTAACACAGTAAACCGGATAAGTGAAAGGTTTGGGAAGTGACTCCAATTTTTTGTATAATCCATCAGTAGGAACGTTATCCGCAATTATTTGAAATCGATCTTGAGTCGGATCCCACCATATTTCATCAAATTCCAATACAACTTTTCCAAGAGCTCCAAAATGCATTGTTTTAAGCGAGGATTGAACTTTTTCTGGTAATGGAGGATTCCACTTTATACCATACTCATGATCCTGATCTAATTGTAAAATTGAAAGCGGTGTTGTAACAATTATATAATCAGAATAAATTTTTAATCCACTCTTGGTTTCAACACAAACTTTTCCATCCTTCATTTTCCTATTTATAACTTTTGCTTGTTCGTTTAATAAAATTGACAGACTCGGTATTTCACTGGAAATCAATTCAACCAAATAATAATAGCCCTTCTTATTGAGTAAATTTCTACCTTGATGATCCATAACTGCATATTTACCACTAGATATATCTGAAGTTATACCAAACCATAACTCTAAATATCTCATCATACGAGCACAATACTTTTTTTGTTCATCAGTAAGCAATAGGTCATATTTGTCAAGAAATTTATCAACAATTTCAATACATGACAAATCTTTTCGCTCTATGTCCTCATGAAAGTAAAGTTCAATATACTTCTCAATATCTTCCAACACTCTGTTTAATTTTAAATCGGCTACATCTAATAAACCCTCACTTGAATAAACTTGAACATCCTTATCGTCATAGTACACATCATTTTTCAAATCTATTTCATTTCCATCAATTATGTAATCCAATGCGCTATTATTCAATGAATCATGGAACCAAGATGCTCCCAAATCATACCGTATGCCTAATTTAGATTGAGATTCCTCAGTGGTTTTTAATCGGCCACCAACATGATCTTGAGCTTCAATAATAGTTACATCATCTGGTCCAATATTTGGATCAAGAAGTAGTGTATGGGCAGCTTTTAAACCTGATATTCCAGCACCTATGATAGTGACTTTAGTATCTCTTGACATTGATATGGCTGAGGACTACATGATTAATTGGATTGAACACTTGCAAATTTATAAAATATCAAAGCGCATGTTCTTTCCGAATTAGTTGGTACGACTTTTGCGCTCTTTCACGTAATCATAAAATTGTTAGATCTATCATAGCCAGATAATTCCATTACAAAATTCTACAAAACTATTCCTATAAAACTTTACAAACCTAAAGACGTCCTAACATGTTTCCGTATTTGTTCATCATATGATTTTCTATCGTCTCTCCATAATTTACAAGCATCTATATTTGCACCACTTTCAGGATTTGGTTCAGCCAACATCGAAATAACACTCAATAATATCTTCTCGATACTTTGTACTGGTGACCATCTTTCCTCGGGTCTTTCATATTGATTTGGATCTTCTCCTGGTGGATGTAAAATCGATATACAAACTGTTCCATCTGCATAAATATTTGGATGTAGTAAAGGTGGATCAAATTTTAAAGTTGGAGGACTTAGTGGATAATCTTTGGGGAAAGTCAAAATTGCTGGAAACACACCATTTTCATAAGGAGTTTCAGATGGTCCTTCTAAAAAACATTCCCATTTGAATAAATCATCTTCTGATTTTGGTCCGGCTAATATACCTGGTGGAGGATCTCTTGATAATAATTGATATTCTTTTAAAAGACGTTTATGAGCAGTAGAACGTGGAGCCATTTACTGATCAATGTGTTTTGGATATTGAAATATTGATGGACTGAGTGTCACTGAGTTATTTATGGAAATGTATAGTAGCTTAAAGTTTGATCCACTGAAACCACATTCGTGTTCAAAATATGATTGTAATTTGGTAGCTTCATTCCCCCCATACAAAATTTATGTTGCAAAAATTATAATTCTCGAGAATTGAAAAATTCAAATTGAATCAGACGACCACAAATATTTGGTATCAGTCTTCAAAACATTAAAAACCAATTACATCCACTGAATCCATACGACCATACACAATCAATGTCTTTATTTGTTGCCAAAGTGAAAAATGTATTGAGTGGAGATACAATTGTTGTCACGCCTTTAAAATCAAATCAGTTCCCACCACCAGAGAGAGTTATAACATTGTCCTACGTAAAACCAATTGATGAATTCAATTCAAAGGAATATTTAAGACAGTTATTGATTGGTAAGGAAATCAAATTCAAAGTTGACAATAAAGCTGGAAATAGAGAGTTTGGGGATGTACAATCACCTATATTCAAGTCATTAATAGAGTACCTTTTATCCAATGGTTACGTCAAGTTAAGAGATAACATTCCAGACGATGAACAAGTTGATGAATTGAAGCAAATTGAAAATAACGCAAAGTTAAATCAAAAGGGACTTTGGAGTACCAAGACGAAAAAAATCGAAATAATCCCAATCAATGAAGATATTATTTTATCATCTCAAAAGTCACCTTTAAAATTAATTGTTGAAAAAGTGATAAGTGGTGATAGAATAATAGGTAACGTTTTTGTAAATAAGACTCAAGTTGCCAATACGCCGTTATTATTAGCCGGTATTAAATCTCCAAGAACTGATGATCAAAGTCAATCTCAACAATTATTAAAAGTATCACAACAAGCAAAACAATTTGTAGAAGATAAATTATTGAGTACAAAAGCTGAATTGACAACCACCATAATCGGCGAAAACCAAGCTGGTATTCCAATTGCATTCATTAATCATCCACTGGGTAATAATATTCATGAAAAATTACTTGAATCAGGATTTGGTGAAATTGTAGATTGGCAGTCATCATTGATTGGTTCTTCTGTCATGAGTCAATTAAGAAAAGCAGAGCAAATTGCTAAAGCTTTGGGTAAGGGTATCTATGCAAATACAACTACAAAGACTATTAATGGAGCTCAAAATGGAAGCTCAAAATTGAAACCGGGAGTTTCCATCCATAACGCAACAATAGCAAAAGTAATTAACGCTGATACTTTACTAGTAAGACTTTCTGAATCTGATGAAGAAGTTACTGTCCAACTAGCTTCAATCAGAGCACCAAAACCAAATGATACCACTGTAACATCAGATCAGTCAAAACAACAAGCTCTAGTTGCTACCGCTCGTGAGTTTGTTAGAAATCAAGTCATAGGCAAACAAGGAACTTTATACATTGATGGGTTCAGAGAAGCTAATAAAGATCTAAATTTAGAAGCTAGATTTTTGGTTAGTTTTAAATACGGGAATAATGATTTATCTGAATTGATAATAACAAATGGTTTTGGAACAGTAATTAAACATAACAAAGCTACTCAAAATGAGCGTTCATTAAACTGGGACAAATTAATTGAATTAGAAAATGACGCCAAAAAATTAGGTAAAAAGGGGATTTATGGAGATTTGAACAAAGTTTTGACTGTGGGAACAAGAATCATTGATGCTTCAGAAAATTTGACAAAGGCAAAAACTTTTTTCAACGGGTTTAAACAAAAAGGTAGAATTAGTGGATATTACATTGATTTCATTCCTAATGTTACTCGTGTCAAATTGTTTAATCCAAAAGAAGGTTTGAAATTAACTTTATTGTTAGGTGGACTTTCGAATAATAAAAATGATGTTTTATCAGAAGAAGGTTTAAAACTTTTAAATAAAAAATATTTACAAAGACCAATTGAATTTGAAGTTTATGATACTGATAAATTAGGTGGTTTTGTTGGTAACCTTTATGCTAATTCAAATTCATTGTCTCCTGTCCAAGAGCAAATCATTTCCCAAGGATTGGCAAAACTTCATGAATTTGCTGTTAATTCTAATCCTCAAGCTTCAGTTTTAATCAAAGCTGAAGATAATGCTAAAGCCCAAGGAAAGGGAATTTGGAAAAATTTCGATGCTTCAAAGGAAAATAATGAATTAGCACAAGCAACTGCTAAAATAGAATCTACGAAATTAGAATCTTTGAAACCTAAATTTTTCGATATCGAAGTTGTATATATTGATTCGGAAGGATTGTTATATTTTCATAAAACTGATCCAAAACAAAAGCAAATTTTCACAAAATTCAAACAAGATTTTCAACAATTTCATTCTCAAGCACCTAGTGCATCAAAATTATCTCAAGATTTACCGGTAAACTTAGATAAACCTCCAAAAAAAGGTGAGTTAGTATCAGCAAAATTTTCAGATGATAATAAATATTATCGTGCAAGGTTTTTGGGAGTGGACAAAACTACTAATAAATATGAAGTACAACACATTGATTTTGGAAATATTGATAAAGTTAGTCTCAGTGCATTACGTCAATTACCTACAAAATTCAATACAACAACTATACCAAAATTTATTTTCACAACAACTTTACAAAATTTAAGATTACCACCATCGAAACCAACCGATTATTTAACTGATGCCATTTATGCATTAGAAGATTTGACATATGATAAAAGTTTAGTCCTCAGTGCATTACCGGGAGTTCAAGCTGAATATGAAGGTATTTTGTACGATTCAGAAGAAAGTTTGAAAGATTCATCATATACAATCAACAAACAACTAGTTAAAGAAGGTTGGGCTGTTGTTGATACTAAAAATGTAAAACCTGTAAATAAGGAATATGTTGATGAATTAATCAAAATTCAAAAATCCGCTAAATCAAATCATATTGGTTGTTGGGAATTTGGTGATGTTTCTTTTGACGAACATGATTTATTAGCATAATTTTATAATGTCCATAGATGAAACAAAAAAATAAAAGTAATAAAATGCAGGGTTCAACAAAAGAAATCAGTACCACGTAAACCAAATTTGTTTGGACCTATTACTCTTAACATTATTATCGGATAAAGGGTAAATTGTATCTTATCTCTATCACTAAATCTTACATAAAATAATAATATTAATAATAATAAATCTGATCAGAGAAAGGCAAAAGAATTTTTCAAATTGTTCGCGATAAAAAAAAAGAAAAAAATTGAAAAATTATTATCAAGCCAGAAAGATCTTCTATTAATATTATAGGATTTATCATTACTTAACTGAGGACCCTTTTCACACCAACCATCAAAAATGAATCCGGCTTTTACAAATATTGCAATCATGCTTGTTGGTATGCAAGTTGCCAAAAAATTAGATTTTGAAAATCCAGATGTTTTATTTTATACAAGAGCATTTTACATTGCATGTCAAGTTTTAACATTTTTAATTTATTTTATTGTTAGATTTAAAATTAATTCTAAAAATGATTTGACAACTATTAAATATGTTGAACCACCAAATCCTATGTCTGGACAAACTGAACCAAGAGCTGTTGTAACTACTGTTAAAGAATATGATTTACAACAAGTTAATTCTCAAATTAAAGGTATCTTTACAGGATTAGCTATGATGGGTTTTATGCATATTTATATGCAATATACTAATCCATTAGTTATGCAAAGTGTTTCTGGTATAAAATCTGCTTTAGAATCAAATATTGTTAAAATTCATTTATATGGAACTCCAGCTACTGGTGATTTAAAAAGACCTTTTAAATCTGCTCCTGGATTCTTAGAAGCTTTAACTGGTGGTGCTGGTGTACAAACTGATAAAGCTTCAGTTGAAAATGCCGAGGTTAGTGGGGCAGGTGGTATTAAACAAGATTAAAAGTTTAGAAAGTAGAGATCTCGATATCATCAATATTAATATAAACATGGCCCTTGGTGATGGTTCTATATATACATAAACATAAATATTGATAAAGCTTGTATTTTTAAAAATAACGCACGAATTAACATCAAACTTTGTAGTTCTGCTTTACCACTATACATTCTTGTTCTTTTCCTCTAGTAAATGATATTAAATCTAATAATTTACCTGCAATTATAAATTCACCAATTGTCCATTCTCCGGTATCATAAATTTCAGGAACTGCACTTGCTAAATCAGGTATAATTGCATCAAATACAGGTTTATAATTTAAAACTTCTTGTCCGGTAATATCAATAGTTTCACGTAAATGTTTAAATAATTTAAAAATCCAATCAGGTAATTCTTCATTTGATTTATATAAATTTTTATTATAACAACGTATTAACCATAATAGCCAACATTGATCTTGAAATTCAGATTCTAAAATTTTCTCATATGAATCAAATCCTAAAAATAATAATGATTGTTGAAATCTTGTATCCTTTTTGTATACATTTTTTAAAGTGATTAAATTTGATTTTGATTCTGTTAATAATTGCTTTTCTTGTCTTTTAATGTCTTTTATAGCTGATGTAAATATTTTATTTTGTGAATCAACGTACCATTTGATGTAGTTGTACCTTAATGATTTTACGATTGGTACATCTAACCTCAACATATTCTTTTTCACTTCTAATGCTGCTCTTAAATGATTCAAACCAGCGAATTTCATGCGTAGTGTAATTTCACCTTTTTCCCAAGGATTTTGTACTAGTACTTGAAAGACTTGTATGAGGTTTTCGGGGATATTGTCTGAATTTATGAAAAACAAAATACCATTTTCATAATTTTCTTTATTTGACTCAGTTTCACCGACTATTGAATTAGTATAGTCATCTATCGTTGGTAACTTCACATCCAATTCTTTTAAAATTTTTAAACTTGATTCAGGTACTTTGATCTTTAAAGCAACTGAATCAGCAACATTATTTTCAATTGCAAATCCATAAGCTAGTAACAATTCTTCATTACCTTTCATTCCATAATTATTAAATATTTCTTCACCATTTGGTATTACCGAATCTGTTTCAAACACAAATGATTCATTATTACAAGTCCATTGAACTTTTGCTTTTGGATTATGATTTAACATATCTACTACAGGTAATAACATCAGTTCATTTTTCGGTACTGTTTTGTCAATGATATATGTTGGAAATGATCTACTTTTAAAAATTAAAGATGACCATAAATAATTTGGAAAACTAGTCCAATTTTGAGGATTTGAATTATTAAAATAATCAAAAAAATCTTGATCTTTATAAAATTTATATTCATAGTAAAATTTCATATTTATAAAATGTTCTTCAGGTTTGTTGATTGATTCCGGTAGAAGATTAATAACACTCCACCATTCTTCTATTAATGCTTGTAAATTTTCATTTAATGAGTTACCTAAGTTTGTTCCCTGAATATAAGATTTTTCTTCTGGAGACCAAGTATATGGTGAACCTATTTCTTGTAAATCAGGTAGTATATCGAAATATGGTTTATAAAATGAATTTGAATGTAGTCTCTCATAACATAAATACAATTTCAATAATGCCCCATGATTCTTGCTTTCATTACATACTTTTTCACCAAATAATGATTTTGCTAAATCACAAGTAATTATCAACTTTCGAGGAATTTGTATAGATGCTTTTGATGTATTTGTAGATTTTGCACCAAAATTGGATTTGTCAAATTGTGTGAATTCAATATTATCAGATATTCCGGCACCATCGGTCTTAGCCCATTCCACCAATTTATTAATCTTATCCATCTTTTTTTATATGTTTAATAGTGGCAAGTCGATGTATGATGATCATTTGCTGCAAAAAAGGTTAAGTCGTGTAATCATATTTTTTCAGACACTAAAATAGATTTCCTAAATTACCATCATCAGATTAACATACTTAAGTAAAGCGACTATGATATCAAGAACATTGGTCAGAGGCGCTTATAAACAAAATGTTGGAATACTACTACAGTTAAGTACCAGATCATTTTCGCAAAATTTTATTAAATTTCAAGAAATATCAAAAGACAAAAAAGAACCTTCATCATCATCACCATCACCAGAACAATCAAAAAGAAGACCATTGAGTAGAGTTGCAATTGGTGGTTCCAAAGATTCAAACAGAAACTTCAACAAGGGAAGTGGATTGGAATTTGCAACATGGAAAGCAGTTGTTTTATTAATTGTAGTTGGAGGTGTTGGAACTTATTTTTTTCAAAAGGAAAAAGAAAGATTGAAACAAATAAGAGAATTAGAAGCTAATAAAAAAATTGGAAAACCATTAATTGGTGGAGCTTTTTCTTTGGTAGATACTGAAGGTAATAAATTTACAGAACAAAATTTAATTGATCCAAATGGTAAAAAATTTTCAATTTTATATTTTGGATTTAGTCATTGTCCTGATGTATGTCCTGAAGAATTAGATAAATTAGGTGATATGTTAGATATTTTAAAAAAAAATAATGTTGAAATTCAACCAATTTTTATAACTTGTGATCCTGCAAGAGATTCACCAGAAGTATTAACTAAATATCTTGAAGATTTTCATCCTGGAATTATTGGATTAACAGGAACTTATGAAGCAGTTAAAAATACATGTAAAAAATTTAGAGTTTATTTTTCAACTCCTTCAGATGTTAAACCTGGTCAAGATTATTTAGTTGATCATTCTATATTTTTTTATGTTTTAGATCCTGAAGGTAATTTTGTTGATGTTATTGGTAGAGAAGCTTTAGCTCCTGAAAGTGCAGAAAAAATAACAAAATGTGCTGAAGCATTTGTACCACTGGATCAATTGGAAGCTAAGAAGAAAGGTATATTTGGGTTCCTTTATAAATAAATTGTTCATAGTAGGTGAGAGGTCATGTAAATAGTGGAGGGTTAAAAATAAATAAAATATCAATTTTGGATTTAAGTATAAATCAATCTTCTATATCCACCACATTCTTTACATTCTTCTTGATGTTTAGCCATTAAAGCTTGAGCTTTTAATGGATCTTCAACTTCTTGAGGTTCAGGCCATGATAAAAATTCATTAGTATAATTTGGAACGTAATCATTTGGTAAAATTTCTAATCTTTTACCATAATTATTAACTTTATTCCAATCACGTTTAACATTATATAAAGAATCAGAAAAATAGGCAAAACATCTTTCAAATTTTTTTGAATTTAAATTTGAAATCATTTGAGGTTTAAAATTTCCATATTCTTCCCATGCTTGTTTTGGATTACTTAAGATGTAATCAGTTGATTTTTTAATAGCTTTCATAAATGATCTAACTTTGTCTGGATTTTCTTTAATGAAAGTATCATTTGCAATATAAAGAATTGTACAAAAACAACAACAACCTAATTCAGCTAATTTATCAATTCTAAGCATTTTTGCATCATTTGGATTTTTACCTTGTTGTTTTAAAGCTTCTTCTAATTCAACTTGTTGAATACATTCAATACCAATTCCACAATCAATACTACCATCTAAAATATATTTTGCAACATTCATACCACATCTAACAGCAGTATAATCATCGGGAGTCATTCCATAATATTTTGTTAATTCATCAATTTGAATTTTACCAAATTCTCCAACATAACCAATTTTTTTACCTTTTAACAGTTCAAAATTTGAATTAATACCTGAAGATTCTAAATAACAAACTCCTGTAAAAGGTTCATCTAATAATGAACCAATTGATGTCACTGGATATCCTCTTGCTTTTGCAGCTAATGTATGAACCATTGCTTTTAATCCCATATCAATTTTTCCAGAACCAATTAATTCGGTAACATCAGAAGGATTTGATGGTTCTAATATAGCAATATCTAAACCTTCATCTTTAAAATATCCTTTTGTTAATGCGAGATATACTGGTATATGATAAGGAGTAGCTTCCCAATTAAGACAAAATGTAATTTTATTAGTAGTCATTGTGATGAAGAGTAAAATCGTTACAAGGAGGGTTGAGGAAATGATTAGTAGAAGAAAATTTCGAGTATTTATAAATTCGAATTTTCAAAGTTTATACATGTTAATGGCATAAGGGATGTTCAGAAAATAACTATTACGAGGATTATTCTTTAAAAAGTCGATATGATTGCAAAAAGATAGAGTGTTTATATGCAGGTTATTGTTTCATATTATTACTTTTTATTAACATTGCATACGTAAGTCCCTTTTTATCTATTTATAAACTTCATTAACCCTTAATCTCCTAATGCGTTTAAAATCATTTTCATTCATAATAATCATAACAAGCATTAAAAAATTCAATTTCTAAATTAACAGATTTTATAAATATTTTTTCACATTCATCTTGATTCAGTTCGGTTACAATTCTTTCAATTTCATTTTTTAAAAATTCAACCCATTCAATAAATTGTTTACCATTATGTAAATCTATCCAAATTTGAAATTTTGGAGGTAAATCTGGAGCTATAGATTCATTTGTTTCATTATATTTTACCCAACCTAAATAAACCTTCTCCATTACATAACAAAAAGTAATTAATTCTAAATATGAACTACAATCTTTGATTAGGTATTTTAAATAGTTGATGTAGTTAGATACTTGAGGTAAAATTTTTTGATCCCTTTTTAAATTTGAAATTTCAGGTAAATCCAAAGATTCTAATTCTTTTAAAGTATTTATAAAATAATCATTTTCATCTATAGCTAACCAACCAATTTGTTTAGATAATCTTATTGAAGAACTCTTTAAGTTACATAATGCTAATGTTTTACCTAATACATTTAAACTATAATCAAAAAATTTTAAATCTTGATTTAAATATGTATATAATTTGTAATTTAGAAGTGTTCCTTGACATATTTCATTAGTTAATGGATGACTTATTGATTTGATATATATATCATTATGTTTTTCAATTAATTGATCTATGAATGAAGTCATTATTGAATTTGTTGTTCTGATTCCGGGTATTAATTGATCTGGACATATTTTTTAAAGGGTTCGATTTTTAGAATCTCCGATTTAAAATATTCATGAATAAATAATTATGCGCTTAAGGGGGTATATTCAAATATATGAAACAATTAACTAAAGCATCCTAAAATTACTTCGACATTATGATAAGGTCATGATCTTGTTGAGAAAGTTATAATCAAATGTCATTAACTCCTGAAAAACATGATTCAATAACTACAAATCAAACAGAATTACCAGAATCATCATTATACACTTCAAAAGTTCCAAATTTTTTAAAATGGATATATAAATTAGATAATTTAGGTATAGAAACAAGAGGAATAGAAAGAGTAAATGAAGAAGAAAGACATTCACTACTTCAACAAACATCAATAAATTTTCAAATTTTACAAGTTTTAGGACTTTGGTTTTCATCATGTAGTGGATTAACATCAATGTCATCATTTTTTTTATCATCAATTTTATTTAATTTAAATTTAAAAACAAGTTTGATAAATAGTATATTTGCTGTGTTGATAGGTTGTTTAGTACCTGCTTATTGTTCAATAATGGGGAGCAAATCTGGTTGTAGACAATTAGTAACAGCTAGATTTTTATTTGGTCAATGGGGTATAAAATTTATTTCTTTAATTACAATAATTGGAGGAATTGGTTGGTCAATTGTTAATTGTGTTTTAGGTGGACAAATTTTAAATTCAATTAACAACCAAATTAGTATTTCTTGGGGGATTATAATTATTGCTGTTGTTAGTTTAATTGTTTCTATATTTGGTATTAAAATTTTATTAAAATTTCAAACTTTATTAGCTATACCTATTTTTATTGCTTGTATTTTATTTTATATTGTTGTTTTTAAGAAGAGTGATTATATTCATGAAAGTAATAAGCTAATAGCAGAAATGGAAATTGATCCCCTAACAAAAACAGGGAATTGGTTATCTTTTTTCACTATTGCTTATGCAGTTACTGCAACTTGGGGAAGTGGTGCATCAGATTATTATATTTTATTTCCTGAATATATTTCATCAACAACTATATTTATTATAACTTTTTTAGGTATAAGTTTACCCACAATATTTGTTGCAATAATTGGAACAATTTGTGGAAATATTACATTATCTTATACTCCATGGAATGAAATTTATAATAAATTTGGAATTGGAGGAATTATAGTTGAAACTTTTAAACCATGGGGAAAATTTGGAAAATTTATTTCTGTGTTGTTATATTTATCATTAATTTGTAATAATATTATGAATACTTATTCAATTGCTTTTGAATTTCAATTAATTGATAACCATTTATTATTTATTCCCAGATGGATTTGGGTTATTTTAATCACAGTTATATATATCATATTAAGTTTAGTTGGTAGGGAACATTTTTCAACTATATTAAGTAATTTTTTACCAATGTTAGGTTATTGGATTACTATTTATATTGTACTATTATTAGAAGAGAATTTAATATTTAGATCAACTTTAAAAGTTAGAAAGTTACATGAAAAAGAATTTGGTGATGAAGAAGATGATAATAATAATTACAAAAAACTATATAATTGGCAAAATTGGAATTTACCAAAAGGTAGAACATTAGGATTAGCTTCTTGTATTGCTTTTTGTTTTGGAGTTGTTGGTGCTATATTAGGAATGAATCAAATTTATTTTATTGGTCCATTAGCTAAAAAAATTGGTGAATATGGTGGTGATATTGGTATGTGGTTAGCTTTTGGATTTAGTGGTATAACTTATCCAATTTTGAGGTATATAGAATTAAAAAAATTTAAAAGATAACCTTTGAATAGATGTATAGAATGAACATAGACTTTCTTCATAAGTATATATTTTGGTTGCAAAATTATCCTGTATGTAAGTCTTTTGTTTTAAAATTGATTTAGTGAACGAATAGATAAGAAAATTCAACCATATTCCAATAATTAACCATAAAATTACAGATGACAGGACTATCTAAAGAACAACTAGATACATTCAATAAAGAAGGAATGTTATGTATACCCGATTTCTTAACACAAGAACAAACCAAAACACTTTTAAATCAATCAAAAACCCTAATCAATCAATGTGATTTAACAAATCATCCAAAAACTACATTTAAAACATCAAATGAAGATCATATAGGAGATAAATATTTTTATGAATCAGCAGATAAAATAAGTTATTTTTTTGATGTTGATGCTTTTAATGAAGATGGAGAACTAGCAGTACCATTAAATCAAGCAATAAATAAAATAGGTCATGGGTTACATCTCCAAGATCCAATATTTAAAGAAATTACATTTTCACCTAGGATAAAAAACATCGCAAAAGACTTAGATTATAAAGATCCAAAAGTACTACAAAGTATGTTAATTTTTAAACATTCTAAAAGTAGTCAAGAAGATAGAGATAATGCAGTTCCACCTCATATGGATTCTACTTTTTTATATACATCACCAAAACAATCAGCATTAGGATTTTGGATTGCTTTAGAAGATTGTAATTTAAAAAATGGTTGTTTATCATATATACCAGGAAGTCATTTAACTCAAAAAGTAACTAAAAGATTTATAAGATCAAATGGTTTAAATTCAGGTTGTAAATTTGAACAATTAGAAAATGAAGAGGAACAACCAATAGAGGAGGAATATAAATCATTTGAATGTAAAGCTGGCTCACTAATATTAATTCATAATTCAGTATTACATAAATCGGAAAAAAATAAAAGTATTAAATCAAGATTTGTTTATGCTTTTCATTTAATTGATGGTATAACTGAATATGATGAAAAAAATTGGTTACAAATTCCTTATACTGGTGGTAATGAATTTAGTAAGTTATATGAAGTTACTGTTTAATTCTTGGGATCTTGTTTCATGTGTTATGTCTGCATTAATGTATAAAATGGACACTAGGAATATCTAAACTATATATTTAGCATTCAATTAAATTAATTTATGGGGGTGATTAAAGTCCTATATTGTGGGTCGACTCTGCTTCAATGTAAAATTTAATGAGTAGACATTGACAGTTATACAAAGAGTAGACACTGAGAGTATGATTAATTTAAAATTAAGTATTTATCATTCATCATTATTTAAAAATTATCTATAGTTAGAAATATCTATAGTGAAATAGTCTCTATATAAGCAAACAAATTGTCTAAAACCTTAACAATTCAGTGATTCTTTTTCATTAATTAATTTACCTTGCCAACTATAATATTTAGACATATCAACATGATGTTTTTTACCATTGTTAGCTTCATACATTGAACAACCATACATAGCAGCATAAGGTGGGGTATATAAATGTAATGATACACTTATTTCATTTTCTAGGGGATTACTTATTTTATGTAAACCAATATCATCAGATATATAACCAACTTCATTTTTATGAAGTGTTGTTTGTTTTTTACAATTTAATTTATGACCATCTGATTTAGGAATATCATATAATGATTCAATTAATTTACCTTTTAAAATTTTCATACAACAATGAGCATCAGCATGATCATGTATTGCACTTGATTTTAAAGGTGACCAACATAAAATTAATAAATTTGCATTACCATTTAAATTTATAATACCATTTCTTGAATAATTTCTTGTTAAATCATGTAATGCTAAATGATCCCAATCTTTTTCGTTGGTATCATATTCATTCATTAATTTTTTAACTTTTTCTATATCTATGTCCTTGGAAGCTAGTCCTTTGCCTTTTAATAATTGTTTTAAATCCATTATTAATTTATAAAAATTTGATGATTTATCTATGTTATCAATTGTTGTACCATTAATTTCAAAATTATGATCTATGGAAGGTTTTAAGCTATATGGGGATGATAGTACTCTGGGAATGTTATTGTTATTAGTGGTTGTGTTAGTATTTGAAGCAATAAATGAACAAGAATTTGGTGTATTTGATGAATTATTTAAATTTAATGTGGCTGTTTTAAAACTATTATTTGATGATGATGAAGGAGTTAAAAGCATTGCTGAAGTATTATATTGTAATATTAAATTGAAGTATTTTTATAGCAAATAATGAAGAATGAAAATCAACTTATAAGTAGAAGATAAGGAAAGGAAGATATCTATATATATTTATATATTAAATTATTATTTAATTTTAGTACAGAAATATTTTTGATATTTAATTTTGTACTACTATTACTTCTTATATAAAAAAATTTAATCTAATATAGACAAACAATAGACAAAAAATTGCAAATTATCCAAACCATTAGTACAACGAACAACATTCACTAAACCATTAGAACATAAAGATAGAAGAATTTATCATCCACTGAAACTTGACTTTCGTATTTGATTAATAAATGAGGAGTAAGATTATGAAATTCTTGAATCTATTTAAAATTGGTGATTTTTTAGTTTAGTTTGAAGTAAGAACTAAAAATTGATGCTTTTACGTGAATGAAAATATTTTTTAAGTCAAGAAAAACGGTTATCAATAAAAGGAAATGTCCGACAGAATCTCCGCCTCCGTTTAGAGTCTTCTTTAAATGGAATGTGATTTGTTGTTGCTGATATAGACAATCTATTTAATTTTAAATTAACTCATCAGAGCTCAGAACATACTGGTTAAAGAACACTACCCTTATACTTTACTTAAGTAATTATACATTTTTTGATTAATTTAATTTAATTTATTAATAGAATTCATTATTAGACCAACTAATAGAAATCAAATTTATTCATACTTGATTGAAATTGATTTAGTGATAGAACACAACAAGTATACAAAATGATTTTGAGCACATATAATCTACTAGGTTTCGATAAAACAACTTGATAAAAGTATCAGTTTAGTCGATTAGACGAAATTCATTGGTAAAAATTTAACCGAAATAACATAAGTCATACATATAAATATACTTACGTGAAATTACTTAAAAAAATTTTTCATAGTAATATACATGAATAAATGATGATCTAAAGCCAAAAATTGGGGGATATAATACATATTAAAGCAGGGATGAAAATGATGTTACCTTACTTATATTGTTTAATAACTATTTCTTAGCAAAGTGAACAATGTAATAATGATTTTAAATTAATTAACACGTAATTATATAATTCATGTAGACATATTAATACTTTTTGAGCAAATTTGTTAAATTCATATTCTACAGTCCTGTGGTTATGATACTACGTCGGCTCTTCATTTTCAAGTTTGGGGCCGCTATTATTTAAACGTTTTTTGAATTTACTAGATCTATGATAACTTTAGTCAATATCTTCACCAAGTTAGGATAAAATTCAAGAAACTCGATTTTGATCAAAAAGATCTTGATAGCTGAGATTAAAATAGAAATATAAGAAATGGTATAGTATGTATTAGTTCTATCCTCTTTAAAACTAAGTTTATTTCCTTACTGTTTAGCAAGCTAGACTGAATACTGATTCAACAATTAGTTTTGAAAAAAAACACACCCCATGAAAATTCTTATGAATTTATTCTGATACTTAAGAAAAAAAAAATAGAAAGACTCTGAACCAATCAATTCAACTAACTAAATTCATTGAAATTACGAAAAACATATATAAAATTAATTAAACTAACTAAATTTAACCACGATTAAACCCTTTGATGAGTGGGTGAAACTTTAAATATTTCCTATTTCGATATATCAATTGCAAAATATAGTTAATGAATTATCAAAAGTCTAGAAAATTTAGAATGGACCCAAAGTATACCTTAAATCAGATGTAATACTTGCATTTCTCCATATCTTCCTTGAAAGCACTGACGGTTGATATGGGCGTCTTTCTCATACAAACTGTCTGAGTCTTCAAGAAAAGTATGGAGACTTGCAAGTCAACTGATTTAGTTTATATTTTGTATTGCCAATAATTTGTACTACTTACCTTCCTTGGTTTTTATATATCTTGTAAAATTTTGATACTTCAACACAAGGTTTTTTTATTAAATGTTTCAACAGCTAAGTGTTCGACATCTTATCACCAACAATAATCTGAATAATGTTTCAACTTCATTTTGTTTCAAGCCAGGATTGAAGAATTGTATGTTTCCCAACCATTTGGTTATAAAAAGAATCTGTTTGATCCAGAAGATGATATCAATCTAGGTTGCAAGATGTAAGTAGAACAGTAGATAAACTATTGTAATTACTGACTCGAATATTTTTAAATTCCAAAATTCCCAATTCATTACAATTCTCATCGGTCGTGTACTTATTACAAATTCCCAAACAGTGTAAAGCAATTGTTGAAAAATTTTTACTCCAAAATAATTTTATACAACTAATTAATGACTAAATTGTACTAATTCCATTTTTTTATACCACTGAGGTTTTAAGATTTCATCAATAGCTTCTTGTTTATTCAATGTTTTTGTCAATAGATCAACAGCTATCAAATTACTACTGAAAAATGGTTTGAATATCCACTTTTGATAACATGGTCTCATCTGCAATCTATATCATATTAAGTTATGATTAGTTTTCCAAGACGTTGTTATACAAGTATCTGAATGAATTAGTAGGGTTACAAACTAACATGGTATGAGCCGATACGTCAAATCAATCAACATAATTCGTATCGGCTCATAACCTGTTAGTTTGAAACCTTTCAGAATAGTTTTTGAAAAGGTAAGCCAGACCATGTTATAAAATAATGAAGTATTGAAATTAAATATATTTCAATTGTGCTTTATTATTTGATTATTCATTATTTAACAATAATAACTAATATCAAACATATTGAAGATCAATGATCCATCAATGAGTAAAACAAAAGATTGGAAATCAAACAAGTATTAAAATATATATTAGGAATGACTGAATTCACACTTCTTTGAACAATTCCAATAAATGAACAAAAAATAATAAATAACAAAGAAATAAGCGAATGACAAATACTGCGCTTGACATTTCAACGCTTAATGCAAATACCCAATTTTTCTCAGATCACAAAGGTACTTCATTGTTTATGCAATGTTTTTTATCAATACAACATCAGCCATTATAAGATCTTTTTGAAAAAAATTGCTTGAATTTGTTGTTCACCTTTTGATAACATGGTCTACCTGGAATCGGTTTGTATTAAAAAATATATTTAGTTTGCATTGATGATTGTGAAATCATTTTTTATACAACTAAGAACAATTAAATACAAAACGATTCCAGATAGACCAATGTTATAAAACCTTGAAATTGAAATTGGCATTAAGCATATTTCTACTCTGCTTTATCATGAAATAACTCATACTCAGGGGTACATCACCATCACAAGGTTTCAAACCAACATTTTGGATATAATTTTATTACTGTCATCAGTTTCGTTGGGGATAAATGATCGGCTAATGAGTAAAACAAAAGATGTAAATTCAAACAGGTATGAAAGTTATGAAGTTTTAAAATATAGACTTATTTTCAAATTTTTCACCAACTTACTTGTTGATCTTACTATTTAAGTTTCGTATATAAGTCTAGCATACATAATTTATAGAATTAAATTTTAGAACTACAAACTAATCTCTTTCTAATTTAGGATATCCATTCACTCTAGTTTGACTAGTTTATTCATTTATTTATGTATCTTTTCGCTTCCACAATGTTACTAATCTCAGTATTGATTTACTTTGTATATGTAGAATCATGTAACAGGATACGTTTGAATAAATTCAGTATCAATTATGGGAATAATGTTGTACAATTAGTCTAGAAGAATATTTGGATTCATAGTGTATTAATAAGAAAGCAAGAATAAACTGCTACCAAATCGACCGTTTTTAATGTAAACACACAACCAAATTGACATGGCTTAGAGCGGATCGGGTCTGAATCTCTGGAATAAAAAAATATCTCTCCCACCAAAACCTTAATTTCGTTCCCTCGGATATGATTTTATGACTTTAAAAATGATTCTATTTTTTCTTTATTTATTATTTTTTCCTAAATTTCAAATTATACAACATCTTGCAATGATATAATCATACAACTTGAACAGATCCAAATCAAATATCATCAAATCAAAGAGTAAGATCTAAATTTTGCAACCAAAATAAAATAGAACCCTGTGTTTGTTTCATATTGTTTAGAACACTGTACCTTTTTTTGTAAAGAATTAATTCATATCTCGCCACAGTTCTCAAAAACTATGGCGTTTAATGACGAACATCAAATAAACGCAAATGTGACATCAAACGCAAATCAATCAAAAGAAGATCGAAAGAGAGAAGATTTAAATGAAGAGAAGAATGAAAATATAAATGATAATGAGAAACAACAAAATTTAAATAAAAATCAAAAACATCAACAAGATCTACAACAATTTCAAACAAGTGTAAATAATTCAGATAATCAATCAATAAACAACCACCATCACCTCCTTGTCCAACAACAACAACAAAATGCTATGGATTATGATTCTACTATAACTTCCATTGCTTCATCATCTTCAAAATATAATTCCAACTTATATGATCGACTAAATAATCGAAATAAATCATCATCAGATTCAAGTGATGATGACGAATCATGGTATTATACATTTATAGTGGGCGACGTGGTTAAAAATTTTTCATTAGCTTATTTTGTATCAGTAATGGGTACAGGTATATCATCATCATTATTATATGAATTTCCATTTCCTGGAGAATGGTTAAAAATTTGTTCTTACATAAGTTTTGCAATTTGTTGTATTTTATTCATAATAAATTGTTTATTATTTTTAATGTCTATATATTATTTTCCTGGAAAGTTACGATGTTATCATTTAGATCCTTTACAAGCAAGTTATATGGGATGTTTTTCAATGGGTTTTACAACTATTGTAAATTATATTACTTTATTAGTTAATGGAAAACATATGTATTTAGTTTGGACATTATGGTGGATTGCTGTTATAACTGCTATTTATACATCTTTTCTAATAGTATTTTTATCATTTTTTTCAAAATTAAATAAAGTTGAACAAGATGTTAAATTAAATGCTACTTTATTATTACCAATAGTTGCTATAACAGTTGTTTCATCATCTGGTCATTCAATTGAAATGGAATTATATAAATTAAATGAAACTATCGTTACAATGATTGTAAGTTTAATGTTATGGTGTATTTCTGTTTCATTAGCTTATATTATTATGACAATTTATATTTATAGATTAATTATTCATAAAATTCCTTCAACAAATTTAATTTTTACTGGGTTTTTACCTGTTGGATTTTTAGGTCAATCTTCTTATAGTATTTATTTATTTGGAAATCATGTTAATCAATTAATACCTGAGGATTTAATTTATGGGAAAATATTACTTTGTATTGGTGGATTTACTGGAATTTTTTTATTAAGTTTTGGATATTTTATGACATTTATTGCTATAATATCCATATTTTCTAAGATATCACCATTTGCTAAAACCCCCAATTTAAAACATACAAATAAATATGGTTCATTAAAACATAATAAAGGATTTTGGTCAATGACATTTCCCATGGGTACTATGTCCTTAGGTAATACAGAAATTGGTAGAGGTGGGATTGGTAATTATCCTTTATTAACTTTTAAAGTAATGGGTGCAATATTTGCAGTAGCTTGTATTTTAATTACGACTTGTTGTTTAATTGGAGTTGTTATTTATTGTTTTAAAAAGATACGACAGGAGCTAAATAGGAAATTTAAAAGATTTGAAAAAGAAATTGTATAGTTATGGGTATAGATTTATTTAATTATGATAGAGGATATGCATTGAAGGATATTCAAGATAAAATTTGTTTCTCCATGATTTTAAGTAGGTATTCTTGATTGAAACTAGAGCTTTTAAAAATGTTTCAACATCTCTGAATTTTCATTAACGAAGCATGGATTGGTGACATTAATTCACGTACTTCATGATTTTTTTTTTTTTCGCGGTATGTTTGTACCTTAAATCTGAATTTTTCACACTAATATGTCAAAACCCAGACCAATACAAATCAACCCATGTCACAAGTTGAAAAATCATTAAAACCAGGTCCATATCGACCTTATAAATCCATTCAAAGTAAACCAACATCACAAAATCTAACAAAATATGATTTTATAATATCATTATATATAACTTGTATTTCATTTATACGACTATATAAAATTTATCAACCTTCATCTGTTGTATTTGATGAAATTCATATAATGGATTTTTTATCACTAATTAACCAAAGAAAATTTGTTGTTGATGTTCATCCTCCTTTGATTAAACTTATATATTATGGAATTGCAAAAATTGAAGGTTATCAAACTCAAAATTTTGAATCAATTGGTTCAAAATATGAAGAAAATGTACCTTTTATTTCAATGAGATTATTTTCAGGAATTTGTGGAGTTTTGGGAGTTAATTTTATATATTTTATAATTAGAATAGATCATGGTTATTTAATTTCAATTTTTACTTCTTTGCTAATATTATTTGAAAATTCTTTATTTATTCAATCAAAATTTATATTATTAGATTCACCTTTATTATTGGGACAAATTTTAACAATATTTTGTTTTAAAAAGTTTTTAAGATCTAGTATTGGTTCAACTGGGTGGTGGAAATTTTTAATTTTAACTGGATTTGCTCTAGGTTGGACAATTTCATGTAAATCTACTGGAATTTTTATTTTAATTTGGGTTGGAATATTTACAATAATTGAATTATGGGATATATTAGGTGATTTAACAATTTCCTCATATCAATGGGTAAAACAAGTTAGTTATAGAATTTTTGGATTTTTAATTTTACCATTAACTATTTCTTTATTAGTTTGGAAGATATATTTTGAATTATCAATATATGAAGGTCCAAATAATGGATCATTATCACCTTATTTCAGATCAAGTTTTCAAGATTATAAACCATCACCAGTTGAAGTATTATATGGAAGTACTATAACAATCAAACATAATGAATTAGAAAAATATTTACATTCTCATAGTTTAACATACCCTAGAGGTTCAAATTTACAACAAGTTACATTATATCAATTTGATAATGATCCCAATAACGAATGGATTATTGAAACTCCTCATAAATATTATGAAGATAAATTAATGAAAAGAAAAAAACCAGTAAAAGATGGTGACGTAATTAGATTATATCATAAATCAACTGAAAAATATTTACATGTAAATGATATAAGACCACCAATATCAGAACATGATTATTCAAAAGAAGTAAATTGTAATGAAACAAGAGGTTTATTAGGAGATTCAGAATATGAATTTAAAATTAGAATAATGTCAAAAAAGCCACATTCAAAAAATAATTTACCAATGATAAAATTAAGATCAACTGAATCAATTTTCCAATTAATTCATAAACATGAAAAATGTAATTTAATAAGTCATTTTAATAAATTACCAAATTGGGCCGAATATCAAAATGAAGTTTTATGTGTTGAAAATCCAACTATACCAAATTCAATGTGGTATATTGAATCAAATACACATCCACTTTTGGTTGATAATTTTGTTGAATTTCCTCACCCAATTCTGTTTTGGGAAAAAATTTGGGAAATTCATAAAGTTATGATAAGAATTAATTCTGATTTTACAAATGATCATATTTCAAGTTCATCTCCAATAAATTGGCCATTTGTTTGGAATGGTATACCTTATTTTATAAATTCTTCAATAAATCTAGGATTTAATGAAAATCCTTCACAAATTTATTTCTTAGGAAATGTAGTAATTTATATTGCAAGTTTCATTATAATTATTTTAAGTTTGATCAAAATATCATTTCATATTTTTAAAATTTCAAATCCTTATATTATATATTTTGAACCAATTAAAAAAATTAAATATTATAATAATTCAATACAATATGTCACTGGTTATTTTTTAAATTATTTACCTTATTTTTGGATGGAAAGAAATTTATATGCTCATCATTATTTACCTGCTTTAATTTTTGCAATTTTAAATATGGTTGAATTTATAAATTATCAACACCTGTTTATAAGGTATTTTTTAATGATTTCAATTTTGGGTTCTTCATTATATTGTTTTTATCAATTTATACCTATAATTTATGGAACAAACTGGACATTTGATCAGTGTATTTCACATAAATGGTTCCCCAGTTGGAGTTTAGATTGTAATACTTATTTAGGATAGACTTTTTCAATGCATATTAATAGACACTTTACTTTATCAAATTCTAGTTTGTGAAATACCCGTTGCTAAACTCTCTATCAATCCATCAACTTTTAATAATAATTCATCTTTTTCTTTTATTTTTTTAATTCTTTGTTTTTCTATATTTTTTAATTCTAAACTTAATTCATTTATTAATTTTAATTGTTCCTGTGGAGTTACTCCTATACCAGGTAATGAATCAATTAACATATTAATTTGTCTACTTTTTAAAATTATATCTGTTGATAATTCATCAATTGTTGTTTCAAAATCTTCTTCACTTATTTCTGGTGGAGGTTTTGAACCTTCTTTTTGTAAGTCTTCTTTATTGTCGTTTGGCAGTTGTTTCTGTTGAGCTTCGTTCTCTTGTTGTGGTGGTTGTTGTTGCTGCTGCTGCTGCTGTTGTTGTTGTTGTTGTTGTTGAGATTGTGGTATTGGTGCATTAGCTGCTATATTTGAAACAGATGTTGGATCATCTTCATCTAATAAAGCTGGTTTAGAATTTGTATTTACATAATAAATTGTAGCATTGAATTGTTCTATTAATTGATCTAAACATATTTGAAGTTGTGTAAGTCTATCAGACATTTGATTAATTTGTTGTTGCAAAAGAAGTGTATGGTTCGTATTATGTTTGAAAAATCCATTTGTAACTTTACAACAATCAGTGTCATGTAAAATTAATGTCTGGGTTCTGTATTATTTGACATAAAAATTGAATACTAGTTTTGTCGTAAAATAAAAAGTAATGACTCAACTTGTATTTTAGCGTGTGACTTAAACTTAATTTAATCTGAAACAATAATAATTGTAAATCAAGGGGGTGTGTATAATTTTATTCTGTTTGTTTCTTATCTTATTATTGTATCAAATTTTTGATTTACAACCACAATTTTTATCAGTTACAATCCACTTTCAAACCCATACGAAATCATATCCTTAAGGTTTATCATCCTCATTTTAGTTTCTTATTCATCTTCATTTAAATATCCATAATCATCAACTAAACTCCGATCTTACCAAAATCAACATCATTGCCACAGATCAAAAATTAAATCATGCCACAAATAAGAAATTTATCACCTATATGGCAAAATGATAATGATGTATCAGAATGTTTTTTATGTCAGATAACATTTAATTTTTTTAATAGAAGACATCATTGTAGAAAATGTGGTAGAGTTGTTTGTGGAGATTGTTCAAATAATAAAATTCATTATCTTGATAATACTCCAATAGTATTAAATCCTGAAGATTCCAGTCATAATCATCGTCATCATAATAGAACTCAATATTCAAATTCAAATGAACTATATAGAACTTGTGATGAATGTACAAGAGAAATCGATATGATAAGAAGAGTAATATATAATGATCCAAATCCAGATATAATAAATGAACAAAACAATGACAATAACAATGATTCTAATCAAATTAAACATAATAATAGTTCTGGAGAAATTACTAGACAATTACCATGTTCATCATCAACTACTTCATTAACAAGACGACAAAACAATAATAATAATGATAATTCAAGTGATACAAATCTATGTCCAATATGTGCAATAAATTTATTAAAATCCTATATTGAAATAAATAAAACCATCGACCAAATATCAAATGAAGAATTTGAAAAATTTAAAGAATTACATATAAATGAATGTTTAAATTTATTTAATTTTAATACTGATAATTCAAATAGATTTTCACCAGATTCAAATCCAAAAAATAAAATGTTAGTTTATAATGTTCCTCCTATACCAAAACCTACATATGAAACTATTGATGAAACTATTGATTCAACTATAGATAGTAATAATAGTACATTAAAAATTAATGAAGATGAAGAAGATTTAAAATTAATTGAAAAATTTGATGAATGTGTAATATGTTTAGAAGATTTAAAACCTGGTGATAAAGTTGGAAGATTAGAATGTTTATGTGTTTTTCATTATAAATGTATTAAGGATTGGTTTAATAAAAAGGGATATGGAGAATGTCCTGTTCATTTCTTACATAAATAATTTACTTGGGCTTTAATAATATTTTTAATAATACACTAATATATATTTCTTATAATTACTATCACTTTTCCTCCCGATCATCATCTTTTCTTCTTTTACCTCTTTTATCATGTATTTCTTTTGTTTGTCTTATAGCTTCAATTGTAGCTTTATCAACATGTATATGTAAAGCATCTAAAATTTCTTTTGATGGTTTATCTTCTTTTGGTAATTTTTTACCCAAAGCATTTTCAATTCTTAAATACATTTCTAAATCATATTGAGTTATTAGTGAAATTGATTTTCCTGATCTTCCTGCTCTTGCAGTTCTACCAACTCTATGTATATAAGCTTTTGAATCTGTTGGGATATCATAATTTATAACAATATCAACTGATGGAATATCTAATCCTCTTGCTGCAACATCCGTTGCTACTAATATATTTGCTTTTGAAGATTTAAATTTATTTAATGAACCTAATCTTTGAGCTTGTGATAATTGACCATGTAATGGTACTGCATTAAACCCTAGTATTCTTGCTAATAATGCTGTTCTTTGTGCATGAGCTACTGTTCTTGTAAATACTATTATAGATTTACCAATAAATTCATTAAGTAGGTGTATTAGTATAGTATTTTTATAACCATCATTTACTAACATCATTGATTGTATTAAATTATCAGCAGTTTGATATTTTGTTGAAACTGCTACTCTTACAGGATTTTGTAAACTTGCTCTTTGTAATTTTTCAATTTTATTTGTCATTGTTGCAGAAAATAAATATGTTATTCTTTTACTTGGTATAACTTTTAAAATTTTATCTAATGCTGGTCCAAAATCCATATCTAATAATCTATCAGCTTCATCCATTACTAAATATTTTAAATTTTTTAAATTAAATCCCTTTGTATGTTCCAAATGATCCATTATTCTACCTGGTGTTGCAACTACAATATGAGGTTTTCTCATTAAATCTCTTGCTTGATCCATCATATCCATTCCTCCAACAATACAAACTGATCTTAATCCCATAGTTGCACCAAGAGCATCAAATGTATCTTTAATTTGAAATGCTAATTCTCTTGTTGGTGCTAAAACTAATCCAAAATATGGAGTTTGAGCATGCCATAATGCTTGTAATATAGGTATCGCAAATGCTGCTGTTTTACCTGATCCTGTTACTGCTAATCCAATTATATCTTTTCCTTCTAATGCATGAGGTATAGCTTCTGATTGTATAGGAGTTGGTTTTGTAAATTTCATTTGTTGAATTGATTCTAATAAATCAGGCACTAGTTTTAATTCTGAAAATGTATTAAATTTTAATTGTGCATCTGGATCTATTGTTGTTGTTTGAGTTGTATCTTCTTTTGTGGTGGTTGTGTTAGATGATTCTTCTTTCGATTGTTGTTCTTTTTGTTTTAATAATGCTTGTTTCTTGATTTTCTCCGCTAGTTTCTTGGTGGCATCTGCTGCCTTCGTTTTCTTGTGTACTCCTTTAGATGACATTCTTGATAAGTGATAATGTGGTTGGTGTAGTGATTGAACTTGTAAATTAATTTGGTGATAATAAATTTATTTTTTGTACTACGATGAGATATATTTAGTTTCTTCAAAAGCCATTATCAAAACATTATCAAAACATTATTCTTTTCACAACACATCAACAATGGCTAAAAGAAGAACGAAGAGAAGAACTCATAAAAAGGTAAATGAAGAAGAAGATGCTAAAATACCGAAATCAATGGTCATTCACCTCGGATCATCATTAAAAAATCATTCATTATCTCAATTAGTTTCTGATTTTAGAAATATTATGCAACCACATACAGCCATTAATTTAAGAGAAAGAAAATCAAATAAATTAAAAGATTTCATAGTGATGTGTGGACCATTACATGTATCAGATTTATTCATTTTTAATCAATCTTCATCAGGAAATATTACTTTACGAATGGGTAAATTACCAAGAGGTCCAACTTTACAATTCATGATAAATACTTATAGTTTATGTAAAGATGTTCGTCGAATTTTAAAACATCCAAAATCTGTTGGTAAAGATAGTTTTGAATTTCATCAACCTCCATTATTAGTTATGAATGGATTTTCAAATAATGTAAAAGAATTACTGATGCATGAAAAATTAATGATTACAATGTTTCAAAATATGTTCCCACCAATTCAACCACAATTTACAAAAGTTAATACAATAAAAAGAGTATTATTAATTAATAAAAATAAAGAAACAAATGAAATTGAAATTAGACATTATTCAATAAATACAAAATTAGTTGAAGAAAATAAAAATGTTAAAAAATTAATTCAATCTCATCATAATTTAAAAAAAAAATTACCAAAATTAACAAATTCTCAAGATGTTTCTGATTTAATATTAGATCCATATTCTGTTGGTGGAATTACATCAGATAGTGAAATTGAAGATGATGCAGTAGTTGAAGTACAACATGAAGAAATTTTAAAAAAAAAACAACTGGAAAAACCTCAAGAACAAGAATCAATAACAACAAATAAAAAAAGAGCTATAAAATTAATTGAATTAGGACCAAGAATAAATATGTCCTTGGTTAAAATAGAAGAAGGATTAGTTGGATCTTCTAAAACTTTATATCATTCTAACATCTCAAAAACAAATGATGAAATTGCTAAATTAGATTCAAAACATAAATTAAAAGAACAACAAAAATTAGAAAGAAGAGCTAAACAACAAGCTGCTGTTCAAGCTAAATTGGATAAAAAGAAAGCTAAAAAGGATAGGAAAAAGGCAAGATTTGCTGATGAAGATGGAAATGAAGATAATGAAGAGGGTGTTGTAGATGATGATGGAGATGAAGATGAAGACGAAGACATGCCTGAAATAAATGCAGAAGATTATGAAAATGATAGTGATTTATATAGTGACGTAGAGGTATAATACCATTCATAAAATCATTAATTCATTTATTCATCTAGTTCTTTTGTTAAAAGTTCTATTTCACGCCGTAAATTGATAAGTTTAACACTTAATCGTAACCCTTCATTAAAGTTATCTTGACTTAGTTTGAGTTCTTTCGGCACTAATGCCCCAAACTGTAATATGGGATCCTTTAGTATTGATTTTTCAGAATTCAAAGCTGCAGTGTTTCTTGATTTGATTTTTCTATTTTTTATCTCTGTTTCTTTTTCCACATCTTCTGAATCAATTGCTTTCAAATTATCCATTAATTCTAATTCATCATCAATTTTAATAATTTTATTTGAATTTTTAATTCTTAAATCCCAACTATCTTTATTAAATTTTAAAGTTTCACTTTGAAAATTTGCTCTACTTAAATTTAAAAATCCATTTATAAATGAAGATCTATGTAAATTTGTTAATTCTTGATATTCATTTAATAAGTTTAGTAATTTTATTGTTTTTATATCTTGTTCATTATTCATTGTCTATAGTAGTTGATGATAGAGATTGATATTATGCGCTTCATTCTGATTCAAATGCGTGATTTCATGATTCAAATGTCGTGACACTAAAAAATGGGACATTGTGTGTATACTTTTCTCGCAAAATACGTGGACGTTAATAAGATTATAAATATCATGATAAATATCCAAAGAAAACTAAATTTTCAATATAACTTATAGTAGACTTTTACTTATACATAATTAATGCATATAATCAAATTTATTCATAATGATTTAGAATCAACAACTTCAACCTCAATCTTTAAAATATGATTCATGATCAATCAATAATGAGGTGGAAGTAAGTATTGACTGTATTCTCATAAATTAAAATATCATTACTTAAACATATTTGGTATAAACATTTGATAATTTGGCTGACTTATAATTGTTTGAGGAAGGAATACTTATTCAAGTTGCAATTATTGGGTAAATTTTGATTCGATTTATGAATGTCTGTACAATAATATGTGTCTTGTTGCATATGAAATGAGTTATATATAATTTGCACCAAAAATTTGGAAAGAATCTTTATGGTCATCAATGTTTTCAAATCATTCAACAGCATTATTAAGCATTTCAACAATAATTTTTAAGTAACAAAGTATATTTAAACAAATTTATCATCAATAGGCAATTTTCACAACTTCAGTGATCAATCGAAGAGCTACTACAGTATCCTTGTTGAACTCATAAAAAATGGCAAAGTTTCATCTCGGTGCTTATGAAACTTAGATCTTCAAATGCTAGAGGAAGATACTATCGAAGCTTTATTAATGCGAGTTAACTTGTTTGTCTATTATTGATCAATTTGTTTAAATATAGTTGTTTAAAAAGCGTTGGAAGGCCTTGTAATGTTGTTGAAATGAAGGATTTCTCATACTTGATGACCATGATGATTATTTGTAATTTATTATTAAAATTGTTCTTCACTTTTAATGTGATTTCACAACTATCATCATTATGCTGATATCCATCCAAAATTACTAGCTAGACCTTTATGGCTAATTAGTAGAACTTCCTCCTATCTGAGTAAGACAGCTTAATTAAATGACACGGATGTTTGTATACAAAGTTTCATTTACTACTATTGAACTCAAATTGGCAGGGCTTATATTTGGTACTAGAACAACTGGTTTTAACAAACACTAGCCTAGTTACTTTAACTCATTTATTCTGCTATAATTTATATAAACTATGTAATCTACTAAATTCATCGCTAGGTAAAATATCTTTAAAACCAAATTCTTTTGTATCATCACTTATATTCGAAGAATGAATTAATTTAACTTCATCATCACTTCTTTCCTTTTTTTGCATTAATTTCCCAAATTCAAACAATGAATAAATTAATTCTTCTTCTCCTATATGTCTATTAATTTTATGATTATTCAAATATACTATTTCACTTAAGTCATGTAATATATTTGCTGTTAATCCCCAAACATCATATATTTTTTCATTTGTTTCATCATCTTTTCTTGAACCTAATCTACCCCAAGATTGTAAATTTTGTTTTTTACGAGTTGGTGATTTTGATCGAGATCTCATTGGTGGTATATTTGGTGGAGTTACTTTCCCTTTATCTTCTTGATCTAATTCATGACCTAAATCATCTTCTTCTTCCAGAGCTGAAAGATCATTTATACTTCTTAACCAATGAACGTCATTTACATTATTTTGTAAAAAGGTATAACTTCTTAAATCCCACGGTATACCACCCCAACTCACTTTATATGATACTCTTTCTAAAGCTTCTAAACTTTGTTCATCAACTGTAGGATATAAAAAATCTTTCAAAGGACATGAAAAAATTGAAGAACTTTCTCCAGGATTTAAAGCTAAATTTAATTTAGATGATATTGTATGTTCAATATTTTCTTCACTTTTAAATTTCATAAATCCAACACATGGTTTTACACATGAAAAAGTTCTTGATAAATAATTAGGTAATAAACAAATATGTTCAATACTTATTCCTAATTTGGATAATGTTTCATCCAGTGAACTTAATCCAATTTCTTCATGCATTTCTCTTCTACTTACCATCCATTCTGATTCTAACCCATTATCTGCTTTACCACCAGGTAATGCTACATGACCTGGAAAATTTCTTAATTTGGAAGATCTTTTTGTTAATAAAACTCTTAATTCACCCATATTACCTGAAAATAGTAGTATGAAAACAGCTGATCTTCTTGCTATTGGTAATTTGTGCCATATTGATGTGGTACTATTTAAATAATTTGGAGCAACATAATGGCGTAGACTCTCAATAAGTTGTGCTTCGGTTGTTTTAGTCATGTGTTAATGATCAGTTTCAAACATGAGTAAAATTGTTGTCAATTCATAAAACTGGGGTTCAATGTCGCAACTAATTTTTTGGAATTGATTTTTGTGACTTTAACGGTTCTTGATTGATAAGTCCGATTAGTAGAACTAAGTTGCAATAAATAAGATGAACGAGGGTGGTGATAGCAGACCTTTGGTATTTCTAGCCACGTTGTAGCAGTAGTGTGTAATCATGATAGTGTGATAATTTTTGAAGCTTATCATTTGTTGTGTGAATTAAAAAGTTTTTGAGATTTTTGGTTGCAAAATTATTCTGAAACATACAATTTATTATAAGAATTAGTATCACCAATTTAAGAAAGCCACGTAGCCTCATTAATTCTATAATTTTTTACAAGTGAGCATAACATCACAATTGCCTACTTCAAGTATTGTTCAACATATTTCATTGCTCGTTGTTGTTCTGGTCCAATTGTTGAATCATGGTCGTAATTCATCAATCTGGGATAAGAGCTTGTCCACCCTAGATTCTTAATATTCCTTTTTTAAAACTTGCTGATAAAGTTAAATATCAGAGATATATGCTCGTTGTTGGTCCTTAGATTTAGACCAAATCAAACAAAACCTATATACTATTGTATTATACTTAAATACCTAATTACTCGTAGAATTATATTTGCGTTTTCATATACCTAAATCAGAAATGAAGAATATAATAAGCCAATATTGATATTTATAATTTGCAGCAGATCCGAAAAATCTTTAGATCGGGTAATATTTGATTATAGCCTAAATCAAATAATCAAAGTCATCATCATTTATCGGTTAAAAATAGACACAATACTTTTGTGCTAAATATAGTCTAAATTTCAATTTGTACAATTTCATATAATAATAAGCCTACTTAGAAAATTTGTCGTGACACCCGCAAGATTTGATTAGAAATGAGTTCAACATCTGATTGTCCTTACTAATTCATTCGGGATGATTTGAATATTAATACAATACCCTTGAAAATGTGTGTTTGAATATTTGACAAGGCTTTCGAGAGACCATCTCGTCCTATAAATACATTTTGTAAGATTTATGGTTCATTCGGAAAACTTACATATACCTTATTGTTCACATTTAAGAAGTGATACATCTTATGTAAATGTATCGAGTTTTATTTTTAGTCTTTTTTTTTCAAATTTTTAGTTGAAGCTAGTACAAAATATAAATATAGATCATGATCTTCATGCTAAGAGATATTTTATACATTTTATATGATATTCAATATATCTGAGCTCATCCTTTTGTCATTTAAACATTTTTAAAATTCATTATCCCAACATACTTACCTACTTCATCTTACAAATCTTGAAACTAATCTCGGTATTATAATTCAAAAATGATTCGCTACCAGATTTGGTTAATTTTGTCGGTACTAATATCATTTAGTTACTCATCATATGCTCCAACAAAAGTAGATTGTCCAAGTAATTCATCATCATTTTTAAGAGTTGCAAATAAAATATCTGACAAGGAGAAAGAATGGCTAGAAGGAAGAGATGATATAACAAATCAAAAAATTGTGGAGTTTTTGAAAAATGCAAATATGACAGATATAAATCTTGATGATTATTCGGATAAAAATATTCATATTGGATTAGCATTTTCAGGAGGTGGTTATAGAGCCATGTTGAATGGTGCTGGTCAATTAAGTGCATTAGATGAAAGAACAAGAGTTGAGAAAGGACATGGTTTACCTGGATTATTACAAGCTTCGACTTATATTGCTGGTTTATCAGGTGGATCTTGGTTAGTTGGATCAGTTCTTATGAATAATTTTACATCAATTCAAGATATTGTGGATAAAAATGAAATTTGGGATTTAACTCATTCAATAATAAATTACGGAGGGATAAATGTTATAAAAACTTATAATTATTATAAAGGTATTTCTGATGATTTGGATGATAAAAAAGATGCAGGATTTGAATTATCTTTGACAGATACTTGGGGTAGAGGATTGTCTCATCAATTTTTCAATACCTTTGATAATGCTGGGGCTTCTTTAACTTTTAGTTCACTTCAAGATACTGATTATTTTAAAAATTATGAATGTCCAATGCCATTGATTGTAAGTAATGGTAGAGCACCAAATACTAAAATTATCAGTTTAAATTCAACTAATATAGAATTTAATCCTTTCGAAATAGGATCATATGACAAAAGTATTTATCAATTTATGGATTTAAAATATTTAGGATCCCAATTAGATGACGGGAAAAGTAATGGTACCTGTTACAACGGTTTTGACAATGCAGGATTTGTAGTTGGCCTGTCACTGACATTATTTAATCAATTCATCTTACAGATCAATACCACTTCCTTGTCATCTACAGTCAAATCAATCATATCATCAATTTTACAAGATGTTTCAAACGAGGAAAATGATGTTGCAATTTATAAACCAAATCCATTTTATGAAACTGATGTGGGAACTTCTGAACATATTGCAGCCAATGAAACTTTAACTTTAGTAGATGGAGGAGAAGATGGTCAAAATGTTCCTCTTTATCCTTTATTACAACCAGCCAGAAGTGTTGATGTGATATTTGCATATGATAATTCTGCAGATACAGAGTATAGTTGGCCAAATGGTACTTCATTAATTAAATCTTATCAAAGACAATTTGGAGATTATGGTAATGGTACTTTTTTCCCATATGTTCCAGATGTTAATACATTTATAAATTTAAATCTTACAGCAAGACCAACTTTCTTTGGATGTGATGCTAAAAATTTAACCTCATTATTACAAATTGCTCAATCAAATTATACAAATGTTACTATAGATTCAAATTCAATTTATGATTCACCATTATTAGTATATACAGCTAATAGACCATTTTCATATTGGTCAAATACCTCAACTTTCAAAATGAAATATGATAATAATGAAAGAAATTCAATAATTCAAAATGGTTTTGAAGTTGCTTCAAGAAATAATGGAACTTTAGATTCAGAATGGGCTGCATGTGTTGGATGTGCAATTATTCGTAGAACACAAGAAAGATCAGGTGAAGAACAAAGTGATCAATGTAAAAAATGTTTTGAAAGATATTGTTGGGATGGTTCATTAGATTCTGAAGGTACTAAATATAATTTTACTGATACTGGTACTACAAATGGTCAAGAAGAAACTTTAGGAGGAAAGAAAAATAGTGCTGTTACTTCATTTGCTATTAATTGGAGTTTATGGATTGGTTTATTAAGCATAGTATGTTTTATTAATATTCAGTAATAAAATATCTGATCTAAAATAGAAAAAGTTCGAATTTCAGCTCCTGTCTCTTAAAACAAATGCCTTGATTTACGATTTGATAATGTCGCTGTGATGCGGTCATTACCAATGTCCAAACCTCACTACTAGTTCACGAAAGTAATGAGTGTGTACTTCTATAACATTGAAAATTCTTAATTTGGAAGGTTTTAGCTCCCAGTTTTGTACGATCAAATTGGCCACAATTGTAAATTTACTTCGGATTTAGGCTAAGCTTTAATGAGAATTTCATACAAAGTTTGATAAATTAAACAACAAATTGCCTCAAATTAACATCCAAATTAACTAAATTAAATACTTAATGGACTCAATCCAAAAGTCAGATATACAGTGATATGAATGAGGCAGAAGCTCGGATTTATCAGACTATTCAACTCCGCTTTGTCTTATAATTCCTAGCTTTAGCAATCTATGCATATTACAATTGTTTACAATATCCCAAAAAGAAACAAGTACAATTCAATTCAGTTAGAAGACGACGTCAAATTAAAGTATAGAGTCTTTTTTCACGAAACAGCTTGATCTCATAAGCTCTGACTAAAAGGGTGTTGTCAAACCAGAATTTTCCAAATGTCAAATAAAACTCCAATTGTGGAGAAAACTAATTCTTTTACAAATGAGAATCCACTAAAAGAAACTTCTTCAGTATCATCATCATCAACTTTTGAATTGTTCAATGAAAAAGATGCCAACAAAGTATATTTATTAAAATCAAAAATATTAGCAGAAGCTATTGAAGAAATTGGTTATGGCCGATATCAAATAGGCTTATTTATTGTGTGTGGATTTGGTTGGTTTAACGACAATGCATTTCCCATTGCTACATCCTTACTAATTCCACGTTTGATTGAAGTGGATGGAGTAATAGCTCCTGTTGGAAGAGTTGCCTATGTGGTTCTAGCTCAAAATTTAGGTTTGTTATTTGGTTGTGTTTTATTTTCATTAATGTCTGATTTTGTTGGTAGAAAACTTCCTTTCCAATTAACTTTATTAATTACATCGATATTTGCTATAATAAGTGGTGCTTCACCAAATTTTGCGGCATTAGGTTGTTTTGTTGCCTTTTATTCTGTTGGTGTTGGAGGAAATATAGTTGTTGACGCGTCTTTGTTTTTAGAATCCATTCCAGCATCAGATCAATGGGTTTTAACAGTCATGAGTTTATGGTGGGCCCTTGCAGGAGTCATAACAAATTTATTTTCATGGGGTTTAATAAGTAATTATTCTTGTGCAGAATTAACCAATTGTTATAAGAATGATAATAAAGGATGGAGATATTTCATGTTTACCATTGGTGGGTTTACATTTATATTATTTGTTATCAGGTTTTGTTTTAGAGTTTACGAATCACCAAAGTATTATTTAGGAATAGGTCAAGATATGAAAGCTATTGAAGTCGTAGAAAGAATAGCAAAGACAAATAGAAAGCCATGTCCTATAACTATAGAAGATTTTCAAGAAATTGATAGGAAATATGGTGAAATAGATGAAGGAAAGGATGCACTCATAAAAAAGAATCTTGCAAAATTTGATGGTGAAAATTTTAAGAAAATGTTTTCCTCACCAAAATTGACTATATCCAACGTGCTTATCATTATAACATGGCTGGTAATTGGAATTGCATATCCTTTGTATAATAGTTTTCTTCCATACTATTTGGAAACACGAGGCGATGCAACCAAGCCTTTATCTGTTCATGAAACATATAGAAATTCATTAATTGTGTCTGTAATTGGAATACCTGGCGCTTTAATTGCGGGACTTTTAGTAGAATTGAGGACAGGTAGAAAAGGAGCATTATCAATATCATTGCTTCTAACAGGTGTTGTGTTGTTCGGTTCAACAACAGCAAAAAGTAGTGGATCATACCTTGCTTGGAACTGCTTTTTTTCATTATTTTCAAATATTCAATATGGAGTTCTATATGCATATACTCCAGAAATATGTCATGTACAAATAAGAGCTTTAGTATTTGGTTTAGCATCATCTTGTAATAGGATAATGTCTATTTTTGCACCCATTATAAATATTTTTGCTGATTTAACAACATCAGTTCCAATTTTTGTAGCTGGGGCATTATTTTTAGCAGCCGGAGTGTTCGTTGTATTTTTCCCATATGAGCCAAGAGGTAAAAAGAGTTTATAGTGGGTCGATCTGGAGAATTGTATTTTTATGTTTGTAATTTTAGGAAAATAATATTTGTAACTGGTAGAAAATTTTGATTCGTATACTTATTCCCGATTTGGATATCTGAAACGCAAACTTGAATAATCTTGCTTTATATTGATTCAAACTGAAATATAATACAATTTCAATTCTTCATACATCTTTCTTCATCTCCTTTTCTTTCGTTTTAATCAATAATCGCTCAGGATGTCTGTATTCAAAACTAATGCAACAATTGCAGAATTTGGTGGTCAATTACTTAAATTGACTCATGACTCAAAAGTTACTAAAACTCCGATGAATGTAAATTTATATATTCCTCCAGCTAGAACTTCAAAAATTCCAGTAGTATTATATTTATCTGGTTTAACTTGTACACCTGATAATGCAAGTGAGAAGTCATTTTTTCAATATTGGGCAAGTAAATATGGTTTTGCAATGGTTTTCCCAGATACTTCACCAAGAGGGGCTGATATAGCTGGAGAAAATGAAAGTTGGGATTTTGGAACTGGAGCAGGATTTTATGTTGATGCAACTCAACAACCATGGTCAACAAATTATAATATGTATACTTATGTTCATGGAGAATTAATTGATAAATTAACTGAAGCATATCCTGAATTAGATTTTAGTAATATTTCAATAACTGGTCATTCAATGGGAGGTATGGGAGCTTTGGTTGGTTATATTAGACAACCAAGAAAATATAAAACAGTCAGTGCATTTGCACCAATTTCTAATCCAAGTGTTGTTCCTTGGGGTGAAAAGGCATTTGGTGGTTATTTAGGAGAAAATAAATCTACATGGGCAGAATACGATCCTACAATTTTAATTAAAGATTATAAAGGAGATGATTCATCTTCAATATTAATTCATCAAGGTTTAAATGATAATTTCTATGAACGTGAATTAAAACCACAAAATTTCGTTGATGCAGCTAAGGGATATAAAGGTGGTGTTGATTTAAGATTAGTTGATGGTTATGATCATTCTTATTTTTTTATAAGTTCTTTTGTTGAAGATCATGCTAAGCATCATGCAAAATATTTGGGTTTAAGTACTTGAATTAAAACGGTGGAACCGACTAGAATTAATCATATTTGATAATCCAGGTTGAATACCATGTAGATTTTTTATCATTATGTATACTTTCAGCTAGCTTCGCCAATGTAATTGAATTTTTGGATATGTCATTTGTGATTGTGTCAATTTCTTTACTACTACATCGGTTTAACATAAGTTCAACAATGAATTTGTCTATGAGTATGGTGATATTCTTTTGTAGATCGTATATGTCATCAATTTGTGAATTGGTTGTTGATTTTGGCAATGATTTTTTAAATGATGCTATAAGTAGTTTCACCAATTCTATCTTTTTCACCCATTTCCCTGAATATTCAATCAATTTGTTTAAATCTTCTTCACTTAAAGATTCTTCATCTTCATTTTCATCATCTTCTTCATCACTAAATCCAAAAGTATCATCAACTTCTTCTGGATTTTTGGCCCACTCGCTAAACTCATCGAATCCATCATCGATCAACGATATACTTAATTTAATTTTATTTGTAAGTAAAGATAATGCACCGTTCTCCAACAATGAAATAATGGAATCACAATTCGACCAAATCTTCCCTATTGAAACTAATCTACCCTCATCTGTTTTGTCCTCGTATATATGCATGAGTTCGGTTGACAAATCCACATTTGATTCTATTAAAAGTCTATTTTGATCTAATATTTCCTGATAGTATATATTTGAATTGTTCTTATCATTGTTTAATTGTGATAAAACCGAAACAGTGAAAACCAATGACTCTGATAAACTTTCCAAAGTGTTATAAGCAGTTTGTTCTTGTTTTTGTAAAGTTTCAGGTTTGAAAATTATTCCAACTTTTGTTGTATGTGCTTTTATTAATTTAATAAGTTTTAAAAGTTCATCTAAAGGTTTTTCAATTTTTGAAGGAGTCACTTTATTAATTTCTTTACTGTTTAAGATATTAACCCAATATTGAGTGGCATCGTTGAACAGCCGTATTAATGCTTTTAAATCTGGTTTTGTCATTTGTCGTAGGTAATTTGCAGTAATTTCAAAATTTAGTTTGACATCTTCGTAAATTATTTTTTTTTTTATAGAAGAATAGCCTAAGTAGAATACAATTATAAGCACAGAGATACGATTTTACAATTGATGTCATTTATTTTTTACAAAATGTTTACCAATCATCATCTTCATCATCACTTTGACTTACTTTTGCTTTACGCTTGTTCAATGCTAATGATAAAGCATCTGCTAAACTTCCAGGTGGTCCTGCAGAAGGAGGTGGACTCGAAGCATTAGTACCTTGATTTGGTTCTCCTCTTGCCTCTTGTAATAATACACTTGGTTTTTCTAATTGTGATTTATCTGTCTTTTTTAAAGAAGTAACTCCTGCTCCTCTAATTGATGCTAATAATGCGTCTCTACCAGCATCACCAGTAGCTTCTGTAAAGTTGTTATTTGAATTGTCTGAGGAAGTTGGAGGAGGTGGACCAGGAGAAGGTGGCGCATTATTAGAGCTTAATTGTGGCATAGGAGGTGGAGGTGGAGGTGGTGACAGAATTGACTGAGGTAGTGATGGAGGTGCAGGTGAAGCTTGAGGTATTGAGGCTGCAGGTCTTGGTTGGAGTGGTGGAGGTGCAGGTGGTTGTTGATATTGTTGTGGTGGTGGAGGTTGTTGGTATTGTTGTTGTTGGGGTTGTGGTTGATGATGTACTGGTGGTAATTGCGGTGGCTGTGTATTTCGTGGTGGAGGAGCTGGATGTGATCTCGAAGGTGGGGGAGAAGGAGCAGCACCTCTAGCAGCTCTTGGTGGAGGAGCTGGAGGAGGTACATTACCTGTTCTAGTAGGAGGAATTGGCTGTACTCTTTGAGAAGGAGCTGAAGATTGTCCGTTTGCTCTAGGAGGAGGAGGAGGGGCATTCCCTCTTGCTGGTGGCACAGGTGGTGCTTGATGATTCATATTTGAAAGTGGTGGAGGAACGTTAAATTTATGAGATTGATTTTGATTCGTTTGTGGTGGGGTTGATGGAAGCGGTCTTTCATTCGAGGCCAATGATGTTGTTCTTGTAGGTGGTTGATGCTCATTATTTTGTTGAGAAGGAGGTTTTGGTAAATTCGCAATAGGTGGGGGCACTCTGAAAACAGGTTTAAATTTAGCAGGTTCTGGGCTTGAAGTCGTTTCTTCAGGTTGTGGTGATCCTCCTTCTTCAATAGAAGGTGAATAAGAATGATTTGTTGGTTGAGATGGAGCTGGAGATTGAGATGAAGATGCTGCAGGAGGAGGGGGTGGTGGCGGAGCTTTTTTATGTTTAATTGATGGTTTCGATTCAACTGGAGGTGAGTCGTATATTCCCTCGTTTTTTTCATGCGCTCTTTGATATTTTCTTGGAACAGGTGGCTCTAATCCAACTAATGGACCACCTTGTTGTGCAATATAATCTTTTATAAATTGTCTATTATCAACAATCATATCTTCTGTGATACCAGCTGATTCTAATTCTGCATAAAGTGATCTCCATTCTGGTGGTGGAACATCATCGTAATATAGTACTCCCTTAGATCGTCTTTGTCTTTGAGCTGTATTTACATCCATGAATTCACCTCTTGGTCCAGGTGTATTATGGTTTTTAGGTTCTACTCTTTCTTTTAAAGCGATTGCATTTTTATTCTTCACAGTTGCACTAGATCCATGTTTCTGTCTAGTAGTAACTCTTTTATAAAAATGAGTTGCATCATTTGTATCCTCAAATAGTAATCCAATTAAACAATCTTCAATTTCAAAAGTATGAAAGAATTTTCTATCTTGATTATATTCAAAATTTACATATAATTCTTGATCCCATAAAACACCTCGATGACCAGTAATATCTATTAATTTAAGAAAAAAAGTATGGCCAACTAAATCATCTACTAATGCAATTGCTCCAACTAAGCCTGTATAAACCCATTTTGTTGGATCTGGATATGCGATGTATAATCTAGCAACTGTTGCATCAATAATTTTATTACTTGCTTTTGGTACTGTTCTTTTGATTTTTTCCTTATCTTGGGTTGTTAAAATACCCATATTGAGAAATCAATTGAAGTTATTATAGATGGTTTGAATTGATGAAAGTTGTATCGTAGTTTGAGTCGAAATTTTGTACTTTCATTTTTGTGATCCTAATGTCTTGACAAAATTAGTGTGCTAATAATATCTACATCCATTTCATTGAGAGAATATACATGCATTACTATTTAGCTATTTATCTTTTCTTTTCATGATTGAACTTATCAATTACTTCCTTAAATAAGAAACCATCATTTTCAATAATTTTTTTCAAAAATTTAGTATCATTCATTTTAAAAATGGATCTGTTTCTGATTTCTTTACATAAGATGACAAAATAAACAAATCTTTCATTCTTTGGAATAATTTGATTAAAATAATTAATATTTTCATTAATTAAACTAGTCAAGGCTGATAAAACAATTGAGTTTGAATCTAATAAATCCTTGTTTTCCTTTAAAGCATTAAGGTATCTGTCTTCATAAAGTTGACGAATATATAACAAATTAGCATCAGAAGTTGCTCCAAATAAATTTGAATTTATTTCTTGTTTCATATCTTCCACTGGAGAAGATGATGGAGTGAAATTTATTGGATGACTAACACCAAATTTTTTATAAACTATATCCCTTAAAATTTTAATTTCAACTTCTTGTTGATCTAAAAGTTTGGAATGTTGTTTTTCATAATTTGTAACTTTCTTATTGTAATGAGATTTAGAAGTTGAAAGTTTATGATTTAATGATTCACATTTCAATTCCAAGTCATGATTTGATTTTTTCAAGGCTCTCATCTTTCTATCAATTGCATTTTTTTCATCTTGATGAGAGTTTCTTAAATTTTCAATTTTTACATCAAATTCTTTCTTTTCTTTTTCAATTGCCAAATTGGATGCTTTGATTAAATCAAGTTCTTTCAATAAATACATCTCTTTCTCTTTTAATACAAATACTTCTCTTTCTAAATTTGTAATGGCTTGATCTTTTAATAAAGAATTTGAATTTGATTCTTTTTCCAATAATTCTAATTCTTTTTTACTACTCAAAAGATCTGTTGTAACTTTATGAGCTTCTCTTGAACATTCTTCCAATTTATTATTCAAATTTTGAACATTTAACATTAAATCATTTTTTTCTTTTTCCATAGTTTCAATTTTAATATCTAATGATTCAACTACTTTATTTTTCATTTCAAGTTGATCTTGTGAAGCTTGTAAATCTTTTGTCAATTGATCTTTACATTGAGTCAATTTGGTAATTTCATCTTTTGTTAAATTTATTGCTTGAAGTTTACTACTCAATTGATATGGATCATCAACTTCCATTAATGCACATATTTCATTTAAAACTAAAGATTTGTCTATATTAGATGTGTCTATTTTTGACGTTTCAGTAGATGTTGAGAAGTTGTTACTTTGTTGATGTATACCAAAAGTTGTATCCATTGATGAATCATTTTGATAAACTTGATTAGGTTTTGAATTTGCTTTACTTTCCATTCTTGCTGTTTGTTCAGGTCTAATTTGATGTCTTTGACGAACCAATAATGGTATATGCTCTTCCTTAGGACCAAAAAGCTTCCCTGTTATACTTATATTCGCCATAATTGATGATTTTGTTGTTTGTTTATGTTTTAATAAAGTGGTTGCAAATAATAACAAAAAAATTAATTTGATTTTCAAATTTATATTAGTAAAAATGTAAGCAAATTGATAATATTGTTTCTAAAACAACCAAAACAAATTAAAAACACGGCGGTCAAATGCAATAAGTATTTTAATATCTATGCAGTTCTTTCAATATCATTTGCAAGCGATCTGAACAATTGTATGTTGTTTATTTTCGATAAGATTGGGATAAATTCAAGATTAAAGTAATTTGGTAGCGAAGTGACACTGAAGTCGAAAGGATTTGTAGCTGAAACAGTTGATCCTGAAGATCAGATATATTGGAGCGAAATCGTCTTTTATATGACTTGTTTCATAAGTTTTGAGCTATATTCTCTCACCTTTGGGCGTGTTATTTTAATCTCTTTATAAATCGAACATCAAGTAGCGTCGCCACGATTTTAATATGTGCACGGTATCTCTTGAAGCCAATTGTAATAGGTAAACGACATTATATTGAACGTTAAGTCTTTTTGATATCGACGATTGATGTCATTGAAACTGCTAAGTTTTTGAGTTTTCCTATTAATCGTGGTGATAACGTAGGGTACTAAATATTTTGGTACTCTTTTGGTACTCTTTTGGTACTCCCTCATCAAACAGTCCTCCTCCTTCATTCCTTAGGTGAAATTTTTCATCTAATTCTGTTCATCTTAAAGTAACTTTGATGTATATCTCCAGTTTGATCATGGTGTACTGATGTCATGAAAGATCATCTTTAAAAAAAGTAAATACAGCGATCAAATTTGCAACAAAATTATTAAATAATAATGTCAGATTCAATAACTAATTATGTACCATTGATAAGTGATGATCAAAAACATCAAGTAGAAATTGCAAATTTAGAAGCAGATCATGTTGCTTTTAAACTAAGATATAGATCAAATTCTATAATATCAGCTACAACAACTGAAGATGAAAGACCATTACCTTCAATAAAAATTTTAGGTACAGGTGGTACAATTGCATCAAAAGCTGAATCATCAAAAGCAACAGCTGGTTATGAAGTAGATGTTACTATTGAAGAACTTGTTCGTAATATTCCAGATTTATCAACTACATGTTTAATTGAATATGAACAAGTATTAAATATAGATTCAACAGAAATGAATTTAAAAGAATCAGCAATATTAAGAAATCAAATAGTTGAAGATTTAAAAAAATTTGATGGAATTGTAATAACTCATGGAACTGATACAATGGAAGAAACTGCATTTTTCATACAATCTACTATAAATACTTCAAAACCAATTGTAATATGTGGAAGTATGAGACCAAGTACTGCAATTTCATCAGATGGTCCAATGAATTTATATCAAGCTATAGTAATTGCTTCTAGTCCTGATAGTTATGATAGAGGAGTATTAATAGCTTTAAATGATCGTATTGGAGCAGGATTTTATATAACTAAATCAAATGCGAATTCATTAGATACTTTTAAATCAATTGGTCAAGGATATATTGGAAATTTTGTAAATAATGAAGTTAGATTTTATTATCCACCTGCAAAACCTTTAGGATTAACATTTTTTGATTTAAAACCAGTTTTTAATTTACCTGAAGTACCTATAGTTTATGCACATCAAGGTTTAAATACTAAAATATTGGAATTTACAATTAATAATATGAATGCAAAAGGTTTAGTTATTGCAACAATGGGAGCAGGTTCATTATCATCAGAAACTAATAAATATTTATCATCAGTAGTTGATATAAATTTTCCAATAATATATAGTAAAAGATCAATGGATGGTATGGTTCCAATTGGTGCATTACCTAAAATTAATGGTCGAGTATTTGAAAATGCAATTGCTGGAGGTTATTTAAATCCTCAAAAGGCAAGAATTTTATTACAATTATGTTTAAATGAAGGTTATGATTTGAAAAGAATTAAAAAGGTATTTAAAGGAGTTTGATAGAGTAGGTATGTCATGGGAGTAGTTATAGATTTGTATAGAATAATAGAAGAAAATTAGTACGGAAAAATGAAGTCTTTATATAAATTTAGATTTTCTCGCACATCGGAATTTTTTCAGAAATCAGATCTAACCAAACTTAACTCATTAAACAAATGGTTGAATATTCAGGAAGTACTCCAGTTGAAATAGCACCAGATAAACGTCAAAGAGTTCAATGTTGGGATTCACGAGATAGATTTTTCCAATGTTTAGATGAACATTATATAGATAATTCATTAGATCCAAAAGAAATTTCAAAAGTTAATTCAAAATGTGGAGATATAAAGCAGAAATTTGAAAAAGATTGTGTTAAAAGTTGGGTTAAATATTTTCAAGAAAAAAGAACTAATGATTTAATTAGAACAAGATATATTCAAAAATTAGAAAGTGAAGGTGCTCAACCATTACCTTTTAAAATTGAAGGAGTTAAAAAGTAAAGCACCTAGTTTATTTATTTTGCAATTATATTTAATGTACTACTTATACAATAATTTGAATCAAGTATTGTACCCCATTCATATTCACCTTTTTCAATAATAACAAAATTTAATTTATTTATATAAGTTGAATTTGGTTGAATTTTAAATTTATATTGTAATACTCCATTAAATAAAATTTTTCTATCAATTGATAATTGTTTAGTTATATTTATATTTGAATTATTATTGGTGTTATTATTACTTGATGTAATTTGTATAGGAAGTTGACGAATAAAACCTTTTAATTCATTATTGGAATTATTTATAATTTTAGTTTCTAATGTATAAAATTCATCAATTAATAAATCTTTATTTGTTTCAATTATTCTTGTTGATATTTCAATTGGTTCTAATATTAATAAATTAACCATTTTTGAAGTTAATCTAAAACATCTTAAATCAATTATTCCAGATCTTGTATCAGTTGACCAATTTCCACTTAGATTTTTTAAAAGTTCTTGTTTTAACCAAAATGTCTTTTTCATTTGAATTTGCTCTTCATCAGTCATATTATAATCTCTTATAAATTGTTTTTTACGTAATGATGGTATATCTTTTGTTGGATTTGATAATTCGATTTTATGTATTGGTATAAAATATCTTTTGGTTTTATTTGATTCAATTGAATCAGAAATATTGAAGTTGTTATATTTTAAATCACATTTCAATTTTTCAGTCCATGAATTTCTTAAATCAAGAACCAATATACAATATTTTGATTTATCTTCCATTTCAAAATTTTCAATTGGATAACTTGAAATAATATCACATCCAACAATTTCTAAACTTGGCATTACAGATATATGAATAGGTATATCTAATTGTTTTATAAAAGAATTTTCAATTTCATTATGACCATAATCTAATATAATTTTCAGATCTCTCATATATTTCCTACTTGTTAATTCATATTTTATAATTATTTCTTCATTTGGTTGAATATTTTTATTTATAACATTTTTATTTAAAATTTTAAAACTTTTAAAATTAAATAAATTCCATTCTAACTCATAAATTTCAGAAGCTGTTAAATATTGTTGTTGTTGTAAATTTTTATTTATATATTCTATTGATGAATCAATATATGAAAATGATAAATAATCTATAATTTCATTTGAATCATTTATTAATTTTATTTCAAATTGATATTTTTCACCTTCTAATAACATTATCCATCCATTTGGAATCAGTAATTCAACTAATTTTAATTGAGGTTGTGGTGGAATAACTGTTAATGGTAATGTTCTATATGTAACATATTTATCAGTACCTTCATTTTGTAAATTTTTAATAAGTTCTGAGATGATTGGTGATGATGAGTCTATTCTTTTGGTATTTATGGAATTGATTTGTTTTTCTTGATCAACTATTTTGAAGAACTGTCGTTCACAGAAGTTTACTACTATTTCAAGTCCAGTAATTTCTAATTCTCCTGTACCTAATGGTTTAAATGGTATAATAATTTGTTCATTTGATGCAGGTTGAATAGTAAACAATGAAGGATTACTGGGCACAGGAGCCATTAAATTAGTAGTTGTTATATTTCTCTTAACTTTATTTCTTAATTTATTATTATAATTTTGATTTTCTAAATTTTGATTAACATAAGTTATAGATTTAATAGTTTCAATTTCAACTCCTTTACTTTTAATTTTTATATCATTAATTTCAATAGGAAATAAAAATGGATTTTGAAATGTAATTTTTAATTGATTTATTTCATCTTTTATTAAAATTCGATCTAATTTCATATCTTCATTAGTGGTAATTTGATTATATGGATCAAAAAATGGTTGATTTTGTTTTGTTTTAACTTCTTCAACTAATGGAATTAATCCTTCTTTTGCTCTTGCTGATACAAATTTCACTTTTCTAATTAGAAAAGGATCCCAATATGGTAATTTTGAATTAGTACTATTAACAATTTTTTCAGTCATTGTTCTTAATTTAATTTGATCATCTTGTGATAAACAATGAGTATATTTAGATAATAATAATAAACATAATTGAAGTAATAAATTTTGATCACCAATTTTTTCAGCGGAATTTAAAGATAATTTTAAAACTTGAATTTGTAAAGATGTCCAAGTTAATTGATTTTGATTTATTGAATTATTTTCTGGTTCTGAATTTATACCATATAATAAAAATAATTTTTCTAATAATTGATTTATTAATTTTAAATTTTTAAATTTTTCAAATTCTTTAACTAATGCAACTAAATTAATTCTTAATATAAATGCTTTTTTTCTAAAAAATTTCATTTTATCATAAATTAATGAGATATAATTGTATATATTACATTGATCAATTATATTTAAATCAACTAATTGTAAAAAAAAAATCTTATCAATATCACATATAATATCTTGTGTTGAAAATGATTCTGGTGTATGATCAATCATTAAATTGATTTTTCGTAGTATACATTCAATATAAACAACATCAGGTACCATATTTTCAGGATCATTTGTACTTTGACTATAAAAATATATGGCTTTGGTTAAGAATATTTTTAATAATTCAGGTAATGGTAATGAATTTATATCTATTGATGATGTTAAAGGTAATGCAAATCCATTGGTTGTAGTTGAACTAGTCATTGAATTTCTTGGTGATTGTATTGAAACTTTTGATCCATTTGAATCAAGAGATGATCTTTTAGTTGAATTTTCCATTGTTGATAATGAAGATTTAGTAACATGAAGTAAGGATGAAATATTTGAATTCAATTGAGGATTATAATCAATTTTTGATGATAAATATAATGAAACAGATAATCCTTCTAATGCACTAGCTAACCATAAAAAATCATCATACTTCTTAAGTATTGATAAACTATCTGTAAAATTTGCAATAGATTCATTATATTTACCAGCTAATAAATAAAGATTTCCAATCAGTTTTAAATGTCTACCAGAATATTTTGATTTTTCAATTAATTTTTCTTGAGATTCACTATGGTTATTAAAACTCGCTTTATAAGAAGTTGAACCAGAACTTAATCTTTTTTGAGCTTGATTTATTGTTTTTGTGAGTACATGACTATCAGTAATTGAAACTGGTGATCTTAGTGTTATATTACTATAAGCGGATGCATAATCGTCTAATGATATTAAGAAATGATTAAAGATTTCAACAAATATATTTTCTAATGCAGTTAAATGAGTTGATGTTCCATTATGTAAAAAAACTGGTGATTTTGAATTGGGAAGTTGTTCTTCTGGAGTATTAAATAAAATTATATTATGAACAATTGATGAATTATATATTCTTTTAAGTTGATTTATATTATCTAATTGTGAGTCTGAATCTTGATTATATTGACCAATTCCAATTATAATGAAATTTTTTCTAAATGGTTCAAATTCATGTAAATATAATGATTCATTATCAATTGAGGAAGTTATAAATTCTGGATATATTTTGCCCTCGGGAAATGTTATAGGATTAAAACATTTTAAATCTGAATTTGAAGATAAATCTAGTAGTCGTAGATCAATTATATTTGAAGTTATTAGATTTACAAACTTATTGAAATTTTGTAATGAACAATTGTTGATGGGAACTAGTAGAACCCTTACTTTTGCAGGAGTTATGAAGTTATATCTATTAGGCATATAATGTAACTCATTAACTTATTCTTTTCTTTTTAGTTGTGTGTTGATAAGTGGTTGTAAAAAAATATTTCAAAACAATCTTTTTCTTTTTAGTGCGTGAATACGAGAATTTAATTTATCACCAATTTTCTTTTCACAACGGCAAACACAACCACCACCAAACAACCAAACAACCAAACAATGACTGGGTTAAATTTCGATAACTACCAAAGGAACCAATTCTTAACCACAAAAGGATTTGCTCAACCAAAGGCAACTTCAACAGGTACAACAATTGTTGGATGTCAATTTAAAGGAGGTGTAGTAATAGCAGCAGATACAAGAGCTACATCTGGTCCAATAGTAGCAGATAAAAATTGTGAAAAATTACATAGATTATCTCCCAAGATATGGTGTGCTGGAGCAGGTACTGCAGCAGATACTGAAATGGTTACTCAATTAATTGGATCAAATTTAGAATTACATGCATTATCACAAAATAGACAACCAAGAGTTATAACAGCTGTAACAATGTTAAAACAACATCTTTTTAAATATCAAGGTCATTTAGGTGCTTATTTAATTGTTGCTGGTGTTGATCCAACTGGAGCTCATTTAATATCAGTTCAAGCTCATGGATCAACTGATGTTGGAAAATATCAAAGTTTAGGTAGTGGATCATTAGCTGCAATGTCAATATTAGAAACTAATTTTAAAGAAGATATGACAAAAGAAGAAGCTATTGAATTATGTTCACAAGCTATATTAGCAGGTATATGGAATGATTTAGGTTCTGGTTCAAATGTTGATGTTTGTGTAATGGAAGTTGGTAAAGATGCTCAATTATTAAGAAATTATATAACTCCTAATATAAGAATTGAAAAAACAAGAAATTATACTTTTAAACCTGGTACTACAGCTGTTTTAAAAACTTCAATAAGAGATATATGTGATGTTCAAGAAGAAATAATTGTATAGAATGAATATGTAAAAAGAAAACGAAATTAGAAATGATATTTAAGAATCGATTTTTAACTTTTTTACTCTCTTGAAATGTATGCATAACTGATTTATTTTATCTTACTTTATCTACATCTAAATTTGATTTTATGTGTTAGCCTAAAGATAAGTTTTAAAACACTAGTAAGCTATCAAGAATTATAGTTAGTTTATGTCGTTTCGAGAAATTCAAATTGTCGCAAGAAACATTAAGAGATAGTAATATTTTGTCGCACTTTTAACTAATGAAAAAACGACAAAATGAAATACAAAATGTGCCACCAAAGCATTCTCTTTACATGACAAATCGATAGGTGAGGGCGACAGTTAATATTTTTAAACGCGATTAACGTACGTTCTTACTATAGAACCAGGTGTTGTTATTTTTAAAAACTTCAACTAAGATAATTGTATTACATTTAAAAGAAAAAATTACTGTTTATTTAGAGATAATCATAAATTAAATTTTATCATTATTATTTATTCATCTTAATTATTTAATTTAACTATAAAAACTAATCAAAGTACCAATTTATTCACCATAAGCTTTTTTAATTTCTTTATCATATTTTTGAACAATTTTTTTTCTCTGTAATTTTTGAGCGGAACTAATAAAGCCATTTTGAGGGGTCCACTCATCATGAGAAATTACAACATTTTGTAATAACTCAATCCCCTTTAAACCTTGGGCTTTACCTGTTTGATTCAAACTATCAAGCACCTTACCAACTAATTTTTTATCACCATAATCTGTATTTTCATCAAAACCAAGTTGATTTAAAAATCCATCAATCGGAACTATAATTCCAATTGGCTTAATTTGATTTTGATCTGCATATACACAGATATTAGCAACTAACTGGTTGGATCTATAGACACTTTCTAATTTTTCTAAGGCAATATATTCTCCATTAAGTGTCTTGACCAAATTCTTCTTACGATCGATGATTTTCAAGGCTCCATTACTTTGCCATTCTCCAATATCACCAGTATGAAACCATCCTTCATCATCAAATGCTTCTTTAGTTTCTTTATCATTTTTGTAATATTCTTTAACTACTGAAGCTCCTTTTAATAAAATTTCTCCTTGATTATCTTTTGCAAAATATCCTGCATCTGGAACATCAATTAATTTTGCAGTTATACAACCAGTTAAAGTACCTAATGATCCAATTTCAAATCTTGTATGTTCTGCAATAGTACCCATTGCACAAGTTTCAGTTAATCCATAACCTAATAACATTGGAGCAATTAAAGTTGAAACAAAAATTTGAGCATCAATTGAAATTGGTGAACCACCATTTAATACATAACGTAATTTACCACCAGTTGCTGCTTTAACTTTTTTGAAAATAATATCAAATAATGAACCACCAGGAATTTTAAATTTATTCATTGTTGCTTTTGCATTAAATGCAATCCAAAATAATTTTTGTTGTAATGGTGAAGCTTTTTTAACTTTTGCTAAAACTCCTTTTCTAACTGATTCCCAAACTGCAGCAACACCAACCATAATAGTTGGTTTATATTCAATTAAATCAGGTTGACAATTTTTACAAGAAGCTTCAGTTAAAGTTTTAACATTTGCATAACCTAATGTAGCACCCCACCATAAAGTAGCAACTTCAAAAGCTAATTCAAAAATATGAGCTAATGGTAAAAATGCGATAACACTATCATTTGGACTAACTAAATCTCTACCAGCATTAGTTGAAATACCAGCAACTGCAGCTAAAATATTACCATTTGTAATACAAACACCTTTTGGATCACCAGTTGAACCTGAAGTATACATAATACAAGCTAAATCATCAGTTTTTGGGAAATGTAAATCTTGTTGAGATTTTTTACCAATTTCAACTAATTCATCAAAACTAATAAATTTTAAATTTGGATTAATATTTAATAATTCTTCTTTTGCAATTTTAGCATTTTGATAAATTTTACCATTTTGTCTTTTATCAGTTGGATCAATTGAATCACCATGAATTATATATTTAACATTTTTAGCTTTTTTTAAAGGATTTTTTAAAGTATGTAATAATGAATTATCAGTAAAAATTGCATCAGCATCAGTTTGAATTAATGAATGAGTTAAACCAGATTCTCCTAAAGTATCATAAGCAGTAACAATTGGAATATTTTGAAAAGTACAACTTAAAAATGTTTGCATCCAATGATGAGAAGTTGAAGCATAAATCATTAATTTTGACTCTTGATTTGGTTTTAAACCTAATTCTAATAAACCTTTTGAATAATTTTTAATTAATTCTAATAATGCAGGATATTTTATATAATTATAAGGTCCCATTTCATAATAAGTCCAATCTTTTTTAATTTTTTTATCTTCACCATCAATTTTTTTTGTAATTTCTTTAGTTTCTGTATGAATTTCAAGTAAATTTCTCCAACCCATAGCATTTTTATTACCATTTCTTTTAAAACATTCTTCTATAAATTCTGGAATATTAGTAGCTTTTGAATCAATTGGACGTGATAATGATGCTTCTCTTAAAGAAGCTTTTCTTCTTGGAGCAGTTTCACCGGGTTTTGCCTCTCCAACAGCAACAGTTAATGGTGACATTTTTTGTAGTAGTATGTTATGAAGTATGAAATTAAAATTAAAATTAAATCAATTGAAGTTGTTGAAGTTTTTGTTGATAGTAGTTGATTATAAAAATTTGGAGAAATTAATAAATTTTTGCTGTTCCTTTTATTATTATATTTTTTAAGTAAGAATTATAATAATTTTAACAATAATAACCTAATAAGTCAAAAGTGAGATAATTAAGTCAAATTTTGTATGAAAATGATGTACTTTTTAACAAGGTAATATTTGTGTAATGAATTTAATGAATTTGAATTAAGATTAACTTGTAAGTAAAGTTGATGAATATTTGTTATTATTATTGAAGATGGCAAATTAAACTTAAATTAAAATTTTATAAAAGAGATTAGAAAAGTTGGAGATTATTGGAGATTTATATATTAGTTATTATTATTATTATACTTGCCATAGTTAAATTAACTTATCTTAATTAAGAAAAAATAATTTTATATTATTAAAGGAGTTTTGAAGTCTTATAATATTATCTACATTTCAATAAACACCTTTAGTATTACTGTTTCATCTATTCCAAGTGTCACTAGACAACTTTTAAAAAGGCATGATCATTATACTATAGATTTACCCTCTTAACTTCAATCTTACTAACAAATTATGAAACAAACAAATTAATTTTTTGTTGAGAAAAAATAAAATTTTAATTTTATCACCAGCAGAAAGAGAAGAATGTGATTAAAACAACAAAGTTAAAACAAGGGACAAACACAGAGAGGGACTAGAAGAAGGAGGGAGGCAAAGTACACAAGATCAAAAAAAAATAAAGTTTTTGGACTTTACAACTAAAAATTAACAGCGTAATGATAATTTGTTTCAATTTCCTCTTTAGCTACAACTTTCTTGATAGCACATAATTTCAATTACTTTATTACACATATACGATAGATTTAAAATTTAACATGAATAGTAATAAATCAATTTTATAGTTTTGTTATTCATCTTAAATACTTATCTTTGTACATAGTCGCTACTATTATAGCCCACAATTTCTTTCTTCTTGATTAAAGCAAGAACAAAGAAGTCTTGCCAATACAAACAAGATTTTTATGTTGAGGTTTAATGGTCATCGATTTGTCACGATAATTCTAAGACCTTAAAATTAAATTTTCTTTCATCTTTTTCTTAAAACGTTTGCTATCAAAATTTAATTAATTTTTTATTAATTAAACTTGAAACAAATGCGATCTAAGAAATTAATATGCGATTTCTCACACCCCCTCTCATTTTATATAATTCAAGAAGGGTACCAATTTCAACTTGTTTGATATTACGATAAATTCTGAACCCTAATTAACAACAACTATCATTATTTCAAAAGACTTATTTAATTTTAACCCAAATTAAAGTTTTACGAAACTTTATATTGTAGTTTAGTGTACAATTTTCAAGCGAAGTTAATCTAAAATTAATTTAGATATACTAAGTACTCTGAATTTGTCGTTATCAGTCGTCTACTATCCCCTGCAACTAGGTCGAAGATTTGTTTTAAGTCGACCTAAAGTTAAGACTGAGTTTCCAATTGACGACAATATTTATTTTACGCGACACATGTGCTTATTACACAAAATCTATGATTTAGTATTTTACTAAATAAAGTAAATTAAAGTAAAAAAAAAATTGTATCAAATTATAGTCTAGACTAATGAAACAAAGTGGAGTAAAGTTCAATAAACATGATGGTGAATTAAAAGGATCAACATGAAACAAGGTTATTAAGATATTCCTTACTAAAAAATTTTCAGAACAAATTTGTAACTATTCTAACTAGATTATTTTCGTACCAAGAATTATTAGTCAAACGACCATTAACATCAATTAATACTTCGTCTACCTCTTCCTCAATTTTGATAAGACTAAAGTTGAACTATCTGACATCCATTCATTAATCAAAACCGCGGTAACTGAAATAATTAAACAAGAAAAAATTAAAAAAAAAGAGAAGGGAAGAAGAAAAAAAAAACCACCGTCTAAGTTTTAGGGCGGGTTCGTAGTAAAGTCAAGCAGGGTTGAATGAAATTTTACTACGAACTGAAACACCGTCACCTAATTTTAAATTATTATTTTCCGTCTTCACACTAATTTTAATTTCAAATTTGTTGGGTTTTTCAAATTTGTTTCGTAATTTTATTAGACTATTTTTCATTTTCATAATTTTATTATTAAACTATTTTTATATACAGGAAATATGTTTAAAAGCATAAGCTGTTCACTGTTGATACGATTAAGATAAGAACCCTAGGAAAGCTATAAAGGAAAAGCTAAGAGATCATGAATTGAGAGAGATTCTGGAAAGTTGACTGATTCTGACCTTAATCAAATACTCTGAAATTTATCCAGCTAGTAATTTTCACAAGATTTCGATTATTTTTTTATTTTAACTCGAATTATGTTTTCACATCTAGAGTAGGATTAGAGTCAAAGTTAACATATCAATTGAATATTAAAATGTATTAATTATTATTTTTAGCTAATCTATAGCAATTACACACAGAATCTAAACTAATCTTTCTTCAAATCTTAATTCATTATTAATTGGTAAACCAACTAATAATCTTAATAAATTTTCTAAAGCTTGTCTTTGTTTATTTAAACCATTAATAGTTTTAAAACCTGGTCTTGATAAAGGAGCTTTTAACCAATAACTTAATAAAGTTAAAACAGAATAAAAATCTTGATATTCATTTTCAGATTCTTTTTTATAAGTAACTCTTGATAAAAATTCAGAAACAATAACTAAATCAATAATTAAAGGAGTTGCTAATAAAGAATCTTCACAAACATTATGAATTGAAATTTTATTATGACCACCAAGCATTAATTCTGAATAATATTCATCCATTGCAACTTTTGAATCACCAACAGCTGGTAAATATTTAATAACGATACAATGATCAACTTTATTACCTGATTCTTTATTATATAAAATTTCATTACTTTCAATCATATCATCAACAACTGAAGCTTTTGAAATTTCTTTTGATCTAAATTGTTTTGGTGCTGATAAATTATAACCATCATTATTACCTAAATGATTATAACTTGCAATTGAAATTGGTTTTATACCTGCATCAACTAAAAATTGAGCTAAAACAGATTTTATTTTAGTTTGACCAGATTTAAAATCATCACCACCAATAAATGATTTATGTTTTTCAGCTAATTCAATTACACCTGGTACAAAAGTATTTTGTGGTGAACCATTAATATATGGTACACCTTCTAATATAGAAGCAACAGCAAAAATAGTTGAAGGAGCAATTTCTTCATGATTTGATTTAATTGAAGCAATTAAATTATCAGCAGTATCATTAACTTTTGGTAATACATCAGCATATCTTTCAGTATTTGCAGTCCATAAAACAATAGCTTTATCTAAATTATTTTTTTCTTTAAATTCTTTAATATCAGATCTAATTTTTTCAACATCTTTCCATTTTTGATCAGTTTTAATTTCTCCATTAATTTTATTATAAACATTATCAGCTCTTTCACCTTGATTTGCAGCAATAAAATCTGGATAATAAATTGATTCTTTTGGTTTTATATTTTCAATTAATGGATATAATTGTTTTTGTAATGTAACATCTAAAACTTTTGCTCTTTTCATTGCTTTATCTAATGATAAACCAGAAATATCCCAACCATCAACAACTAAATCATTTGGATTAACCATTGGTACAATTGAATTGAAAGGAGCATAAACATCATTACCTTCATTATCAATACCAATTTTAATAGTTGATGATTGAGTAACTGAACCATAATAATTTGGTTTAACAGTACCTTCTTTATTTTCAAAACTTATATTTTTCTTATTAGCTAAAATTGAACCAACTAATGTTGTACCATTATTACCACCTAATCCAACTAATAATAAACCAACTTTTGGAACTTTTAAATCTAATTTAAATTCATAATCTTGTTGAGTTGGTGTAACTTTTAATGAACCATCTGAATTTTTTTCAACTAATGAATTTTCATAAGAAAATTTTGTAAATAAATGATTATCTTTTTTAGTAGATTTATTTGAGACGAAGTCAATTGATGATGACATTATAAATTGTTTATGTGAATATTCTTTGAAATATAAAGGGTGATATGAAGTATAGATTGTAAAGTAAGAAAGAAAGAAAGAAGAAGAAGGAAAAGAAAAAGTGAACGAAATTAGTTGAAATTTTGTTATTTTTTTGGAGAATTTATAGATTCTGTAATTGGGTAAGTGGGTAAGTGTGAAATTCACCTAATTTTCGGCGTGTTATGGTCGTGTAGAAGATGCACAACAAAATCGAAATATAACATACAACCCCGGAATATCTCTCTTCATATGATAAATTAAAATTATTCGGAAATCAATGTTGTTGAATATCAAAAAAAAAATAAAAAATAAAATCCGTTTCACTTTGTTACCCAATTGAGAAAAAAATAAAACTTTTTGCAACTTTCCACTACCTCAATGTATGAGATTTAATTTTGTGACTTCTTTTGAAACTCTAAGACTGATTTAGAGTCAAAAAATTACATGATAATTGAAAATTCAATAATCTGAATCAAAATATATAATTTCCATATATCTCTTTCAAAAGTTACTTCAAATATCAAAAATTGAATCAAATTTAGGTTATTGATATAAAAATAGATTCTTTAATCACGTTCTCTATTTTTCTTTTTTCTTTGTCACCTCGTTACCCCTATTTAAATTTTTAGTCGTGAAAAACTAAATTTATATAGTCATATATAGAGACGACCTTATCATAAAACGAACCCCTGTAATGAGTAAAATTGGGTGCATACTGTGATTAGATTGAGATGGTGATGATAGTTTTTGAAATTGTCATTCACTTCCCGAACTCCAACCCATTTTTCGGCGCTTCATACTCGTTTAGTGATGATATTTTTGAAGGATATCTAATCGCCGAATCATCAAGTCTCTTTATTCAATAATTCACATGTACGTTGTCTAATAAGCACTTAGGTAGTCTAATTAAAAAAATTTTCGTAAAACTCGACATAAACTTTAATATGGTAGCTATCACATACCAATACTAATAAATTCACCACAATAAACTAATCCAGCAAAAGCAAAATTATTCATTTGACTAATAAGTCTCCCTATAAGAGTATTTTAACCATTCAATTCAGATTTTTGTAGAATCTATGCATCCGGAAAGCGTTTGTGTAAATCAACCAATTGAAAATTAGGAAAAGAACAGGAGTTAAAAAACGACATGGAATGGATATTTTCTAACACAAAAAAGAATTTGAGTTTGTTCTTTTGCTCCTAGGAATCATTCTTCTGAAGTAATGCAATGAAAGGTTTTTCATGAATACACAACAAATTCGACTTGAATAGAAATGAGAATCACAATGGAAAAACGCATGGAGATCATTCTTTAAGTTCAAGGATTGGAAAGACGGATAATAGGCTTGTACAATACTTTTTATGAGTTTAGAATTTGAATGCAATCCTCTAATCCTGATAATTGCTTGATAATTTAATTCCCTTCAACTTTCATTGTCTCAACATGACGACCGTTCGTATTGGCTGAATTACTATCAAATTTAATTGGTCTTTTTTCATTCAAACATAACTCATTGGCTTCCAAATGCATTAATTGAAGTGTCAGTGTTCTTAGATGTTTCTCAGTTATAAAATGTTTTCAATTTAATTACTTTATTGATGTAGTCTTCATTCTTGATGGCTTCAATATAACACAAATGTTTTCAACTATCGACTTTAAGGAGTACAGCTAATCAAATTTTGAATTTAATTTCCATGGTGTTCAAAAAGATGAGTATTGTATCAATTTAGAAAATTTAAAAAAGTAAACCTTTTGGCTGAGTTAGTTTCAGTTAATTTAAGTTGGATTGAGCGGAAGACAGGTTCTTTAGTCGGATGAGTGTTTTGGATTTTCGGATATTAGCTTCAACGTCATTAAAGATATTAGCCACAATCATCACCAGAGACTTCGATATCATTATTAGAACATCATTCTCATCAAAATTTTTATTCATCATAATCTTTGGATCATTTTTACCAAATTTGCCGACAACTCAGAAACTAAAAACTTGAGTCAGATTCATATTTTGTGTGTTTCTTGATAGTTGATTTTCGTGCAACTGTAAATTCACCAAATTTAGACCGCAAGGTTTATATAGATTGATTTGATACTTCATATAACACGGAAAAGTGCACTTAAATTAATGAATACCTATACTCATCAAAAATAACTCATTGCTATTTGATCTTTTTCAGTGAAATGTTTTTTTCAAAAATTTCTCTGCTTATCTTAGATTTGTGTGAAAACGGGATAATATAGCCAGTTTTTGATGTTTCAATGAGGAATATCGAGTCTGGTGTGAATTAATTAGTGAATTTTCATTGACGAGATCAAATCAATCACTTTTCTTGGGATATCATTAGCGACTGTTATGTCATGATACAACCATGTTTGTTTTTTAATATATAAATGTGTTGCAAATCAATTGTGATACATAATAAATTTAAAATTCAAGAAACGCTACCAAACTGTTTCAATTTTTAATTCATACGTGTTTCAGAATATATTGGTAACAAGGTAATCACCAAAGGATAAGAATTAACTTTTTGAAACATTATTAATTAAAATATTAGACGAATAGTATTAATATTATTGTTTTTTTATATATTTGAAAGATATCGCTGCTTTCAATTAATTGTTATTATACGTATAATATTTTTTGGAGGGTGAATTTTATTACTATCACACGACAATTTCAATTTAATATTAAATTATTATTACTAGTCATATTAATCTCAGTAATCAAAAAAATAACCTTGTGATAATTACTTTATTATTCATTAACTCATCATACAAACAACCCAGATTCTTACCTTTTCATTCATCAATCCAATCAAAAAATGTGTTTCAATTTCATTAGAATTGCTCAAGAATCATTATTTGATCAAATTGTTCAAGCAAAATCAAAAAATTCAAGAAAAAGATATATGGAAGATAAAATTAAGTTCCTTGAATTTACTAATTGGAAAAGTAATACTTTAATAGCAAATATTAGAGATAGATTTATTAATGGTAAAGCATATATGACAAAAGATGAAGTTTATAATCTTGTTTTATGGAAATTAAATTTTGGAAATTTTAGACCAGTAGCTCATTATATTAAAGAAAATTCAGATGATGAAGTAATTGAAGCAACAAATAAAGCATTTAATGCAATGATTGGATTATTCAACAATTCAAAACAATTACAAGATTATAATATGGAAGATTTTAAAAATTATGCAAAGTTACTTGGTGGAGCAATTGAAATTTTAAAAGAATTAACTGGTGTTGGTCCTTCAACTGCTTCAATTATTCTTAGTTGTCTTTCTGGTATTAATGATGATTTAGCTCCTCCATTTTTTTCAGATGAAAGTATAATGTATTTTTATAATGATAAAACTTTATTAAATAATGTTTCAACAAATTTTTGTATTAATAAAATTTTACCAATTTATTTTGGATTAATTAAAGAAAATGATTTAGAATTAAGTTTTACAGAATTAGAAAAAGGTATAACATCAATTAGAAATTATGAAAGAAATAAAGATAATTATTATAATTTTACTTCACCATTTCAAGGAATTGACAAAAAAGTTTGGTCTAAATTTGTTTCAAGTGATACAATTAAATTTTTTAAAGATGAATTTGAAAATTCTCCAATTCGTAATGGAGCTAGAACTAAGAATGAAGCTGAAGAAATGGCTCAAAAAGTTGAAGAATTAATTTTTCATCCTGAAGCTGCTTATGTTGATCAATTAGAATCTGCTCAAGCTGTCGAACAAGGACCTGATGCTCAAATTGATCCTACTGCTGAATCATCTGGTTCTGACAATAAACTTGGTATCAAACAAGAATCAAGATCTCAACCAATTTTGGAAGCACTCAATGCAACAGGATCCTCACATAATATTAAGCAAGAACCTACAGCCATGTCAAATATATTAATGCCACCAAAAGCTAAAAAGCCTAAATCAATGAATGTAGCTTCACAAAGTGATGTTATGACAGGAATCAATACATTATTAGAATTAGCAGTTAATCATGATCAAAAATTTGATATCTTAGAGCAAAGATTTGGAAGTTTGGAAACTAAATTAGAAGAAATTTATGCTCAATTAAAAATTCATACTGATAATAATAAATTAATTTATAATCAAAATGAAAAACTTATTGAAAATAATAAATTACTTTATAATCAAAATGCAGAACTTTTTGAACAACTTACAATGATTTGTTATAAAAATCAAGAATTAATTAATCATAATCAAGAATTATTCAATAGATTAAGTGAATTGGAAAACAACATTGTTGAAAATTTAAAATTTGATTCAAAAAGAAGAAAAACTTGAAGATTAAATTAGAATAACTTAATTTGTGGTGCTCTTCAATTTAATATAAAAAGAGGATTGAAATATTTTTTGTAAGATTTTCTCTTTTCTGTTCTCTTCATAGGAAAGAACATTAAATTTTCTGAAGTCTAAACATAGTCTGCAAGCCATTTAGTCTATTTGCGAGTTTTGATCTTCTAAAATTAGTTTGTTGATTATCGGATATCTACGAATTCTTGGTTTGCGTCATGTTTTGCTGAATCACATAGTGTATTTTACATTAATTTGGTTGCAAAATACATATTGAAGTAAAAATTATACAATCGACATCACGAAAAATTAATACTGATCCTACATTGGCTTACCTTAAGATCGACTGTTTATAACGCGATAATTTCAGTGAGTCAAAGTGTAGTTTCAAACATAACTTAGAGCAGATATTTCTTATATTAAAACCACAAACATATTTGACCGATCAGGATTAATCTTGAAAAAACTGAATAAACTGTGAGGAGATTTCCAACGATAACTAATCTCCACTTAATTATTGATCCTAACGTTAATTAAATGTAAGATCAAAGTTTGCTTAATTATATTTTAAAATTAAAGTTTTACCAATTAAGCTTAATAAATACGTCATTTTAAAATGTGCTTACTTCGGAGTTCATTTTACATATATGTGTAAAAAATTAAAAAGACTTACATGCAGATGAGTTGGAAAATCCAGCTCATTGAGATGTTTCTCTTGCATTGTTGTTTCATCAAAGATAAATTCTACATGATATCAAAAGAATGTTTTTGCACCTAAAAGAAGTAAGATTTACAAAAATGTTTATTGTTGTTAATTTTACGAAAATTTCGTTAATCCTGACATTTTAATTATAAAACAATAAACTACTTTTGACATTGATTTGATTAAAAACAAGCTTATAATAAATTTTAAATTTAATGCATCAACGTTGACATAACATTTTGATGTTTTGAATTATAAATATTGTGCTGGCTTCTGAAACAAATTTGGAATTATTTTGTACTATTTTGAAACAAAAAAGAAGAAAAACTATTTTTTAAAATGAAAATAACCCCAAAAAATATCACAATTAACCCCAAAAAATAGCACAATTAATCCCAGTTCCATAAGCCTGATGAGGTTTAATTAGCTGTCCGATATGAAACACAAAAGAGTAGAGTATTTTTTAAAATCTTGTCAGATCTTGGAAAAATTCATTGAAAGTAACCTGCAATCTGCAAAGATGTAATAATGATTTTGATTTCGATCTATTTAATGTTTCATCCATAAGATTTAAAGTTAAGGATCAATAGATTTAAACAATCAGTCCCTCTATAATTTTTTGATCTACAAAACGGTTACTTTAACTTAAAAGTTACTACAACCACATCAAACCTTAACTCAATCAATGTTATCTTTTGTTTATTTTGAAATAGTGTTACAACTGTAACCTTTTAGGTTGAAGTTCTTGGAAACGCGCATTTTTTTTTTTTAAATGGCTGGGAGACTCTTGAGACAAAAAGTAACACAAAAACAAATATTAAAATTGCAACCATTTTATAAATAATATTTTACAAATTAGATCAATGCACCAGCACCGTTATGAAGAATAAACAATACTAAAAAATATAATTATAATTTTTAGCGATTATATCAACTTTAAAAGTAAGTTAGGTTTAAAAACTTAATCATTCACAAAATAATATGATGGTAGATCTTCACGGATAAATCATTTAATATTCCAAATCTTTCAAAAAAAAAGCTTAATTAGGAATATTAATTGATATAAGAAAAGTAATACAAAAAAAAGTTGTGTAATAGCGCAAGAATAAGAAATCTATATACATTTTATATTAACAGAATTGAAAATATTAATCATATAAAGTCATGATAGGAACGTAATATTTTACACATTTTTAAAAGTATATTTTTATGTATATGTAACATAAAATCTTACTTTAAGTAATTCCATTAAATTTACACATTCAACCACATTTCATCAATCTTCCTTTTTTTTTTTTCCCATTTTTAATTCATACTTATACCCACTCACCCCAATAATAGGAGGTAGATTCATTCATTAACAAAATTTTTAAAGCAACTATCAATGTTTTTATTTTATATATTAACAGTATTTTTAATTCCAGTTTTTGCATTTGATCCAAATAGTAAATCAAATGTTGCTGTTTATTGGGGACAAAATTCTGGAGGAAATCAACAAAGATTATCATATTATTGTGATTCTGATGCTGCTGATATTTATATTTTATCATTTATGCATATGTTTCCAAATCCTATACAATTAAATTTTGCAAATGCTTGTGAAGGTACTTTTACTCCAAATGGAATTTTAAAATGTAATGATATTGCATCAGATATTCAATATTGTCAAAGTAAAGGTAAAATTGTTTTATTATCATTAGGTGGAGCTGCTGGTTCATATGGTTTTACTTCTGAAAATCAAGGTAAAGAATTTGCTCATACAATTTGGGATTTATTTGGTAATTCAAATTCACTTTCAGCTGAAGAAAGACCATTTGGTAATGCTATACTTGATGGTTTTGATTTTGATATTGAAAATAATGTAAATACTGGTTATAATGCAATGGCTGATGAATTAAATAAAATTTTTGAAACTGATAATACTAAAAATTATTATCTTGGTGCTGCACCTCAATGTCCTTATCCAGATGCTTCAGTTGGACCATTATTAGAACATAGTCATATTGATTTTGTTTTTATTCAATTTTATAATAATTATTGTAATTTAGGTTCTTCATGGTTTAATTGGGATACTTGGGTAGATTATGCTGCAAATGTTAGTCCAAATAAAGATATTAAATTATATGTTGGTGTTCCAGGTGCTATAAGAGCTGCTGGATCTGGTTATAATGCTCCAGAATTAATATCAGATTATTTAACTTCTGATATAACTAATTCTCCTTATTTTGGAGGTATTTCAATGTGGGATGTTTCAGCTGCTTGGGATAATGTTGATTCTCAAGGTAATTTTGTACAAAATATGAAATTATTGGTTAATAATGATATTTTTAGCGCTGCTTCAGTTTCATCAAGTTCAATTGATAGTACAAGTACTACTACAACTACCACAGTAACTGTTACCTCAACAACTTATACAGGAGAAACCACTAGTTCCACAACATCAACATCTTCAACATCGTCGACTTCTTCAACTTCATCAACTGCTCCGTCAACATTAAGAACAGTAACATCTTCATCTAGCACTTCCAGTACTTCGTCTAGTACATCCACTACCAGTCAAACAACTTCAAGCACTTCAAGTACATCTACCACACCAACAACCACTTCTTCAAGTGCTACCTCATCAAGTACTATCTCAACAAGTACTATCTCAACAAGTTCCACCCCAACAACATCCACTACCTCAACCTCAACAACTTCAACCTCAACATCTTCCACTTCTTCAACAATCCCAACTTCATCTAGCATTTCCTCCTCCATCATTGAACCAGCTTCATCAGCAATTCCATCAACAACCAGTGAACAATTACAATCATCTTCATTTTCCGCAGTCGAATCACATCAAACTTCATCTGATACCCTGGAAACTGTTTATAGATCATCATTAACTTCAACTTCATCCCCAATTACAACTCAAAATCCATCAACTACTACAACGAATCAAAATATTTTCACTTCTTATGTATTTGCACCAACTACTTTAACTACCATTGCAACATTTTATGATATAATTACAACAAGAACTAACCTTCATACAATTTATGGTAGACCCCCAACAAATACAATTTAATAAATTTTCTTTTATACCATTTCTTTAATATACATATATATCAAGCTATTAAAACTTGTTTTTCTATATGAAATCCATCTAATAAATTTCTTGCAATTTTATTTAAATAAATAGAATTTAATTCACCACCTTTCCATAAATCATAATTATAATGATCTATATTATTTTTTAAAGTCAGAATTGATAAATTTATTATACCAAATGATGATTTATCTAATTGAGATATAGCTTGATTAGTTATAGGTTGAGGACTTACAATAAACATAAAAGTTGATTTTTTATTAAATTTATAATAATCTAAAACTCCAGATAATTCACGTATAGTTGATGCACCTAATTTTTTTTTAAAATTTTTACATTGAACTAAAAGTTGAATATCATTTTGTATAGGTTCATTAGCTAATGATTTTGAATGTAATTTTTTTGAACTTTGAAACAGTAGTGAATTATTCAAGAATGAATCTAAGTCCCATTTTCCTATAATATCAATTCCATTATCATAAGATCCTCCACATTTTATTAAATCTTTAGCGTAAAAATTCGATTCCAAATATTTTTTAACATATAATTCATACAAAGTTCCTTTAAAAACTGTTGATTCGGTATTTATATTATTCTGCAAGCAATGTTGTAGATATGTTCGACCATCTTGTATTAATGTGGTTGCTCTTTTACTCATGGAATGGTTGTAAATAAAAATCACGTCCTAAGAGTAACTAATTATTTTGGTAGCATATAAAATCTCAAAATATCATCAACTATCTTTTGATCAACAATGATATTGAGTTCCATATTAATCCTATTCTCATTATTTTCGTTGGTATTTCCAAAAAGAATCAACCTATATGTTAAATCTATAAATGACGGATCAACTGATCCAATTGGTTTCATAGATAATGATTCAATACATTTAATGGAAATTGAACCACAACATTCCGTTTGTATTGGAACAAAAGATATATACAATAATGAATGCTTTAGTTATCAAAATTATATTCCGTCATTCAACTATTCAATATTCAATTTATTCTTAGATGAAGATAATGATGTATTCAGAATTGCTTTATCATTTGATGATACATTACAAAAACCTACCATTAGAAAACACAAACATATTACAGCACCACAACCAAACTTAAACCCTGACTCACTTAAAAAGCAAAGAGAACAACAAGCTAAGCAGAATAATAATGGTGGAAATCAACAAACAGAAAAAGTGATTAGAAAAAAAACTATAGTAGAAATTGATTCAGATGGAAATGAAATAACAAAAGAAATTGATGAAGTAATTGAAACAGTTGACGATAGATCATGGATTCAAAAGAATTGGATGTATATCGTACCACCTTTATTAATATTATTTGCAATGGGAGGTGGTGAAGAACGAAAGTGAAGATCCATATAATATTGTTAATAGTAATAACTACATATTTCCATCGCTACCAAAGTGTCTCTCGTAGATTTTATTTTTATTAACGAATCATAAAATAGTAAAATCTTATTACTACAACTTACACTTACATAATAAATTTTTTTTTCACTTGTGTACGCTTAAAAGTTAGATAGGACTTACCATCATTAATTCATCTACATACCACTTATTAACACATTACACCACGTTCTTTTATAATTGAATCACCTACAAGAGTCTTCCCCTTTTATAGATTTACTACCGAAAAACATACCCTTATATATCCACACACACACACACATATACATATGCATTCGATAAGACCACATATCCTCAAAGCATCAAAACGATACATATCTTCATCTATCAGAAGACTAGCAGAAGTAGAAGTAACAGTTGATGGAAGAAAAGTTTCTATTGAAGCTGGATCTTCAATCATACAAGCCGCAGAATTGGCTGGTGTTACTATTCCAAGATATTGTTATCATGAAAAATTAGCAATAGCGGGAAATTGTCGTATGTGTTTAGTTGATGTTGAAAGAATGCCTAAATTAATTGCATCTTGTGCTGTACCTGTACAAAATGGTATGGTTGTTCATACAGATTCTGAAAGAATTAAAAAGGCAAGAGAAGGTGTAACAGAAATGTTATTAGAAAATCATCCTTTAGATTGTCCAATTTGTGATCAAGGTGGTGAATGTGATTTACAAGAACAATCTCAAAGATATGGATCAGATCGTGGAAGATTTAAAGAATTAGTTGGTAAAAGAGCTGTTGAAAATAAAGATGTTGGACCTTTAGTAAAAACTTCAATGAATAGATGTATTCATTGTACTAGATGTGTAAGATTTTTAAATGATGTTGCTGGTGCACCTGAATTTGGTACTACCGGTAGAGGTAATGATATGCAAATAGGTACTTATATTGAAAGAAATATTGATTCAGAAATGTCTGGTAATATTATAGATTTATGTCCAGTTGGTGCATTAACTTCAAAACCATATGCTTTTAGAGCAAGACCTTGGGAATTAAAAAGATCTGAAACAATTGATGTTTTAGATGCAGTCGGAGCTAATATTAGAGTCGATTGTAGAGGTATTGAAGTAATGAGAGTATTACCAAGATTAAATGATGATGTAAATGAAGAATGGATTTCAGATAAAACAAGATTTGCTTGTGATGGATTAAAAAATCAACGTTTGACTACTCCATTAATAAGAAATGGCGATAAATTCGAAACTTCAACTTGGGATGAAGCATTATCTACTATTGCAGCTGCTTATAATAAATTAAAACCTAACAATGGTGAATTGAAAGCAGTTGCTGGTGCATTGGTTGATGCAGAATCATTAACAGCATTAAAAGATTTAATAAATAAATTAGGTTCTGAGAATGTTACAACAGATGTTCCACAAGCAATTGATGCACATGGTCTTGATATAAGGTCTAATTATATATTCAATTCAACAATAGATGGTATTGAAGAAGCAGATGAAATTTTATTAGTTGGTACTAATCCAAGAGTTGAAGCTGCAACATTAAATACAAGAATAAGGAAAGTTTGGTTAAGATCAAATTTAGAAATTTCATCAGTTGGTGAAAAATTTGATTCTACATTCGATATAAATACAGTTGGTGATAACACTAACTCATTAAAAGAGGCATTAAATGGTGAAGTTGGTAAAAAATTAGCTAAAGCATCTAAACCGTTAATTATTGTTGGTTCAGGTGTTGCAAATTCAAAAGATGCAAAAGCTATATATAAATTAATTGGAGAATTTGCTTCAAAAAATAAAAATTTCAATACTCCAGAATGGAATGGTGTAAATTTATTACATCGTGAAGCTTCAAGAGTTGCTGCATTAGATTTAGGTTTTAATAATTTATCAAATACTTCCAATTCTACTAAACCAAAATTCATATATTTATTAGGTGCTGATGAAATAAAAAGTTCCGAAATTCCAAAAGATTCATTTGTTGTATATCAAGGTCATCATGGTGACGTTGGTGCGTCACTTGCTGACGTCATTTTACCAGGTTCAGCATATACAGAAAAATCTGGAACATATGTAAACACTGAAGGTAGAACACAAGTTACAAGAGCAGCAACTAATCCACCAGGAGTTGCTCGTGAAGATTGGAAAATAATAAGAGCTTTATCAGAATATTTAGGTACACCTTTACCATATGATGATATTATTACAATAAGAAATAGAATGGGAGAAATAGCACCACATTTAATAAGACATGATGTAATAGAACCAGTTTCACCTGAATTAGCTGCATTAGGTTTTGAAAATTTAATCAACCAAAACAAATCAAGTAAAATATCTGGTGAAAAATTAATCAATCCAATTAAAAATTTCTATTTTACTGATGTGATTAGTAGGTCAAGTCCTACAATGTCTAAAGTTGTAAAGAGTCAAACTTATAAATAAATATACAGTTAATTTATACATTCTGTCAATTTTCTTTTAATGTACTTTCGCTAGTATTTATTTCTATTTATTTTTTGTTTATTATTTTTCCCAAAAAATACATCACTGCTTAATTACTAACTGGGATCGACACTTAAAATTATAGAGTCTCAGGTATAAGAGAATCTAGACAAGTGATGATTGTAAAGACAAAACTTTATTGAAATAACTTCTAAGGGGGTTCAAATTTTCTTGCGAAATAATGAATATATTAAGTTTGATGAAATAGTTTATTGTAAACCAGACACTAATTCAATGGTAGATACCTGAGTTGGTATTGACGGATCCACTTTAGTCTCCAACTTCCCATCCACTTTTTCACCACGGTCATCATCATCTACTTCCAATTTATCATCATCATCATCTTCTTCTAAATCCTCATCCTCCTCATTCTCATCCTCATCATCATCATCATCATCATCATCATCATCATCATCATCATCATCATCATCACTTTCGGAATCAATTAATGTTCGTATCTTACCAAAATGTTCATATTTGACATCAGTATTAGCATATTTATCTTTATACCCTGTATTACTATATGGTTCATCTAATCCTGGTATAATTAATTCTTTGTAAGATGGTGGTTTCCCAATATCTTCCATTATAGTGATCCATGCGGGTTTAATTTTAGTATCATCAGTCATTCCTAAAGCTTTTCTTAATTCATTTGATACAACACCGGGTTTATATTTCCGAATTTCTAAACTCATTTCATCAATCAATTCTTTACCTTCTTCATATAATTCTCCAAATTTTGAAGTTCTAGGTTTTTGTTGATGTTTGAAAAATGCAGCGTATAATTTATTATAATCAATATCTAATTTACCTAATTTAACTTGAAATTTATCTCTTTGTTGTTGTTTCATTGTTTTATCTTCAGGATTTATAACTTGTCTCATTTCTTCTATCCCTGTGTCTCTAATAAATTTTGGTAATTTAAAAGGAGGTCGTTCAATTCCTCTTTTGGAAGATAAATAGTCTCTTTTTGAACTCCAATGAGATGGTACAGGGATTGTATTTGGTCGAGTTTTAAGATAAACCAAGAAATATGGGTCTTGAGCATCAACATCATACCATTCCACCAGTTCTGGTTTGTGAGTTGACAATTTTAATGATGATAGGGGAATTTTATTTCGAATTCGTAGCTGTCTTTTGGAAAGTTTATTTGATTGTGATTCTTCATTTGATAATTCATCTGACGATTCATCTGACGATTCTGAACTTGATGACGATGGTAAAGGTACAACATTTTCATTCGAAACTACCTCCAATGCTTGTTCCTTGGGATCTATTTTCGGTATATTGAATTTGTTGATGACTGATTCAAATTCTTTTAGTAGATTCTCATTTTCATCTATCTCTATAATTGTGGTTGATTCTTTCAATTCCGGCTTAGTCTTGTCATTGATATCTTTCTTATTTTCACTTATTTCGTCTTTACTTGACTCTTCTATCTTTTTCTTCTTTAATTTCTCCCGTCGAAGTTGATTTTTCGTTCTTTTATGTGCCATAGTTTTTAAGAGATAGCTTAATCGTGATGTTTGAAATGTTAGGTGTACTTTTTTTTTCGCGTTTGGTAAATTAAGTATTGATCTATACATATGATACATGTGAAACGAAATGTGACCACTTTCCTTAACTTGTAAGAATGAGAATGGATCCTAGGACATTCAACGAGCCTATGAGATTGGCACGAAGACTCACTATTTAGATGAGCTTTAGGTAGATTTTTGTAAGTTTGTAATAGTTTGCATTATTGAATCGATTTTATGATTCATTTCCTTTTGATTCTTCTCCAACGAATCCAATGAGTTATTCAATTGTTGTTCTATCTCATGAGTAATGTCAAAGATAGTTGGTTTTTTTTCTGTAGTGGATGTGTTTGAAGGATCAAGTTCTGGATTGGCTTCAGCATTATTTAGATGCGGTGTAGAAAGTCCTGGAACTACTGACTCCACTGGAGGTTGAGTTTGCGTAGTTGCGGACATTAATTGGATTATGATAAGTACTGTATTTATTGATGATTTTTTAAATCGAAAATGTTTGTATTGTGGTGAAGATATGGTGGTTACAATATTTATGTGTACTTTTAATTTTGATATTTACATCAAATATTTCAGATCAATTGACAACAATCTACGAGATCTACACTTGTAGACATGCACAATAAAGTTCTACTTCTGCTACTAGTATTCGCATCTCATTTACTAGCTTACACAAGTCAAAAACCTAGAAATCGAATAACATTTGAAGATGTTTCCATACCACTTGACGTTGCAAATAAGTTAGTTGATTTAAATGATCAAGTAATTGAAAAAGGTCATTTCGAAATTATGCAAAATCAAAAACAACAATCGTACCTATGTCATATACCAACTGAAAAAGCGATCAACATTACAAGACCAATCTCCACCATCCCAATACCGGAATTAAAAGTGAAAGCTATGCTGGCCATACAAGAAACATTTGATGACGGTAATTGTACGTTTGCATTATTAAATTATTGGACATTAGGATATTGTTTTGGTGATAAAGTTATGCAATTTCATGAAGACGCAAAAGACTTTTTGAGTGGAAATCATAGAGCTCAATTACCAAATCATGTATATATACTAGGTAAGTTTCCAAATGTTGTATCATATAAAAAAACAAGAATAAAAAATCAGAATCGTGGTCAAAAAGTAACATTAAATTCAAATGATTTCACTATATTTGAAGGAGAGTTTAGTTATTTTGGAGATAATGATATAGACTCGTCGACTAATACTCAAAAATTTATTAAACATACTTTATTTGACGGTGAATTATGTGATTTGACTCTACAACCTAGAACCATAGATATAGTTTATAAATGTGATGAAAATTATAAAACTGCAGGAATAATGGAAATGCAAGAAATTAAAACCTGTCAATATCAAATGATTGTCAATGTACCTAAACTTTGTCAAATTGAAGAATTTAAAAAGAATGTGATACATGATAATATCGTTGACGTTAGCTGTAAGAATATTGACAGTAATGATAAATTTGTTGGTAACAACATTACTTATGATGATTTTTATCAATTTAACGAATCAACAAAAGCAATGGGATCTAAGATTGACGTAAACGACTATTTTTTAAACTCATTAGGTGATGGGTTTAGTATAGGAAGTCCAAAAATCAAATTTTTATCTGATGAATCTTACAAAGATCGATTGATAATAGTAAATGCCAAATATAATGATGATGAGGACATCATACAAAGATTTGGTAAATTATTTATTTCAGCATTAGAGAGAAAACTTCCATCACCCATTATGATCAGTGAAAATGTTGCAACTACTTTAAATTGGCGCGATAGTTTTATAATTTGGATTGAAATTTATGACCTTTTTGGGAATTTTATGGGATTATACAGAATTGAAAGAGATGGGTCAAATGAAAAACGACAAATTAGTATACAAAAAGTAAATATGGAGACAGGAAAAGATCAAGATGACATAGAAGTTGATATCAGATATTTACATAATCCAAATGCAAAATGGAATTACGAGCATTTCCAGCGACCAGAAAGTACAAACAACGAGTAACGCTCATTGCATTCGATTATTTATAAATCTATTAAAATTATTATCAACAACTTCAACTTGTTCGTCTTTTAGAAAATTCTTGTTGACAAATACTTTATTCAAAACATCAAATGATTTTTTCATACAATTGTAATAAGCAATCCAAAATTCGTACTTAATTTCAGTTCTTTCAGAAGTGGATAGTTCAGGAAATTGAGTTTCATACACATTATCAATTTTCAACTTAACCTTATCAAAACTTAACTCAGAAGGAATATTAAACAGCGGATCATGATCTTTATTATACTCCTGACTAACAGTAATCATTAAATCATAAAAATGTGAGACTCTTTTCTCTAATTCTTCAAATTCCCTAGACTTATGTTTGTGAAGTTCATCATATATTTTTAATTGAAAAGAAGGGAAAAATGTTAGTATATATATTAGTGTATCTTTCCAAATATTTTCCATATTTGAATTTATAACCAACCACCAATTTGGCTCTGAACTTAGAATAAACTCAAAATCGTATATTCGTCTCGTAAGCAACGATGCCAATTCATTTTGAAAATCTCGACTTATCAATTTTAGATTCGATGTTATACCATATAGTCTGCGAAAAGTTACAATTATAGATCTAGTAGTTGGTTGAAATTGGTTTAAATTTGTTTCAGGATTCAATAAATTTTGTATTCTATTATCACCTGTACAATACATGACATACATGTTAAACAACACTATGAATAAAATTAAATATTTTATCCAGTTTTCTCTTAAATGTTTGTTAGGTTTAAGTCCTAGCATATACAAAGCAAAACCTACTTTGATCAGTATTAAAAATAAACTTCGACCTGTAGCAACAAGTCTATCAAGCATATCGTCATTATTTGGTTCTCTAGGTTCTGCTGGTTGGTGCTCTTGGTTTTCAGTTGTTGAAGGACTTTCCAGCAAATCATTAGACATCATAATTTGGACTTTTTGCAGTTTAAAAACTGAATTTAGTTTCGCTATTCCTGATGGGTTTAATATCATGTAAGGTTGATGTTTCGAATTATCGACTATTATACATTGTGAGGTGCTTAATGACACAGATTTTGTTTCATCATACATTTCATAGATTAGATCAGATATTTCTAATTGCTTGATCAATTTTGTTTCCTTATTATTGGATTTGATAATTTTCTCATATGAATCTCCGCTCAAGTACCATTCCTCCTTTTGGTTATCAATTATCTTCAAATTTTCAATGGGATTATTATTTCTGTTATCATCTTCCTCCATAATTTCACTCTCAAAATTTGACTTTGGTAAAAACTCAAATCTATTATCAGCAATCAAATCTTTTATAAAATCTCTACTTAGTATCCCATTTGAGCCATTCACGTTATTTGAAACTTCCAATCTCATATTTAAAACTGTTACAAGCGGAGTAATTGATTCTTCGGAAAGACCTAAAGCATTTAAAATTGTATTTGAATTAGTTAAAAAATCATTCCGTATTTCATCATCTCCAAAAAATAGTTTTACTTGATCAAAGAATGTTCTTGTTACTTGACCTTGATCTAACCTCAATATTATTAATTGCTTGAAATTTTTAATTGTAGTTTTCGAATTCACTTCGAACAATGATGACTCATTCTGAAGTGCTGGTTTATCTGACTCTAGTTTGATATGAAACCTTATCATTGTAAGTATAACTGATGCATGTGTGGGCTATGAATTTTGATATTTGTTTGTATGCCACGTATATTCTGAAGTCCATTTCGGGTAATAAACTGTTTAAATATTGCGAAATGCGCGGCTTAATTGTATCAAGTTTTTTTTTTTTTTTTTTTTTTTTTTTTTTTTTAAAAAAATTTTTTTT